GCGCAAAAAGAAACTTTTGGGATGTACCGGCATTAAAAGTAGCCATCCGTCCTGACCCCCATATCCATCGGCCGGCCGCCGTCTTTTCTGACACCTGCCCCCCCCCCCCCCCCCCCCCCCCCCCCTACTGTTGCTCCCGCTTTCGCTGCGTCCTAAATTATCATCAAGGTCTCAAGAGACCGACTTCTTCCGTCTTGCAAGAACCCGTGGCAACCCGCATATGCATAATGCAACATGTAGATGCACGGTACATCTTGCCAAGACGTCAGCGTTCGAATGCCTGCAATAAATAAATATAATTCACAATTGGCCCAAGGCTTGTATTCTTGGGGGAAACCCCTCTAGTCTGGCATCCGTACCAGGGGTGAAGTAAACCAAGTCTTCCACCAACGCCTGTGCCTAAGATTCATCCCAACCAGTTGCCAACCAAAATCCCCGTGCCCGACGTCCAGCACTACTCGACATTGCAAACAAGGCGACCGAACCATGAAGTGTTGACCTGCGTGTTGGCGATAGTCAATCCTGCGCGGAACACCAAGATCCTCGTACACGATCGCGAATGTCCGCAATCGAAGAAACCATTAGTGCCGCGATAGAATAGAAGTAGGTAGTCGGGGGGTATAGAAGAGATAACGCCAAGTAATAAAGACTATCGAGTCTATCGACGGTCGAACCAGCATCATGAAGAAGATTCTTCCTTAGACTGGGGAGGCTGAAGTCCTGCGTTCTGTGCCACCTGTTTCCATATGGCTAGTTCTCGATAAGCTCTTTCACACTCTTGCTTGAGCTTGTCGTTGGAAGCACTGAGCTCCTGAATTGCCTGCTCGGTCAATAGCTTCTCTAAAGTCCACTTCTCCAAGTTCTGCGCTTCGTTCTCCTTAAGCTGAGTGATGAACATGACTGCCCGTTGCAGAATTGAACCTTTATTCTTCTCGCATCCGGGTACAATCTTGGCAAGCTCATTGATACCCTCGTTGATGGTCTCGCGACGCCGACGCTCCACTGAAGCAATATCAGCATGCTCCCTCTAGTATCGTGGCGGGAATATAACTCACCCTCTTTATGATTGTCCTTTCGCAGCTTGTGCCATTCTTCCGAACCTACAGCCGGCTTGGAAGTGGATGTGGAGCTGGTCGTATAAGAAGGCTGGGTGGATCTGACACCATTCTGGGATTGTGGGAGTCCATTAGAAGACGTGTCGGGAAGGCCGTCCGCATGAAGCATATCGTTATGGCCGAATGACGAATCTGGGTGGTGTTCTCCTTCTGTCGAAGTCTGGGCAGCAAAGGCCTCTTCCGTAGATTGAGGGACGTGGATAGTAGGGTATAAGGTTCCTAAAGCGGCGGCAGCTGTGCTGGAGGCGTTGGCATGGTCCGAAGTGTCATGGTGATCCACTGTAGCCTGCTGTAGAGCCGAGAAGTCGGCGTTAGTTGCTGCCTGGGCGGCTGCTTGCGCAGCTTCGACAGCGCTCTCGACATATGCCGCCTCCAGGGTGCTTGAAATGTTAGCGGGCACACGTTTAGCGCGTCGCAAATCGGGAGAAGAATCCGGTGCGCCACGCTTTCTCTTCTGGCTGGGACTAGACGGGGACGACGCGTTGAAGTCGTTCTGATCGGCGACAGCTGCGTCTGCCATAGCAGCTAAATGCTCTCGATTGATATGAGCTAGAGGCTCGAGGAGTGCCTCAGTATGGGTGTAACCGTTTGACTCCATAGTCGCTTAGCTGAAGGAATTGTTGCAGTCGATTGACGACACCTACAGTAGGCCCTAGACACCTATGCGATCCGTACACGTAAAGGTGCGTGATGAATTTCAGTGTTATCACGAGAGGTCTGCCGATGTTAGTATATGTGTGTGGTACTATAACCGTGAAACATGAGCAAGTAAGATTGCATTGCTGCCGTCACCATCACTTGCGAGGATATAAAAGAGTTAAATGAGACTTGTCACGTTTTTTTGGTGAAATTGTCCGATAGAAGAGGTGGCGACAGGGAGCTAGATGTATTGATTGAATACACGAATATACGACAATAACCAATGATTCAATAGGAAAAATATGTTGTAAGAAAAAAAAAGTCTACGAGAAGATCGACTTGACGTAGATTGTAAGGGGAGGATCATATGAACACGAACATCAGCGATTCTGAAACTCGGGAGGCTTCTCCTCAGAAACCGGCTTGATTGTGGATGAATATGGTCGCCCTGAATGCTGCGACGAAAATAGACCTCACGTCATTAGTAGACGGGATCGACATAGATATATTAGGTTAGGTAGATGTATAGAAAGATACTGTTCACTGTTCCTCGCATTCGACGATATGGGATAGAGAGCAGGTCGCGACGAGATGATAGACGCGAAAATTTTCGCATTAAATGGCGACGAGGCCATTCGTTGCGCGCGGGCAGAGAAAATAATGCCGTCGCGTTTCGGGGGTATATCGTAAGACGGGAGGGAAATGCTTGTGATGGAAATGAAAATGAATACTTACTAAATTGCTAGATCATGTGAGCTAGATCTCGTGAGTTTTTATGCTGGGAGCTGGCGCAAGTGCTTGGACTTCACGTGGTTTCGAGGTTTCGAGAGGAAATAGCCTCGAATGAAAATGTGGAAATTATGGGCAATGAACTAAGAGCTGCGAATCAAGTCGGTCGGTGGAACAACCTTTTAAACGAGGCAAATAAAAAAAATAAAATTATAAAACCGGAAGAATTTCGAGCTAAGGTTCCTGGGGGAAGTTCGATGTGGTCAAGTAGACTTCTTTAATCGAAGTCGAGGAAAGAACAGTACCTTTAGGTAGGAGAATTGGGGTTGCCTTCTTTGGGACCATACCTTAGGACCATATGACAACCCTCCCAGAAAAAATTACGCACGGTCCACCACCACCAGTAGCTTTCCTTGGCCGATGGCCCTCTTTTTTTTTCCTTCTCGACCTGTCTGTCGACGCACTAAAAGAAGACCTGAAAGTTCCCTAATCGTTAACCAATCATTGTTATGGTTGGTACTTAGACTACCCTAGGTTCTAGGTAGGTATTTGTATTTTTTATCTATTCACTTTGCCTCTCATATTTTATCTTCCCGAGTTCGTTTATTAGTTTGTTTTTTTAGCATTGCATTTAACCATGCCCTATATAAGGGAAATATTGAATCGAGATCAAGTAACTATTCGCATAATTTAGATAATTCAACTTAATTCAGCTTTGTATAATTGAAACTTCCCCAAAGCTGGATTAGGTACCACCTAGCACTTACTTGCCTATTGCTAACTTATAGGTACTTAAAGTTAGGCATATATAATATATGTACCTTATGTACTTAGGTAGGTATCCTCGATAGTAAGAGTTGGAGGTACTAAACCCCTTAAACTATTTAACAGCAAATTTTTGGGTTGTCTCAGAGCGATATTTGTTTCATCAGGTTTGATCCAGCAACAGAATATGCAAACCGCGCATACTGCAGGTTGGGATGGGGGATGGGATAGATTCCTGCTTCGCTTCGTATGATGGCGTGGGGCAGAACCTGATCTCGGTGGCTCGGCAAATGGATTTCGTTCTGCATATTGCCCTATCTTTTTCGAGTACCTGGAAGGCCTAGACTACCTTAGGTATCTAACGTATACCTGAGAAAGACAAAAGAGATGGGTATGCCACAATAAAAAAATAAATAAAAAAAAAGTCTCAGACCAACAAGTCAAGTGACCTCCCCGAGCTTAACCTACCTTCTTTTTCTATTAGATGCAGTTCAACCAACCCCTATGATAACAATTTTGGGGTTAGCGTCCCAGGTCCCGTGAGTCCCCGGCCGACTTGCTACTTGTTCCTGTGACCAACAGCGGATGTGTGTGACTGCATGTAAGTCGCACTAGGCAATTTATGATTATCGAGGAGACCACTCGGGAGTATCCGCAATCCACTGAAGCACCGGATAGAAAGACGGGCGCGACTACGATGTTGTAGTATTAATCTAATACCTGGTATTAATATACTCATAGCATAAACAGGAACAGGGGATAACTTTACGCGCCTACCTAGGGACAGATAATATGTAGATGATGTGTAGCATTCAATTATCACCAGGACGTATTTATAGAAATGGGTTAAACTGTAGGTATCTATGTACGTATAAAGTAAGCGGGCAAAAGTAGAGAGTGGAATCGTGTGTGTCTTTCCACCACAGTACGATAAGCCACCCGCTATGACGATAACTAACAGAACCAAGGGGCAGATCCAATAGCAGCACCTAATTACAAAGATGCACGAGTAATGTCTATGTCGAAGTGGCTGGGATACCTCTGAAGGAAGACAAAGTGTACATACTAGGACGACGAAATGAATTACCTATCACTTTTTCCGGGATGTCGAAATACCTAATGTTGGTAAGAAAGAAACTCGTGAGAAAGATATGACTATGTAAAGTAATTAACCTTGCGTCAATCAGGCCTTGGCAAATGTTGGTGTAATAAGGACATACCTGAACCGAACATAAACCAGCAACTAGGCGGGATTATTTATTGAGGTTTCCCCTACCCCCTCTGCCCCTCTTTCCTTCCTCAACTCTGGGGAAGCCGGCCCGTTGTGGAGTCGGACCAGCCACCCCACCTGCCCACCGCGGTCCTAACCAGTGGGGACCCTTTATGGGAGTTTAAGTGTTCAAACCGGTCAATTGTCATCTGACTACCAAACCTCCAACTTTATGATACCACACCCCTTACATAGAATACCTATCCCCCCCTTCCCCCCCCAAAAATAAATAAAAATCAAGGCCGTCATCTAGAAAAGATGGGCGACATTGCAGCGAAAAAACTAGATCACGAGAGTCATCTCCTCCTCGTGAGTAATAACGTTCCCTCCTTTCTCGTTCCCTTTTCACAATTGTTAGGGAAGAAAAAAAAAATACATGATGTGATATGATGTAGCTTATCGTACGTTGTCGTCGGGCGTTCGTTGGGTTACATCATACCTAACCTAGCTGCTGTTTTCCTTTCCTTTCCTTTTACGCCCCGAATTAGTTTTCGTTTCCAGTCCTACATACATACATGCATGCATAGCCCCCAACGAAGCAGGGCAAAAAGAGCAAAAAGGTAAATAAATATGAAGCTAACACAAACGGCCCCTCGTTAGGACCAACCTCTCCTCCGGCTGCCCACCGAGCTGCTGCGGAAGAACTTCCGCTCCGCCCACTTCGAGGTCGAGAAGGATGGCACGTACGTGAAGAACACGCTGAAGGAGACGGCGACGGCGTGCGTGAACGGCGGTGCCTCCCAGGCCGACGTGCTCCGGAACCTCGACACGATGATCGCGCGGGCGCGCGGCGTCAAGCGCAAGCTGATCGCCTTCGCCGACGAGGAGCAGCGGCTCCACCGCCACGAGGAGGCCCGCCTCCGCCACCTCAACGAGCTCTACTCCATGCACAGCGTCGACGACGTCAAGTACGAGGCCTGGAGCCGCATCCGCCTCGACCGCCTCCTCGTCGATTATCTCTTGCGCCACGGCTATAACCAGAGCGCCAGGGCCCTCGCCCAGGAGAAGGGCATCGAGCCCCTCGTCGACCTCGACACCTTCGAGCAGATGAGCAGGATCCGGAAGTGCATCCTCAACCGCAGCGTCACGGAGGCGCTGGCGTGGTGTACTGCGGGCGATACGAAGAAGGAGCTTCGAAAGATGGACGTGAGTTGTTGTTATTGTTGTTCTTATTGTGTCCTACTCTACTACTCATGTCTTTGGTGAAATACTTCCACTATCTATCAATATTCGGCTTTGCTAACTCAACTTTTTTTTTTCCACCGACCCGCAGAGTAACCTGGAATTCATGCTTCGCTTCCAGCAGTACATCGAGCTAGTCAGGGACCACTCGACGAAGCCGACGGACATCCTCTCCTACGCGCGCAAGTTCCTTCTCCCCTACCAGAACACGTACAAGCGGGAAGTCATGCAAGCCTGCGGGATGCTCGCCGTGCGCCCCACCGCCGAGTCCAACGTCTACGCGGAGCTGTACTCGCACGACCGGTGGGAGATGCTCGCGAACCTGTTCACGTCGACGCACAACGCGCTGCTCTCGCTGCCCTCCGTGCCCCTTCTCCACGTGGCCCTGAGCTCGGGCCTCTCCGCCCTCAAGACGCCCGCCTGCCACTCCTCGCACCCGTCCTCGGCCGCCGGGCCCCCCTCCCACTCGACTTCCTTATCCCTCGCCTCCAGCGTCTGCCCCATCTGCAGCACCGAGCTGAACGAGCTCGCCCGCGGCGTGCCCTACGCCTTCCACGGCAAGAGCCACGTCGAGCCCGACCTCCTGCTCCTGCCCAACGGCCGCGCCTACGGCAAGGCCCGCCTCGACGAGTACGCCCGCAAGGCCGGCCTGCTCGCCGGCCAGGTCAAGGACCTGCGCACCGGGGAGATCTTCGGCGTCGATCGCTTGAAGAAGGTGTATATTACCTGATTGTTAGAGGGGAGGGGAGGCAGAAAGAAGAAGCGGAAAGAGAAGCGAGGGAAAAAGAAAAAAAAGAAAAAAAAGAAGAAAAAAAAAGAAAGAATACTGGCTAAATTGGGAAAGAAGAAGTAGTAGTGGTAGTAGTAGTTATTATGACGATGGCTATGACAAGGACGTTTTTTTTGGGGGGGGGGGGGGGAATGGGATATAGGTACCTGGGTAAGGTAGGTAGGTAAGGTAATGGTTATTATAATGGCTAATGACACGGTGGTTCCGTACCTATATTCTTACTTTCATACCTTTAAGTAACTTTCTCTCTGTAATACTATTTTGGGGGAATAGGTACTTATTCTTATTATGATTATTAGCATCGTTATTTTTGGGGGGGGAGGGGTTATAGCGGCGTAATGCATTAGGTACCTAAGTTATATGGGAATTTTATGATGACCTTTTTTGGGTTTTATTTTTTTGATATAAGGAGTAGAGTAGGTATTGAGTTGGTTTATTAAGAATTCGCTATATGTACTTAATATATACTTGGTTTGTAATGTGATGTGATGTGATATAATTCATGTGATCCATGTAATTAATATGTATATGGATTTTGTATTATTGCCTATAATATAAATGCTTATTACCTTGTAGCATCTTATTATATATCTAGCACTATATCATATCCAGTCTAATTATATTCCTATAAGTAATAAGGAGTCTATCTGCCTCCTCCAAATATATAAGATTAACTGCGGTTTCCAGTTTACCTATAAGTACCTATATTTACCCACCATTTGATCCAAAAAGTTGTTCGCCGGTACCTAATATATGGCTATAAACCCTAGATCGCCGGTACGAGAAAAGGGATATAAAGAACATCCTAGGCTCTATCCAAAAGAAAAATAAATATACGGCTTTACATCGTCACTTATTTCACTCACGACAAGATATACAACATCAAAAATATACGGCAAAACCTCAGCGGAATCAACTAACGTGTGATTCTCACCGAGTTATATGTATTGGCAATCAATCCGTATCCGACCAGCCGAGCCAACCTCCGGAGATTTGCCCCTTTGCCCCCCCCCTCCGACCACTAGTAGTACATGCGTATACAGAGATCAAACGCCTTGAGAGAGAAAAAGAAAGAAACCATTAACATACTCCTCGTTTCAGATATTTGCATCCGAATCCTATCTTTAGTCGTGGGAAAACCAGCCTTACCAAACGGAAAGATGGTGGGTGTTCACCAGTCCGCATTTGGTCACTAGAAGGTACAAAGAACCGCCCGAGATTTCATGATCGCGAGACGTGAAAATTAAAACGCAGACGCAAATAAGAGAACCGCATATTGACATGATCATCGTGAAGAAAGTAATGCCCACCGTCCACTGTGAATTGGAAATAGAAAATTCGTTGTCATTCCCACATGAAATCATGTTGTGGTCTTGCTGGAAACAACTTGTTGCTAGAAACTCAGACGATACTTAGACCCAAAACGACTATCTCAACCATAGAGTTTTTTTTCTTCAGATGTGAGAACCCATGTGTATGCCCACAACACTTAAATGGTAAGGTGGCTAATAGCTTTCTCTAACGCACCCAGGTCTTCTAATGTCAGGGACGGTCCTGGGGACAAGTCACGCTGTGCTGGTGGTGTCCTTGGTGCTCCAGGAATCGTAACCGTCCGATGTTCAAGGGAAACCCCTTCAGAAATGGCTGACGTCGGTAGGAAACCTGATGGCCTCTGCGGAATCAAACGGGCTGCGCGTGCCGCACGTGACGTTGAACTCCCTGGGGCAGAGTAAACTCTGACAGGACGTCCAGGGCGGCGTTGAAGACGATCTCTCCGTCTATCAACACGAGCCAACAAAGGTTGTGGTAAATATCGTGGTGGTCGTATAGCAAAAGGTACCCGGAATGGGAAATGTGGTCGATGCACCATCGGTCTAACGGGTGCCGTTGGCCGAATAGGTCTGTTTGGTCTCGTTGTCAATCCTACTTGAGTTGCTGACGGGTGCTGTCTTGCCAATTGTGATTCGGTCGGCGGAAGTAGTCCTATTGGCGATCTTTGCCCAGGTGCAGGTAACGGACCAGGTTCCGGGAAGTTCCAAAGATGAGTTAATTGCGGCAAAAATGGCGGGAGAAAGAGAGGTGGTAAGTAAACGTTAGGCGGAAGACCAAAGGGTACTGGTAAGGCGTATTTTATATCTATCGGCGTACCAAAGCAATTTCCGAAACTCGGATTCTATCTAGGATTCCCCGGAAAGTTGAAGGCTCCAAAAACACCTCCTCCGCCACCTGGGGTCATAGGTCCCATCCCTATTCCATTTGTGTTGTGGGCCTGCGCAGCCGGGGTGCTAGCGAGTCCGGCGCTCACCGTGCTAGGTGTGGTAGGACCACCGTTCACATTCCCATTCCCATTACCGTTGCCAGGCGAGGTATTACCTGCGTTGTTAGTCTGGTTCTGTGTGGAGGTGGGCATCTCCATTCCCGAGAATCCGAGACCCCAGACTTTGCCGATATGGTCGTCCGAGATCTCACCGTTGTAGATCCGCTCGCGTAGCTGGAAGAAGACTCGTCCCGTCAGGAGACTGTCCGAACCAGCTTGATGAGCGGCGCCGACTCTCTTGATCTTCAGTGCATCTGCGATGCTCTCTAAGCCTGACTTCTGCTCAAACTTTTGCATGATCTCGGCAGTAGCGGGATCCGAGGGAGTGAGAAGACCGGTACTATGGAGCTTCACAGCGTATTTCATGAGGTGCTTAACATCATACGTTGTTGGGAACCACTTCTTCATGATCTTATCAAACTCGCTCTCGTCGTTGGCTAGCTTTTCGTTGGAGAGAAGCTTCGTAAGGTAGCCGAAGTCATAACCGCCGTGGAACGAGATCCACTTGACGTTGTCGAAGCAAACGAAGCCAGAAGGTATGAAGAGTGCGGCAAACTTCTGCGGGTCGATTCCGTCACGTTCCAGTTGGTTGAAGTCAATACCGGCGTGCTGTAGGGATTCAATCGAGGTCTGGTTGTACATGTCCTCCTTGAGAGAGAAGTTGAAGTTGAACTGCCAGGCGAGAGGCATTTGCGCCTGGCTTCCTCGACTTCGGGCATTGGGACCAACCTCGTTCGACGCATTAGCTCGGTCGGCGGGGGTTTCGCCCTTCTCGTTGAATAAGCTAAGTCCTATCTGGATCACCTTCAGCAAGTCAACATTGACACGTAGGCACTGGTAGTGGTAATCGCTCTTTCCTCGGAAGTTGCCCATGGGGCGGCCCACGATACCGGGAAATTCTGTATCCTATTTTCGAGAGGTCAGTAGGCGAGATTATTTTATTATAAACACTCTTAACAAGTCAGAAGTAACCAACCATTGCTACGTAAGGATAGTCGTCAACGAGGTCCATCAGGATGGCCATCTCTTCGTTGAAGTTGTGTTTCCAGACCTCGCGTACACGGGGCCTACCTGCGCCACCCGACCGCGCCTGTCGATCAGCTCCCATAGCGTGGGCTTGGTGGGCGTGCTGCTGTTGTTGCTGCTGCTGTAGTTGCGCGGCGTGTTGGAAGCCCGATCGGGCAGCGTGGCTAGCAAAACCGGTCTGGTCTGCGACGCCAAAGCCAGCGGCAGCGTTAATGCCACCACCGAGTCCTAATCCGCTAGCTGCGAAAGGGCTCATCTGCGTGTTACCTAAGTAGGCAGAGTTTCCCAAGGCGGGGGGTTGGTGAGCGGTCGCATGGCCTTGCGACGGGTGGGAGGGGAACTGATGCTGATAAGGCGCCATGTTCGGAGGGCCACCCCCGAATCTGGAGGGGGGAGCCATTGAGTTGAGTGAGGTCCGTGTGTCGCGGACGGAATTCAGTTAGGTTTTCTGGTCGTTGGTATGAAGGGAGGAATAGATACGGTCGGCATTAGGGAGCTTAACGACACTAGATACTAGATGGCTCTTAGCCAAAAGTGGTTTGCTGTAGCTATTGACGCGTGCAGAAATCGTGGTTTATATTCTGCTCGCGCCAATCTGTCAAATACTGAAATTCAACCACGTGAAGTTGTTAGATGTTCGTGTGTAGTTAAAGTGGTTGAATGGTGAATGGTGAAGAAATGGTTTAGTAGGTAAAGGCTATCTAGGTGCCTTGGGTAAGTAAAGATGTGATGTTAATGTACCTAGGTAAAGTATGGAAACTTGGTTGAGCCTTCCGAAAACCCTAAAAAGTGAATCGTTAACTTGGAAAGCGGCAGGTGTAGCGTTAGGTAGATCCAACGCGGAGTAGGGAGAGAGATACCTGGTACTACCTAACATAGTACCTAAGGTTAATTAATGGACGTTATTGAATTATACCTAATAATAAGTGGTCTAGGCGTCTGGGCGTGAGAGAATATGTACATTTAAAGCATACGATTTTTCAAATATGAAGTTATCCCCCTCAAGTAGATCCCGCTTCTTCCATTCCATCTCAGGCTAAGAAAGGTACTTCCTATATTCGATTCGACCGGTGAATGAGCTTTCATTGACTTGCTCCGAGAGCTCTTGCAAGCCAGCTTCCCACACCCAACCTATACACACAATTATTCACAATGTATCCCTCAAGGTAAAATTCCACTCCTACTTGTTATTTTAAAGATGGGGGGAGGGTAATCGCGCAATTGGCTAACTAGGTACACCCTCGAAAACAGGATACTCCGATCGCACCAAGGCGAGAAGCCGAACATCACCGGCTTTGACATCAGGAAGTTCGCGCACTCGGCTGGACAACCGAGATACGATCCCTGGGAGCGAGCGTCAGTTCTCCTTTCTTCCTTCTTTTCCCTTTTTCGCACTATCATATCCCTCTTCTTTTCTTACCCGGCTAGCGACAATCCGGCGTGAGCTAGAATTGGTGGTGTTGGTGAGGATAATCTGCTGACGTGGGGTTTGGTTTGTCTACGTATAGGGAAGCGTGGCGATACACAGGCCAGTTCACGCGCTGGAACCGCTTCAAGAACGCCTTCCCCGGCCTGGGAATAGCGACCGTGGCTTTCATCGCTTACGTCGGATACGAGAAGTTGTTCCTTAGCGACGACCACCACGGAGATGGACATGGCGAGGAGCACCATTAAGCGAATCGAATGCTATAGAAGTGGAAGTGAATACAACATTGTACATACATATTACTAGGTATTCATCCGACCAGACCAGTCCGCGGCGAGGATCGGGTGAAGACGTAGCTCGCAATATACTCGGTTACGATCATCAGGGTAATCGACGAAGAAATATGCATCAACATAAGAATACTAGCTATATCCTCGAGTGCGAACTTGCCACAGTTTGGACTGTGCCTTAAGGTGCTATGCTTTGAGCTTTTTCGAGGCTTTGATTTATTGGCATGAGTGTTGAGAAGAGTACAGAAGAAGCAAGATCGCACTTAAGGATATAATTAAATGTCGTCCAAGCTGTATATTTTACGATGTTGATATTGAACATGGAGCGGTGGTCAGGCTTTGGCTATCAACCATCCATTTCATCCCATCTCATCTAATCTGAATATTTACATCGAAAGTAGATAAAATGCCATGCTTCTTCAGCCGCGGTTGCTGTTGTTTGGCGTACCTCTCCTGTGTTATTGCTACGATCTGCCCGACGGATCTCTGCCGCAACGTCTTTCTATTTCCACCGTAATGAAATGATGTTGACAATGCTGATGAGGCAGGCATAAGGCGTGAGATATGCTCTTATGTGCCGTGCCTATGATGATGATGATGATGCATGCATGCAAGTATGTATGCAAAACGAACTCCCCAAACTGAGCCCGTGCCGAATAAAGATAGAAAATAATGCCACCGTATCGTATCCATCTCCTTCTCCTTAGCTACCTATCCAACGTATCTTGCATAATACAAACCTACCTAGACCTACCTACACTACACATACACACGGATATGTATATACGTATGTGTAGGTAAGAAGGAGGTAGGTAACGTGGGTACATATAGTTATCTCGCCCAGCCCCTTTTGCTGCTCCTATTCCCTCGCATTCTGACATACAAAGAATTTCCATCTCCAAACATATCTGATTCACTACTCCTACGACTATTCCTCCTCCTACTACTACTTACAGCTTAATCCCATTCACAACGTCCAGCGCCCCCTCGACCACGACCTCGAGCTGCGCAACGCGGTGCTTCAGGCTCTTGTTCTCGTCGCGCAGCAGGCTCACCGTGTCCCACGCCACGCTCGCGTCCTGCCCCCGGCAATTGCCGCACCCGTCCGCCGCGTTGTCGCCGCCGCCGCTGCTGCTGTTTCCCCCGGAAATCCCCTTGACGAGCTTCTGGAAGGCGGAGAGCTGCTTAGGCTTGGGGCTGGGGATTGATGCGCGCGGGGACCGGATCGCGAGGAGTTCTTGCGGTGGCTGTTGTTGTTGTGGTCCGGGTGTCGTCGGCGGCGGGATCTCGCTCTCCGTCGTCACGGTGGCAGTCGGACTCCGGCTCCGGCTGAATATGCTGTCGACCTCGACGCTCTCGCCGTCCGTCACGCTCGTCCCCGCCGACGTGTCGATGCTCAAGTCGGACCTCATCGTGCCGTCGCTGTTCCGCCACCTCTTGCGCTTATCTTCTTCTTCGTCCACGCACAAGTCCTCCGTGATCATCGGTCCTTCCACAAGCTCATTTCCCCTTCCCCTTCCCCCCCCTCCTCCTCTTCCTCTTCCTTTTTCTCTTTCTCTCGCAACAATAGCAGCAGCCAACCGCTCTTCCACCTCCCTCCTCGCGACTTTCTCGGCCTGCAGCTCCGCGACGAGCTGCAGCATGGCTTGTTCCTGCTCCGCCGCCTTCGCCGCCATGCTCTCGAGCTGGCTCCTGAAGCTGCGGATGCGCACCTCCGTCTCCGCGAGCTCCTCCCCTTGCGCCTCGCGCTCCGCCTCGAGCTCCGCGACCGCGGCCGCGCGCCGCCGGTACGCGTCCTGCATCTTGCGCAGGAGCCCCACCGCGCGCGCCTGCAGGTTCTTGTACGCCGCCGGCGAGAACGCGTCCCCCGCCCCCGCCCCCGTCCCCGGGTACAGCGCCGCTTCCACGTCCATGTTGCATATCTCGTCGTCGAGCTCCTGCGGCGTCATCTGGGGCGCTGCGTTGTTATTACTAGTAAGCCTTGTGGTGAGCGAGGAAAAGAAGTTAAAGCGGGTCGTTGGAGTTGCTGCTGCTGCTGCTGTTGTTGTTATGGTTGTTGCCGTCGTCGCGTTCTTGGGCGTCGTGTCGATGGTCGCGATGCTGCTGCGGCTGGATTTGGGCGTCGTGTTGGGGGAGATGGAGATGGCAGCCTCGTCTGCAGCGGAGGACGGTGTTGGGCTTAGCCAAGTGCCGTATCTGGCCGACGAGGTATCCGAGCGCCGGACGGCGGCTCGTCCGTCGCCGGTAAGCGGCATGGTTCCTTGAGATTGGTGCCTGGCGTGGCGGGCTGGTTTAGGGGAAGGGGAAGGGGAAGGAGAAGGGGAAGGAGAAGGGGACCGCGACTCCACGTTTGAGAAATCGAAGTTTGGAGCGGACAGCTGCCGTTGGTGCCGTATGTTCGATAGCAATGTAGTATTATTGTTGCTTCTACTTTTATCACTGAGCGGTGTGAGGCTAGGTGGTAGTGATCTTAATGGGACGGAAGAGTACTCCAGAGGTTCGAAGGTCATAGTTGGCTCTGGTTCGTGATACCCGTATGTCGTTCTCCCAGGTTCGCCGCTCGCCGCGTACGCCTGATGAGACGTATCCATCCTTGTCTTGTTTAAATAGATGGTCTTGGAGCGGCAATACTAGCTAGTCCTTAGCATAATCGGGTATTGTTTCGGGGTGTGGGACGAGGCAGGGAATCGTCGGGGGAGGAAAAGGACCCTTTTCTGGTTTAGGGAGCGGATCCCTGGTTTTTGTTAATGCTGGGGTCTTATTGTCTTGTTGTTCTAAGTTGGTAGCGTATTGTACAAATTCGGGCCTTTGGGGAGGGAGCTTTAGGTTCTCTCTGTTCGAGCTGGTTCGAAGCTATCCCAGCTGATCGAGAAAGCCAAATAAGAAAAAGGGAAGAAAGTGATTTGAGGAAAGGAAAGATGACATACATTAGGTAGTATGTCGTCTATCTTACCAGCCACGGAGCCCTGATCAGCAAAACAATAACATTACAGGTATTGTACACTGCACTACAACTACACTACACTGCACTAACACTGGAGACAAGCATAAACCAGTAACCAAGCTGCCAAGGTATTGTACCACCTTAAGTACCTATCTTTTGCTATGTATTGTAGGTACAATACAATACAATGCTTCTGCAGCGGTGGGTCGTCCGGTACTCCGGGATTCCAGATTTACCTAATGTGTAAGACGGGTGGTTGGCAAGGGTAACTACTATGTATGTACCTAGACAGGATCAGGATTCAGGGCCAATCATTTGAACATCTCTGCTCGATACGGTATGTAGTACTGTAGAGAGGCACAGTGTTTATTTAAAAAAGCTTCAACTTTTTCAACGATCCACACTTATCAGAAAGCAGGGAAGAGCACGCGGGAGATCTTCTGGGATGATGATGATGATGGTCTCGTTTTGAGTTCATTAATACCTCAGCCTTATGTAGGACGAAGGAGTTGTTATTAAGACCACTTTATTAATTCAAGACTCGAAGGTAAAAAAGTTGGAAGAGGAGAGATGAACTTTGTACATGCCAGCCATCGCATAACATGTGCGCGTGCGTCTTGTGTCTCTGGCTTGTGATAGGCAACTTGTTCAGCAGCATAGACTAATATCCAGCCAGCTTGGAACTTTGCTGCGTCAGTACCAAGCTTGCTTTTGTTTTTGTTTTGTTTTGTTTTGTTTGTATTGTACGAATTCAAATTTCCCACCGAACCAAAGTCATCGGATACCCTTCGTATAGCGTATTTTATATATGTACCTACCTACCTAACTTAACATACTAAGTAAACAATCGCAATACCATCAATAGCCTTAAAAGGGTTTCGATAGGTGGATAGCGATGCTCAAGGTTCCAACCTTGAGTTTATGCCGGTTACTATCGCATTTTAACAAGTCGACGCATGGTCGATGCACGTGGCACATCTAACCACATACCACACCGATTCGGTTAGGCATTTGGATAGCAGGTATGTACCTACCAGGTAAGTTTTGTGCATATCTTGATGGAATGGATAGATACTGCCTAAGTAGACCGTACCGATTTATAAGTACGAGAAAGATTCACTTGTGTGTGAAAACCAACGGTTCACTTTGACTAGTTAATAAGACAGAGTTGACTGACTTAAAGCAATAAATCCACTACCTAGTAGTATCTCCGTTTGCTTCGACGAATGTGGACTATGGCATGTTAAGACCAGTTTCACTTGTACGTATCCAGCTGATGCTGAAAAGCGAATCAGTGTTTTAGTTACTACATCACCTCGACGCAGGCACTACTACGTTGATGTTTCAACTCACTTCCCACAAAATCACACGCAATGCCAATTCGAAGTAGCAGGCCTAGACATATTGTCATCGAGAGCTGATCGATTCAAGTTGGGTCCGAGTGCTCCGTTGAATAACTAGGTAGGTACCTAACCTATCATTACCATTGCCCTTTTCTCCCTAGTATAACAACCCATAAAAGCTGATATCAATTATATTCAGCTGTCCGTCATACTAGTATGGGCGGCTGGTATATTCTCTCGTCCGCAATCAAACGGCAACGCTGTCTTTCCCATCGGAAAATTCGCGTTTTTTTCAAGGTAGGTAGACATACTCTCGAGACCTCCCACGAAATCTCAATACTAGGTTAGTTAGGTACCTAAGGTAAATTGAAGCCCCAAGTCCCGGCCAACCATATAATATAAAAAGTTGGCTCTCTCTCTCTCTCTCTTCAGTAGAAACTCTCCACCATGGTATCTTTCAAGTTGCCGCCGATGTTGCCCGGCGCAGCGCCCTCGCCCAGCCTGAAGACGCTCTCGATAACACTCAGTTCCGTCGCCGTCGTGTCCAGCCCCGTCACCGCCAACCAGTCGTTGACCACCATGCCGGCTCCCACCACGTTGCTGCCTCGGTTTACGCTGCCCGCGACGAGCGGTACTTGCAGGAGACTGCTCAGCTCGTCCTGGTCTTGGATACTGGTCTTCGGGTGCACTAATCCGCCCTGATTGCTCAGGGCCATATAGCTCCCGACTAGCACATTGTCGGCGACCGTTTGCCGGAATACCTCCACGCCCAGGACATCTGAAATGATTTCTTCCGTCTCGCGCTCCAGATCCGGGTGGACTAGAGCTATGTGATCGTTTGTCACGATGACATTTCCCAAGGCGGACAGGCGCTCCTCTATTCTTTGGATCTTGATCTCGTCAGGTAAGGAATTGCGCAGATGTTGCAGCTCTTGATCGGTTGTAGAAGTAGGCACGAGAAGACCCTTGCGGTTCCTAAAACAGCCACGACAATCTGGTTAGCGCATTGGGATATATATACATATATCAAGAGTGTCTTTTCTTACCCCGCGGTTAACCGGCCGATGATGCGCGTGCCAGCAATCGTAGTTCTACAAATGGGAATGACATCTTGCAGTTCGGCCTCGAAGACGCTATAAAAGTTTTCGCTCGCGCCGACGGCGGTCAGGGCGTAAGAGTTGGTGAGAGTCGCGAAGACGCCGACCCTACGTGGAATTGCATCATTAGCACTCTTCTCTTCTTTTCTTTTTTTATCATGTATTTTATCATGTATAAATATAATACCACACAAATTTGCTTTTGCGCGGGGTCCCTTGAAAACTACATAGGGTAAAATAATGGCGGGGGGGTTAAGGGTCCTGGGGCTTACTCGTTGGAGTTCTCGAATTGAGCGCGCACAGCCATGATCTGTCCACCGCAAGTTGTAGTACTAGACACTATATCGGCCGGAATTGTGACGAAACTGTGACGAAGGAAGAGAGATCGAACAAGAGTGAGTAACCTAATGTTGGATGCTGTTGAAGAAGCAAGTAAGAAATTCTGTTGTCTGATAATGCAAAAGTATGTCGATAAAAAAAAAAAGCCACTAAAAGCTTCGGGATAGTGCAGCGTATTAATCTAAAATATTCATGTGGGGCTATAAGAGACGTACAAAGTACAATCTCGTTATTAAAATGGGCTCTAGAACTAACAAGTTAGAACATGTAACTAGTTGTGTCCCGCCTGTGACTCAATCTGGCATTCGGCATTGCCACAAATGATGACTCTCGCGGCTTTCAAAGCAGGGGTAACTGTAACAAATACATTGTTTGCACATGCTTGGCTCGTATTAAAAACCTGTACCGGATACTTTTTTTTGGCGCATGCTTAGCCACTATGAATCATTTTTACTCATACAATATTCGATACATTTCATTCTTACCTTAACTTAGGTACCTACCTAAGCTAATTATCCACCTTCTCTACCTGATACATACCTAGGTGCCTTGTACCTTAGGTAAGTTGAACCCTTCATGATATATGGGGCTAATACTTGCACGGATGAAGGTAAATCTTAAACCTCCCCCTTGTAGGTTAAGGTTGTTCTGGATTAGAATACAACAAGTTACCTACCTAGGTACCCGCATAACTCTATAAGAATCTCGTATCATACATAGTCTCTACAAAAGTATTCCCACACAAGTGACGTGGATACACTCACAATCAAAGACAAGGAGTTGCTCCTTATACACCATATACATGTATGAAATCATGTATGAAATCATTACCTATGCGCCTTAGGTAGAGCCAATGAAGCTACATCATTGCTAACCCTGGTTTTATCATGGATGATTCCCCCAAAGAATACACGTGATAACCATCGTTAACCATCGACTCCCATAACTTCCTTCTTCATCAATCATCATCGTAAATCCACCGACGGGAAATATCTCGGTCCTGCGAACCCTTTGGCGATGACCGCCTGTATGTCGATATTTTCGTCTGGATCGCGATGCGGATTCCACATCTTCAACAATATGAACCGTCCAGAAACCGGAGGATCAAACTTAATTGTACACTTGCTTTTGTTCCGCTCGATAAAAAATCGTGCATGAGGAGCCATCATCTCCCCGCCTACCGCGCGAACCGCCTCCTGTGTAGCTACTTGCGCAGCTTCGACTGCCTCTGCCAGCACAGTATTTGATCGATTACGATGCCGCCGATGGCTCGGATACGTTGAGCTGAATGAATAATCATTCGTATTATCCTCATCATCGCTTGTTTCACTCTCGAATGGCAAGGACCCTATCCTATTGGGCGGCCGCCAATCTCCCCTTGGAGACGGATCATCCGTCTCGTCGTCGCTGCATTCCGTAGTAACCCTGAAAGGGGGTGGTACATTGAATTCAGAGGGAATCTGAGCAACTCGGACGTTGTTATCTTCATCATCCATGCCGATATTATATAGACGCCTCGCCCTTATCTGCGCGTGAGTCATGGTGCTTCCGTCTTCATTGTGTCTGATAGAAACAATAGGCGTCTGAGCTTGGCTATCCCGTTCCGCGCGCCTGGATGAACTTCTAGAAGCCGAGTACTGAATTTGGTACTGGGCCGTTCGTGTCAGGAGATGGTCAGACGTCATCGAAACGAAGACCATACCTTCCTGAACACTATATAATCAATTAGCACGAGACTGGATAAGAGAAGGAGAACACTCACGGAGAGGTAAAATTAGACCTGGGGGCCTTTATAATTAATTCCTTCAGCGTAAATACGGTGCTCCCTTGATGCCTTAGGATGATGTTACATCTCGGCCCTTCGGTGCAGTAGACGGTCTGGTCATTTTTGAGAATATTCTCAGCGGCATATCTCTGGCCATCGTCCGAATAGATGCCACCGTCACAGCTTACCAGCTCCATGGTTAGCTGACCCGGTTCCACCTGTCCATATTTCCCATAACGGAAACCTTGAAAACCACTAGACAGACGATCAGAGTCTAATTTGCGCCTCTTGACTCGTCGATTGTCCTCTGCCGAATCCTGGGGTGGTGGTGGCGGCGGCGGCGGCGGCGGTAACGATGTAAATGTAAGATCAGAGTAAGGGTGGCCAGGAGTGTGATTAAAATCTAAGAGCGCTCGTAATTCGGAATTGGTGTCTTCTCGTAGGCGTTCCTCATCCAAGGGCGATTGCGAATCGGCTATCTGGCCATTTGCGGAGCGGCGGGTACCACGCGAACCTCTATCAATAGGTTCAAATTGCTGCCAGGCCTCGCTTGTTTCGTCGTTAATCTCGCTCCGATTCCAAGGCATTGTTCGCAGCCTCGCCGCGTAGCGGTCCAACGCTCGTGCTCGTGCACCTGATAGACTGGATGGAGGCATTGCCGAAGGTCGTCGGGTACTTGTTAAAGATCGTAGTGGCGGTAGGTAAGGAGCAGAGGAAGGATGATTATAGCGGGGCGATGCGTCGGAACTTTGGGGTTCTCGTGAGAATCTTCGTTGCGTTTCCGGGTTGAGCTCGAACGGCATGCTGTTCCGGGACGAGGAGCGCTGGCCCAGGCGAGTTAAATGGTTGCGGACGATATCAGGCCGCGAGCGATTAAGCGGCCGCGAATAAGGATAATACCTCTCTATAGCCCGAAATAACTCTCCGGAGGGGCTAATGTCGGCGGGCGAAAAATCATCATCGAGTATAGAGCGTACTATCTCGTCGGCAGTGCGAAAAGGTCTTGGGTTTGATGGAGGCCGTTCAGAAGAATCGTCCGACTATCGGGTAATAGTAGAGTTAGTATGATGGCGCTAGGGTAAGTTGACAAAACTCGGGTGCATACGTAGGGTAGAAGCTAGCGCCAAAAGAAATACGGTAATATATGATTATATGCTAGATGAAGCTGTAACTTACCATTAAGAGACTAAGGACCTGTACGTATTTGACGAGGCAAATAGACTGTGCGTCAGCGGACTAGACCGCGGGTGATGTTGCACCTGCTTAAGCGAAGAAGGGCCTAATAGTGATATGATGATAGAATTGACACTATCAGGGGTTGCAACTGGTCTGATGGTATATGTTAAGATGATCAAGGTCGATGGGTTGGCGGAGTTGATCAATGGAGCGTAGTGAGAAGTTGAACTGGGAAATCCTTTGGGAATAAGGAATGGGTACTATGGATGCAGGCGTGGAATGGTTTATGTGAAAGGGCATTGGTGAAGAGCTGGAGTGTGTAAGTAAGATCATTAGGTTTTAGGCGGGGTTTTTTTTATTTTACTTGTTTAAGGTTAAAGTGTACAAAGTAGGGATTTAATAAGGAAAATGATAAGATATACAGCTGTATCATAGGGTGATTACGCTAAAAATTAAGTACCTATTAAACATGCCGACACGGCGCTAATACTTACCTAGGTAGCCTATCTGCGTACATACCTAAGGTACCTAGGTATCTTAGGTAGAAGGATACATGAGGATCCATGAGCAAATGCGTGTGGATAGCAGGGTTATCTACTTCCTGCTTTGTACATACTATGTACATGTATTTCTGCTTTATACCTCAGCTTTATTCGAACCTTGTCACACTCTCTGTGTAGCCATCCAATTTCTTTCAGGCAGCAATATCAGTTATGATTTGAGCAAGCTAGCAAGAGCACTTCCTATCTGCTACCCTCTTCTTTCTTGTAAGCCTCCTTGTAAGCCATGAGTTTCCCTAGATTATTGGATTCGGTGCACCGATACTTGTGCTAGCACGTGCACAAAAGAAGCAGTGCTTCATAATCGTAATAATCATATCACCTAAGGAATCATCTATGTCTGGACTTATATATCAGTGTATTACATGCATGCTCATGCTATCTAGGGTATAGGTAGTTACCTTAGTAGGATACCAGGTACCCACATCGATTTGCCTAATGCACGTTATAACTACTGCACCAGGCAATGTTACCCTTGTTACCTAAAAGAGTGACCGACTACCTATGTAAGTTGCTAAGGAGAGGCAAGGCTGGCTCATGGCATCTTACCTTAAACTCTTATTAAAGTAAATATATGAATAGTATGCGATTTATATTTATATTTGTCCCATCGTTGACCAACAAATAAATTCGGCATTTAGTAGCAAAAATAAAGCCCTGATCATTATAGCTATCGTCAAACCCCTAAACAATCCTCTTACCTTAGGTAGGTATTTCCCAATATTAACGGAATAGGAAAAGAGAGGCTTGTTAGTCAGCACGCATTAGAGGTACTTTCTCATCTCTCAATCTTCACACATATCCACGCATATCTTCAGGCATGTTAATCTGAGGCATTCACAGCTCACCTTAACAACAGCTTATGCCTTCCACTTTTATCAAAATATATCTTCCTGCACATTTCCATCATTAATTTTTCTTTCATCTGCTTTTACTTTTACAACCTCGTCAACTACTTAAAAATGGAACCTCAAGACCAAATTGCTCCCCCAAATCAGCAAACTATTCCAACTGAACCTCAAGTCCCTCACCCGAATCAACCAATTCATGATGGGATAATATCCGGACAAGGTCAACAACAACAACTACCGATACCGACTTCCGGGATGCCTTTATCATCTGACAACTCGATGACTGAAAATGGTCTCCCTATATTTCCTAATCCAGACGATACCTTTGCTGCGCTCCAGCAAACGGTCTTCAATAATGGTAATTTCACTAATCCCGGGTTGATGATACCTCCGAATCAACCACATATTATACCCGGTTTCAACAACCCCGTTATACCTCAGCCAACCAACGGCAATGCTCTAACCGCAGGTAAGACGACAGCTCATTTTATTGCTGCTTAAATTCTCATCTAACCCTACTGTCAGATGATATCGCCTTATATGATCGCCAACTGCGATTATGGGGCATGGAAGCGCAACAAAAGATACAGAGCGCCAATGTTGTTCTGATCACTATGAAGGCTCTCGCCAACGAGATTGCCAAAAACCTAGTCCTAGCTGGTATCGGCTCTTTAACCGTTGTCGATGATCAAGTAGTCACCGAGGCCGATCTTGGATCGCAATTCTTCCTCACCGAGGAAAACGTCGGTCAAAACCGAGCTGAAGCCGCCGTCGGTAGAATCCAGAAGCTGAATCCCCGAGTCAAGGTCATCGCGGATTCTGGGAGCATTATGACCAAGGGCGCATCGTTTTTCGGCGGTTTCGATATCGTCATCGCAACGGATCTTAGCCCTACAGTACTCGCCTTCATCAACACCGCCACTCGTCTCCATAACCGCCAGTTTTATGCTGCTGGCACTTATGGCTTCTACGGTTACATATTCTGCGACCTAATCGAGCACGATTACGTCCTTCAGCGAGACAAGCCCAATGTACCCACGGCTGTAGGACCGGAGACCCGGACTCGCAGCGTTATTAAAGTGGAAAGCGAAAAGGAAGGCGGTAAAACTATCGAGAAGGTGCAAAAGCGCGAATTATACTCTACCTGGGATCTCGCGTCCGAGACGAGCTTACTGCCTCCCGAGTACCTGAAATCCAAACGCCGCCTCAAAGCCGTCTCCCCAGCCCTATCCTGTCTGCGCGCTTTATGGGCCTTCCAACAAACCCACAACGACCGCTTCCCTGAGCACAACAAGCAGGACCTAGAAGCCTTCACCAGGTCCGCCACGCATAGCCACCAATTACTGTCTCTCCCCACCGAGACCCTCCGCTCCGAGTTCCTGCGCAGTTTCCTGCAGAACGTGGGCAGCGAGATCGCGCCCGTGACCGCGATCCTGGGTGGCCAGCTCGCGCAGGACGTCATCAACGTCCGCGGGCAGCGCCAGCAGCCTATCCAGAACATGGTCGTGTTCGACGGCGACAAGATGGAGGCCGAGATGTATCCGCTCCATCCCGAGGGCAATCTCGGTAGGGCGCAGCTCGAACTATCGACGGCGCCCGGAATGATGCCGCTTGGTCACCTCGATGCTTCGCAGATGCTTCCCATGGACCCGGCGGCTATGATGATGGTACCTGCACCTGGCGTGTGACGGGGTAGATGACGTGTAGGTGAAATCTACGCAATAGGGGCGAGGCGAGGTTTCCTTGCGTTTGGACACAGTAGGGGCGGTCGAATCCCGCGCGTTTTTCAGAGTTGGCATAGCAGATTTTCTTTACGCTTTCCGGATTCCAGCTGATGATCCGGTTCGATTATTTCCATTTATCTGCCTGGGAATTAGCAGGCGGATTTCCGATAAGATATTCATCTTGTCTCTTTTTTTCTTCTTTTTTTTTTTTGCGAGAGTCTAAAAAAGAACGGAGGGGAGAGGAGAAAAGAAAAGAGAGTGCTCCGATAAGAGCTGTGGACAATGGTCGATCTATTGCCCACTGGTGCTTTGCCTTTGTCGTCGTGTAGTTACGATGGTATACGAAAAAAAAAAAAAACACTAAAAAAAAACTACCTAGGCACTTAAGCTCTAGGTAACCTACCTAGCTAGATGAGAGTAAGAAGGGAAGAAAAAGAGACAAGAGGGAGAAAACGCAGGCGGTACTGTACGATAAATAATAAGGCGGCCGTGCCATCTGAGATGCTTTGCGAATCTACTACATCGGTTGTCTTCTTCTTCTTCTAAGTACTCCAAGTTGGCCGACAGACATTTGCCGTAACGACCGGTATCTGACATACCTCTCATATGAGGTAGGTTAGGTTAGGTTACGTACGTACGTAAATCATGCAGGGTTGCCATCTACTTAAGCTTGCGCGTACCTAAAGTTAGGTATGTTAGACATACCTTTGGTACCTACCTAGGTATCTAGGTACCTGACCTACCTAATTTAATAGATTAGGTAGATGGATGTGGCTTCGTATATATATATCCGGACTAACCTCGTGACCTAACTGGTGCTTCTCCACGGGTGAAAGGGGGTATGTCGGACGTGCTGTTTCTTGTGGAAGGTATTGCTGGTGATACGATTGTTAGTTTAGTTATTAGTTTAGGTATATAGGTAGGCGAGCTTAGATGCCCTACTACTATTATTACTGTTACTTACTACTACTGTTACTACCACTACTGCTGCTGCTACTGGGCTTTATTCATACGTGTAGTGTAGAGCAAGCCCATCTAAAAGCCTACCTCAGACAAGCATCACAACCACCTCCGTCTACGAGGATTTTCAGACAAGCAACACTGCCAATAAAGATTAGATACTAGGTAGGTACCTTACCGTCGTGGTGGGGGTTGATTTAACGGTATATATACCAGCTTAATATATCGAATCGTATATATATGGCTTATAATAATGAACGGCTTAAATTTATCAACGTATCCATGTTTCCACGATTCATTAGTTGAATGGTATCCTTACGACTCCCCCGCCTAACGTTATAAATTTGTAATACGTACACCTTTTAGAGCCATATAGATACGGCTTAATTGAATTGAGCGGTATGCTTACAGCTCAAAAACCCTGAGCCGCTCAAAATTCAAGAGGCTCAATCAAATAAGCTTACACGTTACGAGTCAATTGACTAGATTCAATTGACTAGATTCATTTCATTCAATTGATTCAGTATGTGTGGCCTTGCATACGGCCTTGTATGTGGTCTTGTATGTGGTGGTGGTGGTGGTAGGTGCGAAGCTGCCTATTAGATGCATATATACCCCAATAAGGATATCACACCTACGCGCGTAACGTAATATCTAACGTAAACCTTTCGTAGTCATTGGTCTATTTGAAAAGTGCCTGTAGCCTGTAATATAATCTTGTAACTTGTGTAAAAAAAATAATAATAATATGATAAAAAAAAAAGTATTACATCATTCAATTAATATGGTTGCACCATACAATTGAAATAGTACGGTACTTCCTTTTTCACATATGCTTGTAAACCATATGAACGGCTCGAATTTTTAAGCGGCTCAGCCATTTTAAGCCGTACATATACGGCAGAATAATTTTTAAACTGCTCAAATGGGTTTAACGTTTAGAAATATAAGCGCGATGTTTTCCATTTACGGTATAGAGCGTTTCAATTTTTTGAGTTGTATATAAGCGGTATATATACGGTTTAAGAAACCCCCAAGACGCTAAGGTATGAGATTATTAAGGTATTTATTTACTATTGCGGCATTGAGACTATGTGCCAGCAAGATTCCATCCGATCCATCAATCTGTCTATACAAGAAGTCGCTCGCGCCTTTTCTCTGTATCCATTCGCTTGTCCTTCCCTCACCTCCTTCTCCTCCCCCGTTTTCTCCTCCAAGGGGAATCATACCATATTAACCAACCGACGGACCAAAACCTCCAACCTCCAACTGATTATAATGCAAACCCTCTCCTTTCCCTCTCCCTGTCTCCCCCTCTCTCTTCTATCGCGCAACCAGGTGGAATCCCCCAATCTGTGTTAGATACACAAGATATCGGTATGTATTTAAAACAAAGTTGTCGAGGAAAAAAAAAAAACAAAAAAAAACCACACAATGGCGAAAAAAATTCGATCCTTATTCCTGAACTCCAAATTTTTATGCAATGCTTTCTTTGGGGATGGTAAGGGAAAAGGCCCCCGGATATGCAATTCCCTTGTTCCAAATGCAGCCTGCCTGCCTGTCCGCCTGCCTTTTGCCTGTCCGGCGCCAATGCTGTATGTGTGTGGTATATAACCAAGTTTGATTGATGATGATAATGCAACGTCGAGGAATGCAAAAGTTCGTAATAGTGGCAAAATAGAATAGATGCCAAAACGCCAAGTTGTATGCGTGAGAAGGAGGTAATATGTATGCGGCGGGAGGTAGGTAGGTCGTATGTAATAATGTCGTGTAATAATCAATAAGGAATTTAATGGTTTTTTTTTTCTCGTATCCACTGCTCTATCATGCAGATTACTCGTTCCCCTTGTTGTATGGGGTTTCGGTTCGTAAATATGTAGGAGGTAGGTTTTGGTCGAAATATGTACATAGACCGACCGAGAATGAGGAGCCCTAGTTTCGCTCCGAGGCGCTCCATTTGCTGATGTAGGGTTGTATCATGCTGTGAAACAATAGTGGTCAACACGACGGTCTTACAATACTCTTACAATAGTCGTCTTCGGTTGAGACCTACTTTGGAGATTCCTTCTCCTCAGAGTCCTCCTTCTTCACACTCCTGTTTCGACTCTTGGAAACGTTGTTAACGTTCCAGCCTCTGATAGTCGTAGGCCCGGTTCGCGGAGGAGGCTCGTTGGCTCGGTAATCCTTGATAGCCTCCTTATGGTCGTAGTGCGCGAGCCTCAACTCCGTGCCGCCGTTGGAAGGCCAGGGCCGGTTGTGGGGGATTGGTGCAGCAGCGATCTTACGGTACTTTCCATTGCTGTTACCGTTCGATGACGAAGCACCCTTACCACGGGGCGTATGCGCGGGGGACGAAGGAGATGTTAGAGGCGGGCCAGTCGGCGATGTCGAAGGCACAGGGATGTCCATCTGTGTTGAAAGAGGAGCTAGGTGTGGTTGGGTCTGCAGGGGAGGCGACATTTCAATAGGATAAGCAGACATATGGGGAGGTATGTGCGGCTGGTTTAGCAACATACCGGACCCGGACATAGGCGGGCCTTGCTGAACAGGCATCGGCATTAGGGTCGACTCGCGATGGAAGCTCAGGCCCTGGTGGAAGGGTCGTGACGGTGCGGGCGCGAAGAAAGCCCCCGAATTAGAGTGGATTAGGCCACGGGGAGAATCGAACTCTTGCGCCCGATGAATAGATTGAGGTAAATGTGGCTGAGATATGTTCAACCCCTTTCCCAGGCTATCTGACCTGTTGGGTCGTAGGGGAGGTAGAATAGGGGTATCCCTTACGCTGCTCTGTGTTGAAAATGGGATTCTAGGGGGCGTGGGTTGCTGTGGTACTTCCATTACTGCGGTAGGAGCGGGTGCGGGCGCGATATGTGCGAACGACGAGGTGGGATTCAACGCGGTCCGTAGGAATACATTCGGGGGAGGCGGAGCCTGAGTAGGCATGCTGAGAAGACGAGGGTCGATCATAGAAGAATCGCCCGCGAGCATAACCTCTATCTCCCGCTGTCGTAGTATTTCTTGTTGCAACCGCTGATAATGGGCTATCTTCAAGGCAGTGTTCGCCAAGATAGAAAGTGGGATAAGACTAGGCTCCAAATATTGTTCCGAGCGAGTAGAGATCGGCTTCGGTTCCGCACCCTTAAATACGTCTCTCACGGCATCATAAGGGCGAGAGGGTCGTGTAGTTGAAGACGGCTGTGTAGCCTTGCCAGCATGCGAAACTTCGGCAGCCTGGAGAAGAAGAGACACACGGTCCCTGTAGGTAGAGACATCTACTAACTGGGCCGAGGGGGTAGCATCAGAGGACATAGTAAGTCTCTCGCGGACTCTGCGTTCTCTTTCCCGCATTTCATCGGTGACAATTTCCTCGGGGTCAAGTTCTTCCTCTTCGCAAAACTTCTGAAGCATTCCTGACATGGAGCCCTTTATTCTATCCTCCTTCAACATCATGTCCATCTTCATAGGTCTAGTAGAGCGAGATGCATGGATGGTTGTGTGGTTGTCAGGTACGAACACTACGGGCCGAGTTCCATCAACTTGCTCGTGGTTGTATTCCGGCTCGTTTGTGGAGCTGGGAAGGAACATGCCATACTTCGGATGTAGCCCGTGCTTCTTTACAAGTTCTGGGTCTAGGGTATCTTCCGTATAGTCTCGGGCATCATAGTCCTTGACTGTGTGGTCCCAATGCCAGGTGTTGGAATTAGGCGTGTCGAGGAATATGCCTCTAACCGCGCGGGTAGCTTTCCGGGTTGAGTCATTGGTAGAATCACGGAAGCCTATCTCGTTGTCGTCAAACTGGAATAATGGTGGAACGATAAATCTGTTCCGAGGGCTCTTTACCCGTTTATTGACGCTGCGGACACCATACTCATCGGGATCACCTGCACCGGCAGGAAGGTCAGGGTAGTTTTTGCCTGAAACGGTAACTTCCTGCTCATCAGGCGGCGTGGGCGTGGCAACATTAGACTCCGGGACACCATCGGGCTGTTGCTCCGAAGCGAGAAGGCCATCAGTATGTCGGGGTTTCTTGGAGTCGGATTGGCCATTAGACTGATCTTCCGCTTTCCGCTTAGTAACGGCCTTTCCTTTGCGGCTCTTGGCACAGGCGGCGGCATCATCAGATTGATCCGTGAAGGAGACGTAAGGTATATGGTCAACATATTGATAAGTCAAGTCAAGCGTCTGGGCGGGCTTGTTAATATTAGTTAGGAAATTGAAACGGAGATAAGGCGAAGAAACCATATCCTAATTTACTCACATCGATAGCTTGACCTTCCCGGTGGAGTTCTGTAAGAATACTGGCGCGGTTCTCTGCGCCGTCGTAGAATTCTTCGGTTTCGTACTCGAACGAGTCCTGATGCGAGTGTAAGTAAAGTATAAAGTAAAGCGGGGTGATTTCGAAATAGGAATAAAAATTAAATAGAAGTAGAAGTAGAAATGGAAATAGAAGTGGAAGTGGAATAGCTCTTACGATAAAGCTTTTATGGGTGCAGATGCAACCAAGCTCGTATTCATGTTCTGCCATCTCGTCTTGGATGTAGTGTTCTAGGTCAGCAGCCTCGAGTGCATTCTGGAGCTGTTGGTCTAGTTGTTTCTGAACGGCGTAGTATTCAGGCACACCCTTATGGCCATCCCTCGATGTTAGCAGGTTCTTGATGTTTTGATCAGCTATCTCATCAAGAGCCGGCTTGACAGACAGAGCAACTTGTGAGTAGACATCTCGAAGTTCTCGCTGGCGTTCATAAGCAGCCTGAACGCGTGGATCACTGTAGACTTTCTTCTGGCCTCTTCCCTTACTACGAGCACCACCTTTCTTGGCGGCTGTCTTGCGTCCGGATCGCTTGCTAACACCATTCGTGGGGGCTTTCTTGGTGGTGTTGACGGTGGCGCCGGTAGTAGCTTTTCCCTTAGCGGGGCTCGCCTTGGGGGCACTACCCATGGTGGAAAGAAGAGAGTAAAAAAATAAAATAAAATGAAGAAGTCGAAAGCGTGTGATGATGATTGATATTAATTAGATGGATTGGGGGACTAGAAGTGTGTAAGACGTGCTGAAGACGTGTAAGAGTTTGGAAGGATGCGTGAAATTCGTTAGGGGTTGAATTACACAGAAATTTAAAGGTAATGCAGGCTGCTTCGCAGTTTTGCAGATAGAATAGAAGAAAAATTTACTTCCTGCGTCTCGATGTACAGTTGTAGGAGTTGCAGGTGAATTGAAAAATTCCTTGTCAAAAAGTGATGTTGTAATATGTTGTTTGCGTGTTCAGAGAGAGAGAGGTGTCGTGTCGATGGTAGAAAAAACGAAGGCGGAAAAGCGTCTAGTCCAAGTACTTCGTAGCTTTGACCAAAAAACAAATTAAGTCCGCAGCCTGTAGGAGAAAGGAAAAGAAAAAAAAAACAAGGAACGAACTAGAGGTAGAATCGAGAATAAAGTTTGTCGAATTAGGCCCATTCGATATCTGAATTATTTTCCAAGGCGTCGAGGTCGTGGCAATAGGAACCTATCCCGAAAAGCTCACTTTCATATCACTATGAGATTTTCTTCTCCCGGTGCCAGTGCCAGTCCCAGTCCCAGCACAATTAAACAGCAAGACTAATAATCCTTGACTTCCCTATGCAGTCAAGTCCCTGCGCTGTCTAGATGCGCTTGTCCCTCTGCGGCAGCCTAAATAGGTTCTGATTGGTCCGGAGAAACCCCTGACCCGCTTCCGCTTTTGGCTCAGAAGGTTTAGGGACCTTTTTACCCTTAGAAGTGCCTTGAAATCTACAAAACCAGCCACTTGTAAACCGCCTTAGATATGAACATTGGAGTATGTTAATTTTTTGGTAGAACCGGGATAAAATGTTATACTACCTAAGGAACCTAAGGTACTGTAGATCTGATCTGAAACATTAGACCCTTAAAGCTGGAAGACGATCCACGCAACGCAGCGGAGCTCTTGTCGGCTGTACAGATGTATCCGTGTACTCCTAATGGCTGGTTCTTTTTTGTTTTTTTCTTCGTCTGCCACTTATATTCACCAACCGTACCCTACTTTCTTCACCGCTAGCCAACGCCGAAGCAGGTATACGTGTATATAATCGATCTCGGTATCGCGTAGGTACGTTAGTATAGTGACTAGCTGGCCCTATTCTCTGAATAAGATTTGGCATACGTGTAGTCGGTCATTAGGGTTACCACAGCCCCCCTTCGAATATGTAGATCATAGCAAGGCCGAGAACTTTATTAAGCCTCGAGTTATTGTTTATAATGTTTATATTGTTTGTTTATTTGTTTGTTTGTTTACCATCATTTAGAGCAGCTTCCGCGTTATATGTAAAACTTAATCTCGGACTTATACGCTAATAGCTTCCTCTCGGATATACTCCCTATGATGGTGTCTTCAAATGTGTTTGATCTAAAGATTAGGTAAGTGTGTCCTTCTTCTGCTACGCACGGCGCATATGTACCTTCTAACAGTATCAGCCTTCCCAATGGTATTACTACCTAGTGTTGCCAACTTGCAGCTAGGTACGCCGGATTTACGTTCACTCCTGATCGTAAGATTTGAATTAGATGATTATCTTACTCAGGCGACCTAACCAATAACTTAGGTACCGGGTAGCTATTAAAGTTGTATCTTAGGTACCTATCCACTATCTGATGTAAGGCTCTATAATAAGCATTATACATGTACGTAATGGCCAAAACATTGCTGTACGTCTAAAGTCTTTCTTATTTATGTAAGCCAAGATAGTATATAAGTACAAGCGCCTTACGCGGGAACCTCGGATTATAAGTTACCTACCTGTAGGTATCTATCTAAAATAGGAATGGCTCGTTTTCCTGCAGATACCTGGATTAGGTACATATGTACGTGTAGCCCGTCAGTGACGTACCGCATGGTACCTTAGCTATATGTCAGTAATATGACGTCTCATTGGTCCAAGAATAAATGACCCCCGTCCATCTTTAAATCCCCGGAATTCCTATATTAAGACTAGCCCGGTTTTTTCTCTGCTTCGTCCCGCCAGCCCGCGAATGGGGGACCTTAGCCGCAAAAGAAAGTGGGATGGCACATAATGTCCCGCGGTTTGTGAGCCACTGATTTTTTTTTCCTTTCCCTCCGAGCTACAGCTCAACCTCAACCCGACATCACCTCACCTCACCTAGCCTCACCTCGCCTTACATCGCCTTATAACCCGACTTACGTATACCTAGGTCCTATTACCTCACACCTGCGAGTCCCACGCCACATTTACATGACAGTAATTACTACATAATCTCATTGGTCACGACAAATTCGCATTCACTCATTGCGGCAGGTCCGCGTTCGTTGTTCGTACTACGTACACGCGACATCATGCGCCATTAGAGGTAGCTAGCTTAGGGTACAGCAGGAGAATAATAATGGGGAAGCGGAGGAAGGTCGTGCATAATGCTAGACCGGCGCAGAAGCCCGGTGATAGCGGTCAGAAGCCGCAGGGGGTAACAAAGCCGAAACCTCAGAAGCAGAAGCAGAAGCAGAAGCAGAAGCAGAAGCAGAAGCAGAAGCAGAAGCAGCCGCAGCCGCAACGCGACGAGCCGACGATACCCTTCGCGCCCGAAGACAAGATCCTGCTGGTGGGCGACGGCGACCTCAGCTTCGCGGCCTCCCTGGTCGAGCACCACTACTGCGCCGACGTGACGGCCACCGTCCTCGAGAAGACCCTCGAGGAGCTGGTCGAGAAGTATCCGCACGCGGCGGAGAACATCGCCAAGATCGAGGCCGAGGACAGCAGGGTGCTGTTCGGGGTTGACGCCACCAAGATGGCGCCATTCGTCGACAAGAAGAAGGGCAGCAGCAGCGGCGGCGGCAAGGATGACGGCGCCGCGGCGGGTGTGATGGACAGGATCATCTTCAACTTCCCGCACGTGGGCGGGAAGAGCACGGACGTCAACCGACAGGTCCGGTACAACCAAGAGCTGCTGGTCGAGTTCTTCAAGCGCGCGACGCCCTCCCTGGCGCCTGGGGGCACGATCGTCGTCACGCTGTTCGAGGGCGAGCCGTACACGCTGTGGAACATCCGAGACCTTGCTAGGCACACCGGTCTCCAAGTCGAGCGTAGCTTTAAGTTCCAGGCGAGCGCGTATCCGGGCTATCACCACGCCCGCACGCTCGGCGTGGTAAAGAGTAAAAGCGGCGAGGCGGGCGGCGGCTGGAAGGGCGAGGACCGGGCTGCGAGGAGCTATATATTCGTCCGGAAAGACGACGAGGCGAGACCGCGTCCCGGAAGTAGTAAGAAGCGTTCGAGGGCTCAGGATGATGAGTCCTCGGATGATGACTGATGTACAAATTGCATATGAAATACCCCTGTGAATTTGCTTCGGTAATTAGACGATATAATCTTTGGGTTTGAAGTCCCTAAGGCCCTATAACCGTATGTACTCAAAATCCTCGGGGCTATACTAATATTAGATTGACGCCGCTGGTGGTTTAACAGCATTTAGGATTAGAACATCTGTAGTTTGGAATAAGATAGACGTATAGAATTTAACTCTAATATTAAAGACTGCTCTGGTATGAGTGTCAGACGATACTGTCCACTACGATGTTTCAAGGACATTTACCTTGCCACAAACTCCGCAGCATTGCCTCCAGCTTTAAGATTATTTCCCTAGGTAAGCTATTTTCGACGTAATAGTTAGTTTCGAGAGTTGGTCACCTTGACTATCCTAACTAGTACCTTTAGAAATATAATTTTTAGTGGCAAGGACAAAGATAGCTCTATCTATAGGTAACGTAGCACCGTAGATTTGTATTTCATGTACTTCTACCAGTGTGTAAAGTCTATATACAACTACCTACCTAGAAGGTATTGTTTTCTATAGGTTAGGTAGTTCCCTCTTAGATTGAAGTCGTAGCATTTGGAGTTCATATTTGGTAAAAGCCTCTTTAGTATCATCAGTATCTGAGGGTCGTGTTATTAGTGTCTTGGTTAGGTTCTATACAGAATGACACTTCTGGCAACGTCGTGATACGCTGTTGCACAGTCGATATACTACCTATACACTTTGCTTTTAATTAACCCTCATTATTGAGGGTATCACACGCCTGGCTTATATGCCTACGCTGCTGCTGCTCTCGTGGATGTGGATTCTAATTAATACAACCGGGGATACATCCCATGACACTTCTGCACCCAAGGTTCAACAAACCCCCGAGCTTCGTGTATACCGGCTCATGCTATAGGAACGGTGTAACACACTCCCTCCTCGCACTCTAACAATCTTCTTTAATTTAAACGTCGACCGGTATCGTCTCGCGGCTACTATCTACTATCTAGATATATCCATATACACACCAGCGAACCTGAGAAGCCAAGAGCACCACCATCCCGTGTCAGAAGACCAGCTTAGCTTGCCATCCCGCGTTCCCCAGAATTTACAACACCAAAATCGTTCTCTTACATTAGGTAGGTAGGTAAGTATGTACCTATCTATTTAAACAGGCTTGCCGCCGGCGGTTGTACTTGCCCAGATCATATAGACAAGCGGCGCCAAAATAAATTAGGTCACCTACCTCTCTTGTTTTTCGCTCCCGAGCTTCAAAGCTGGAGCCCATACCACTTCAACCTACTACATGAGGTACCTAACCTAGGTATATATATGTATGAGGTACCCAACGTATTAAATCCCCGGTACGAGCCAGGTAGCTACCTAGCTCTCTTCCATCCAATGCGAGCGGCTGCTAAACTTTTCTAGCCTATCACGGCGCCCGGGTTTATATGTCTTGCATGGTTGACGTTTGATATTATCCTATTGGCCGGTTTCCCTGTGATACCTTCGTCCTAACCTAACCTCTCCTCTTACTACCTAGATGTACCTTACCTAACTACTTATACGTAGCCAATCCCATGTATCTATATACCTCCTCTTGTGAAACCCATCCCTCGTCGAACTTCGTGTAGCATTACCTACCCGTGCGCCCCCATATAGGTACCTACACCAGGGGGCCAAGGCGATCTACGAATTTGCGTTTGGGTGTAGTGTGGTGTAAATGTCTTAGTAACAATAATGGAAGACCTCAAAGTTACATCGCATAATGCTAGGTTATGTGAGATATACGAAATGTCGAATGATATATTATATATGGCGTTTTGTGTGGATGCACATTCTAGAAAGGCACGCAGAGAAGAATAGCGCGGTCACCTGGTATTGGGAAAGAATGCTCGGACGGGATGTCCTCATGATGTTTACAGCTGTTTTGAGTGTTCTGGGAGTTGTTGGATATACAACTGTACCTATTGTATATATTTTCGGATAACGGTGATTTTTATATTCCTCTCAACAGTGTACCTTTTGTCCCTACTTATATTTACCTATAAATGTACAACCAACTCAGCCATGCCTACAATACATGCGGTATGTGTCATCCCTTTCCCCTCCATCATAAACACCCCCTATGTAACCAAGAACGCCGCAGGAAATCGTACACGGATAAAAATGGCCTTTGCCAACTGCCAGGAGTAAGGAGGGTTTGATGTAACACCACCCCTGTCAAGAGGGCTGTTGTTGGTAAATGCCCAAGCCAAAAAAAAAAAAAGGCGAACCGAATTTTAACTGTCCGCCTGGCCGTGCGCCGTTTTAGAATGGAGAGTATTGAGCCGGGTTGGAAGTTAACAAAAAAACAAAAAACCAACACTCTCGCTAGAAGCGGAAGGAGGAAAGCAATATAATGCAGATAGCCGCCGCCCAGCAGTAAGAACAGAATAAGAAGCCGTGTGGGGTATATCGTGAAGCAGTATCCTATCCTTCCCGAAGACGTGAAATGCCTAGAAACGTATAAGGGATGTTATTTAATCCCTAGAAGCTTTGCAAGAAACCAAAAAAAACCCTTTCCCTCTATGAGCCCAAAATACCCGAAAAGGGGATCGTGACACCCGTATGACCAAATTGGTCGTCTAAATATACTGCACTCTTCTTTTAACTCCGATTCGATACCGTGGTTACCGGGGGGTGGGCGTCTTTTAGTGGTTCTGGGATACTTCGCGACCTATCTCTATTCGGGAATATGGGATCAATCATAGCCCTATTGGATTCGTACGGATGGGAATTTCGTGGCGATGGCGGGAAAGGGGGCGGATGAAGAGGCTGCTGCGTTCGAGGTTGTAGAGGAGGAAGTCCATGTAAGGTATCATGTTGCTGCTGCTGTTGTTGTTGCTGCGTGTGTGGAGGATGCGGTGATGATCGTGAATCCAAGGCGAGTGACCCTCGATCTCGAGGTGATAAGTTGGCCCTTTCTACTTGGTCGATGGGTTCCGGGAGGGCACGAGGCGTGTCCGTGGTCGAAGCCGGCGAAGCTAAGGGGAAAGAGAGATTCCCTTGTTGCGGGCTGTCGACTGCACCAAAGCCTCGTTTTCTCGATTTCTGGTCAACCGGGTTGCTCGAAATTTCGTATCCAGGTGAGGATGCGTATTCACGTTGGGGTTGAACTGCGATGGGGGCTAGAGGAGCCGGTGTGATGGGCGCATACTCCACTACCCGCAAATAGGCCGAGCGAGCTTGGGCTTCCTTGTCGGCCTTGGAAGGCCGACCTCGCTTCTTGCCTGTCAAAGTTACAGGCGGGCTGATGCTAACTGGTACGGCAGGTGGATAACCATTTAAAGGGCGGCGCGGCTGGATGATACGCGCTGGAGCTAGAGGAGGCTCGATAGGGGCCATCATCGCCTGCCTCTTTGCGGGGTGTTCGGCCAGATCGCTTAGGGACTTGCGCTTGGAGTTTGTTAAGTTCGGCGGCGGATATTTAGTCTGGAACATGTTTTCGACCGCACCGAAACACTGATTCATATTGCGGCCTGTTATCATTAGGGGAAGTTCTCATTGAGGCAGACCGGTAATACATACCACCGGGGAGTTGCATCGACATCCAGTTCGGCTCGACCTGGTGAGCCTTGATGAAGTCGACAAGGGTAGAGACATCTATAGTGCTGACTTTAATCATTTCACCTAAGACGAACCGCTATAACATGCAGAAATTAGTTACTCTGAAGACAGTATCGTGGTAGCCAGACAAATTTTACCTTCTCGTCGTCCGAAAACGTAGTATCCATTGTGAGCGACTACGTCTGACACCGGCAAAGACGATTTATGGGGGGGAGGGGGGAAGGAAGACAAGGAATATGCCAGCAGAGCTGCGAGAAAGTCATTTGAATGCAAAAATGGTCCAAGATATCAAACTTGGGAGGCAACTCGTCGTAAGGCAGATGCTGAAGCGGCGTAGTGTATTGAACTGCGATAGACGCCTACTATGCCCGAAGTCCTAGGCCATCAGGTGGCAGTGATGGGCTGGGTAAACTTCAGATAGCAGGGTGGGTGATGTATGGCGCCGGGATGCTAGGTAGGGTAAGGGAGGGCGCGGGAGAATCGCAAGAGGGTAAAGAGACGCGCGCAAAAAAGGCAAAAAAAGGAAAGAGAGAAGAGTAGGACACAAGCGCGCGTCTTAGGCGAAGAGAGAACCAAGCAGTAAAGCGAGCGTGTCTCGGTTGAGTAGGTTGACTAAACCGTTAAGTTGTACAAACGAGGGAGTATGAGCCGTGGTCGTTAAGAATGCGCGGCGATCTCCTAGGTTGCGTTGCGTCTACAAGGGTAGCGCAGTGGAACAGGGTGTGGTCTCTTTTTTTTTCTCTTCTGTTAACCAGGGCCTCCTTGGGTACGTCCGTATTGTACATCTGAGAAAAAGGCCGGGAGGGCAAAAATAATAATAAATTGTTAAGATGGACTTGGATTTCCCCCCTAGTCTGTCTTTGTCCAAAAAGAGTCCCGAGCTTCACGCCATCAGGCGAGTGGCCCTCGCAGAAACCCAACATGTAATAAAACCAAGCCAAACTTGGGAAAAAAATAAAAAATAAACTGATCTTATTAGCGACGAGGCGCTGGTGCCGAATTTTCTTTTTTCCCTTCCCTAGGTTTAGGTACTTTGTATTGTCCCTCCCAATCTCCTTGCGTCTGCTGCCAGCATATGTATAATTCCCGAATTCAGAAAAGTTCATCCAGCTTCCGCATGAGTCGTAAACTGCGGCACTAGATCGAGATAGACAAGCGATCGGTATAGTTGCTGGCTCTAGTGCTGGCCGTACCGTTCTCCCAAGATCTGGGTTCGGAGGCTTTCCTGGCTCACCTTAGGTCCTTAGCCCATGCAAGAAGCACGAGCATGAGCACGGACAAGAGAGATGTGAGCTTGCGAGACGCGCAGATTTGGTGTAGTGCCGCCGCTACTAGCCAGTAGGCCATATGCTGAAAACATATGCCATTAAGGAAGTATCGTGCATAACCATTGCAACCATCACGATTTCGGCTCGATAGTTGACTGGACATGTCGATATGCAGCTCTCTACCTCTTGCAGATGGGCAAATACATCCATGTCGTTGGCTGTAAGCCAATCCCGCTGACCACTTAGACAAATCGGGTCGCCTGACTAGGCTCTTCTTGCATTGGGCTGGTAAGAATCGAGAAACATTGAATCTCGTCCTCCCTCATAGAGGCTAATTCCCACATTCCCACACCACCATAACCACCATAACCACCATCATTCATCATCATTGAGAGGTCCTCCTGTTAGTAGTGGTAGTCTTGTTCTACACCGCCAAAGTGCAATAGCAAAAAGAAGACCAACGGATTAATGGCGGGAGATGTAATGTGATCGAAAAGGCAACGAAATAGTATAAGCCCATAAGCACGGAACTGAGAAATCCCATTAGCTCCCGTGCAGCTAAAGAGCATTTCCTAGGTGGATTTTAAATCTCATTGGCCGTCCTTCCCTGCCTCCGCTCGCTCGTTTTTGTAGTAGCTCTCGAAACCATCTCCGCTCTGCGGTAGCGACCTCGTCGGGGGTCGCTTGACTGGCCGAGAGCTGCTGAATTCTCGCCAATCGCAGTCGCGGGGAGGTGCTCCTAGAGCATTCCCACGCTTAGCGACAAGCACAGATCAGGAGTTCGTTACATATGACGAGCTGTTAGCCGCGAAGTCCGGATAGGGATTGTAGTTGATCCATCCGCAATTATATAAAAGATGCTAGATGTCCTATGCCTTCGAGCATAAGATCTATGCATTTTCTCGATTTGAGGAATTGAAATGCATCTTCTTCTTTTTTTTTTTTTTCTTTTCTTTCTACAACCTGGGGATTGCGTAGCTCCGGACGTCAGGCCTTTATATATATACCTAATGTATGCTGCTCCGACACCCATACCGCCTTTTTCCTACCTCAACTTCAGGCTCTGTTCTATGCATAATGAGTTGGCAATTCCTCATAGGGGGACCCACCCACTCAGGTATAACCCGTCATTGTTCGCATACCAGAGATCCTAGACGTTGATCTTGACAACGATGCAAGACAGTTCGATAAGAAGGAAAATATTTTCCTAGCGTCCGGCCTATGTTCATCATATAAGTGCTGGACGCTATTACGTATGTCAAGGTCGAGGGGGGGACCCGACAGCTGTCCCTTGGACCTTGAATCCCTTTGTTGCAACCATCACCGCGACTTTGCAGGTCTTGATATTACTTGTACAACGTTCCATGTCGATTGGCCCGGTTCTAAAGATTTGAATCTAAATTGCTCGGACTTTGCTGGATGCGAGAATGGGGTGGTTCGATGATTCACATCTTGCGCCCTCTCGATCCCATAGGTCCTATAGGTGTCCCAGAGCTTTTACCATTGTCATTCACTGTTCTTTGACGTGGAAGCTATGATGACAATTGGTCGTGTTTCCGGTATGAAACCAGGATGTCGAGTGCGTATAACAGGTAATTGATGAGAGCAGCATGACCTATTCTGCTTCCTTTTCTCTCTCTTTTTCTTTTTCTGGTTTTTTTGAGGTGCAGAAGTAACCATAATCTTGACAGCTCCGGAATACTCGTGTCTGTCACATACTATACATACCTAACCCACCTTCAAAGACAAGGAGCATTATTATAATCTAGGGAGACCTGAGATAGGTAATGACAACAGCAGCAAGAGGAACAACATCACTTGTATGTCTTCAAGGTTTGTGAAAAGTATGATTTAGTTTGCTATTAGTTGCTACTCATCTGAAGCTTAAAAGTGCAAGTACCTCTATTGCTTCATACTGATATATGAGAATATTACGTGCGAACTATTCCCCAATAAGCCGTTATTAAGGTTTATAGATACGTGGTTAGATACTTGCCCTTAGCAAAAAGTTTATTCTACATCTGCGACGCCAACCCACGTAACCTCTGCATTATTTCGAAACTGGCTGGACAGGGCATGTACGGGGGGCAGTGCTGTACAAAATACCATGTTATACCATGTTATACCGCTTTATATAACGCTAAGGACCAATGGTTAGTGGGATTAGTGGGATAAGTGAGTGGAAATAGTGGGACAAGGCCGGAAACCGTAGGCATCGGATAATTGAATTCTGCCCCCCGAATTTACAAAGGCTGGCGCGCCACGCTTTCACCTTTCACGTACAGTGCAGCGCTTTTCGCAGGCTGGGGGAGTGGATGTGTATTGAGTACTTCCAGCACCTTTTCATTTGGGAGGAAAGACGCAATCTGCAAGCAACTCTTTTTTTTTTTTCGGCCATGACAGCGCCGTCACAATATTTTCTCATCTTCGCAACTTTACCAACGAACTTACCCCAGATGCCAAAACTTTGTTGTTCTTATATGGTCAGCGCATGTTCAAAGCCGTCTTGATAAGAAGATAAATTGGCGAATTATTCGCTAGCAATGTCACAGACGCCGTACACGAGATAGCACCGATCTTCCGCCCTCTCACCTAAGTTTCGTTCATCTTTCGTCCTTAATCTACTTTTCCCTCTTTACCTTGTTCGCGCCCTTGTTCGCCCTCTTCGCCCTTCTCGCCTTTCTTACCTTTGCTCTACATGTTCGCGAACGAGACATTGGAAACATTGGAGTCGCGTAACCCTGATAGCCTCCTCGAAAGCCTATCAAATTCGATACATCTCTTCCTGCAGCGTATCCAACCAACCAATTGTACCATCTTCCAACATAATTCTATTCATCCACTACCTGCTGCATTGTGACAACAGGAAAGAAGAGCCTCTTTTGGCTTTGTCGCCATGATGGAAGATGAGGAGCGTATTAAGGATGGCTTAGAAAGTCTTGCTGTCGACCCTGCACCCGCCTCGGAGCAGATTGTCGTGAAGAAGGAAAGTGACAGTACTACTTCGTCGCCAAATGCTAGCAAAGATTCCCTAACAGGGAGTTTATCACCTGATGATGTGAAAGATCGTAGTGACAGTGCATCTACTCCCGACGGACACCCCCCCAAACTCTCTCGAAAGGCGTCTCGCAAAATGGCGGCTCCACCGGCTCAACTTTACAACGACTTACCTGACGTTACCTCGGAGTCTTGCAGTCATTTCCAGTTGATCCCGGACTGTTTATACGGTTCCAAAGCTCTCGGGTCGACAGAGCATGACGCGCTTGATTGCGACTGCAGCGAAGAATGGCGTACGTACTACATACATATCCTCCTAACTTTGTTGGCGATGTCTACAGAGCACTGACAGGGATTATTTAGGGGATGGCACGAACCATGCCTGCGGTGAGGATTCGGACTGCATCAATCGAGCCACCAAGATGGAATGCGTCGATGGTGATTGCAACTGTGGCGATGGTTGCCAGAACCAACGATTCCAGCGCAAGCAGTATGCTGACGTCTCGGTAATTCGGACCGAGAAGAAAGGTTTCGGCCTACGAGCAAACGTATCTCTAGAAGCTCATGACTTTATTTATGAGTATATCGGAGAAGTTATCAACGAGCCAACTTTCCGAAGGCGGATGCTCCAATACGACAAGGAAGGCATTCGCCATTTCTATTTCATGTCACTAACAAAAAATGAATTTGTAGATGCTACCAAAAAGGGTAATCTGGGTCGCTTCTGCAACCACTCTTGCAATCCAAACTGCTATGTAGATAAATGGGTGGTAGGTAGCAAGCTTCGCATGGGCATATTCGCCTCGAGGAGGATTCAGCCTGGCGAAGAACTGGTCTTCAACTACAACGTGGACAGATACGGAGCCGACCCTCAACCCTGCTACTGCGGGGAACCCAACTGCATTGGTTTTATCGGTGGCAAGACACAGACCGAGCGCGCAACGAAATTGTCCGACGCAACCATCGAGGCTCTCGGAATTGATGACGCCGATGGCTGGGATACTACAGTCGCGAAGAAGCCCCGCAAGAAGAAGATTACGGAAGACGATGAGGAGTACGTTAACAGCGTACAAGCTCGCGGGCTGGATGAAAAGGATGTCACCAAGGTCATGGCTACGCTCATGCAGTGCAAGGAGAAGTGGATTGCAGTCAAATTGTTCGAGCGTATCCAGCGCTCTGATGACGACCGGGTTCGCAATCGAGTTGTGCAAATGCACGGATACCAAATTCTGAAGACCGCGCTCAACACGTTTATGGACGACAATAACGTAGTTCTTCAAATCCTCGATATCCTCTACAAATTCCCTCGCTTGACTAAAAATAAAATATCCGATTCCAAGATCGAGTCGACTATTCAATCGCTGACAACATCCGAGCATGAAGATGTCTCTGCGGAAGCTACGCGACTATTGGACGAATGGAGCAAATTGGAGGTCGCGTACCGGATCCCCCGAAAAAAGCTGGACCCGAACGCCCAGCCAACAGCTAATGCGCAGTCTGTCAACTCCTTCGAAGAACGTCGCGCAAATCGTCCCGAAGAGCCACTTATCAAGAGTGTTTTTACGCTTCCCGAGAACATTCCTAAGGGGCCACGTAGTAATATTCCTCAACGAAATCCTAACTACTTTAATAACCAGCGTTTTCGACGTCCTCAGGGTCAGAACTTGCCCCCGGGCTGGTTTACCGCCACCGATAAGCGTGGCAACTCGTACTACTACACCCGGACTGGTATCACGACATGGCAAAAGCCGACTGCGCCACCCGAGTCAGGCCCCTCACAACCCAAGGGACCATCCAAGGCAGCCCAGGAGCAGAAGACGTTGCAAGACATCATCGATTCTGTCACCAAGCCGGAAAATGTACCCAGGCGATCAGCATCACAGACTCCGCAGACTAGCAGCACTCCAACCCAGGAGCCCAAGAAGGAGAAATGGCGTTCTTTGCCAATTGAGAAGCAAATGAAGATCTACGAAAATACGGTAAGCATTGCGTTACTCTATAATTTGGCGCTACTGGATTGCTGATTATACCCAGCTTTTCCCTCACGTAAAATCCGTCGTGGATAGGTTTCATAAGAAGCTCCCCAAAGATGATCTGAAGAAGTTCAGTAAGGAGATTAATAAGAAGCTCGTTGCGTCTGATTATAAGAATAACCGTGTGGATGATCCAACCTCAATTTCCGAGAAACAGCAGAGGAAGGTCAAAGAATACGTCAAGGATTTCTTTAACCGCGCAGTTGAGAAGTACAGGGCTCGCGAGCAGAAGAAGACCGAGCGGACTAACGGGCACAGCCACTCGCAAACAAGTCAATACGCCGATTCCACCGCAACGCCGGCAGCCAAAGACGAAGATATCGTCATGACGGATGACGAAGGGGTCAGCTCGACTCCCGGCAGTCTCGATCGTAAACGAAAACGCGAGGACGATGTGTGTGACTCACCCAGCTTAACCCCTTCTGAGCCACCTTCGATGAAGCGTGTTAAGGAGGATGAGGGCGATGTCCCGAGTCCTCCGCCTCCGCCTCCTCCGCCACTTGACGGCGAAGCTGGGATGGACATCACGAGCGGATCAGATAAGCTTGGAGAACAGGACAGGCCCTTAGGAGAGAAAGAAGAAGAAGCACAGCGTGTAGCTGCCGAAGTGGAACGACAGAAGCTTCGAGAGGAAGAGGCGGCGCTTGAGCGAGAGAACGAGCTTAACATGCTCGCTTTCGAAAGGGAGCAGCACGATAAGCTGGTAAACGGCAATAACCATATTGCACCAGAAGGACTTCCCCAACCCCACGAAAACGCAAACGGTGGATTAGACTCGGTGGGTGAGGACGGAACTCCAATTCAGCACAGCGCTAGGAAGCATGAGGTTATGAGCCACTAATATAATATGCCTATAACTGCTTCCAGATACTCACTTCTCATTAGTGGGCTCAGGGGTGCTAGGCCATATCCGTTGTCAACTTCCAACCGGCCCCGTCAATCGAACCATTTGGGATAGTTCTCTACAAGAACCCCATATCCATTAACATATTACCTATATAAGCCTTAGCCATCGTCTCACTCACGACATGTATCATTGACCTTTTATAATCTCTACCTCTACCTCGCACACTAGCAACTCGATTCAATTCTAAGGAAGGGTGTTACTCTGATTCCTTCAACTTTTCTTTTTCATTATGCTTATACAAAGGTGTTTATGATTGCATTTTCCCGGTCAAAAGTACGCGGTTTTAGGGGTTCTGGTTCATTCGGTGGCGTTCAGTAAAGGGCCAGTTACACTTTGTTTGCATTTCAATCATCCACCATCGCCAGGTCGCGGAACAACGCACAATTAAAGGAGTGGTTTTTTTTTTCTTCCAAATTTCGGAGAGGCGGCATATCATGTAGTCGATTAATAGGGGCAAGGCCCCGGGGAGGAAAAGAAGGGTGAGGCTCGGCTCGCCAGATGTTACGGTTGTGGCCGGCCACCCCAGGGGGTACCTGAACAAGTGAGGAGATGTCACACTAATACGCACGTACTTCCCAGGGTCTTCATTTCAGCATGTGGCTGAGTTGGAAGTGACAAGCAACAACGGCAAACGGTAGTCGAGCTAGGTCTTTGTGCCATAATAGAGAAGGGAAAGTGGGCAGCAACAACAACAACAACAGCTGGGATTTTTGTGGTCCAGTATATACCTCTGGTGATCCATACCACCACCATCATCATCCATCCTGTCAATAAAAAGGGACAAAGGGGCTACTTCTTCGCGAGAGAAAGATAGCCTCAGTTCGCAGTATCTTGTGCAATCGAGTCTTCTGATGTATGAAAAGACGAGGTGCCTAACCTAGTCTAGTGGCTTTGCTTATGCTTTTTTTTTTCTCTCTTCCGATTTGACAGGTTTCGACTGACTATGTTCACTTCATCGAGGACTTGCGGGTGTGAATGAATATGCGCTGCTGTGCTTTTTATAGATACCTAGGTAGGTAGGTAATTATATTTGAATTCGATTGCCAGCAGGGTATTAAGCAGGTAGGTAGGTTAGTCTCAAGTCTTATGATTCCTAAAGAAATGCTACCTACCTCCTATGCAATCTATGATGACGATGACGACGACGACAATAAACTAGCATCTGAATTCCGTCTTCCAGTTCAAGCTCTGTCTTTCCTTTCCTTTCCCCTCTCTCCTCTAAATAAATCTCATTTCATCTCATCTCATATCCCCCCCCAACACACACACACAGAGTCCGTTCCTCTTTACTCCCTCTCTCGCGTGTTAACCTACCTATCTATCCTCTCGAGCATCCCGTTAATTGACGACAGAAGCCTTCTTCGTACACAAGTCGCAGGGTAACACGGAAATCAAATACAAGCAAATATTACGTAGGTCCGTACGTAAAGGCAGGTAAGGCAAGGTAAGGTATTGCAAGCGTGGAGGTGATATTAGCACCACCCGGACCAAATATACCTAATCACTCAGCCACCCTCTTCGGTATGGCCCTTCCACCTTTCCCCCCGTCTCTTCTCTTGCTTGCATTCCCCTCGTAAATCCATACCATAACATACATATCATTAGGTTAGGTACGTACCTAGGTATGTATGTACGTATCTGACTAACGTATCCGAAAGCCGTCCCATGAGTTCTAGTCATATTAATTCGCCCTTCCCCTCCCCCCTTCTGTAGGTAGTTTACTTACTTACTTACTTACTTCCCTACCTTAGGTAGTTTAAAAGACCCAAAGAACTCGATTCTAACAGAAAATCATATCGCCAGCAACCAAACAAGCAGCCAATCATCCATCCGTCCACTCATTCATCCTGTCAGCTCGAAACGACCTTCTCCAGCGCCTCGACCAGGATATCAGCATGGTGCTTCTCGAAGATAAGCATGGGCCTCAAGCGGACGGCGGTCTCGCCGCTGCCGCCGATATTCACGCCGAACTTCTTGGCCTTCCTGAGGAAGCCGTCGCGGTCCGGGTTGTCGAAGGCGATGAAGGTGCCCTGGCCCTTGCCGCGCAGGTTCGCGAACTGGCCCGGGTATTTCCTGGACAGGGCCTCGAGCTTGCCGTAGAGGTAGTCGCCCACGCGCGCCGTGTTGCCCACCAGGTCGTGCCGGTGGATCTCATCGATGATGGCGCGGAAGAGCAGCGCGCGCGCCGGGTCGCCCATCCACGTGTTGAACTGCCGGTAGGGCTTGTTGGGCCGCAGCGTCGGGTCCCCGTAGTAGAACCCGGCCGTCTGCGCCTTCTTGCTGAACGTCACCATGTCGGGCGGTTCGGGCAGGTCCCAGTGGTCGTGCGCCCAGAACTTGCCCGTCGCGCCCACGCCTGTCTGCACCTCGTCGACGATCAAGAGAACCCCGTGCTTCTTGGTCAGCGCGCGTAGGCCGCGGAAGAAGGCCGGCGAGGCGTGGTTGTCGCCGCCCTCGGACTGGATGGGCTCGACGATCACGGCGGCGGGGGGCACGTGGTAGTTTTTGATGAGGTGTTCGACCTCGGCTAGGGAGTCGGCTTCAGCCTTTGCGTTCTCCTCGGCGTGCTCCTCGAGGGGGTACTTGAGCTGGGGGAAGGTAGCGTGGGGCCAGTCGAAGGCGGGGATGTCGAGCTTGTGGATGGGCTTCGACCTGGTGGTGGAGAGGGTGCCAAACAAGCGGCCGTGGAAGGCGGTCTTGAAAGACAGGATGGAGAGCTCGGACGCGCCCGGGGATTTGTTCAGCATGGAGGACTCCAACTCTTCCTCGGTGAACTCGACGGCGGGGCCGCCCCGGTCGCGTTGACGTCGCCACATGAAGGCTGCTTTGAAGGCCGTCTCGTTCGCATCCGATCCGGCCATGCCCGTGAAGACCTGGTTAAGTCCCTTGGGTGCTACCTTGAGGATACCAGTCTCCAAGACCTCGGCCCAGTCGTGTGAAGGGAAGTTACCCAAAGCAGGTCGGTTGATGAGTGCCGTCACCATTTCCGGACTTTCGGCAGCTTTCCTGAGAACCGGGTTGTTGTACCCGACAGGTATCGAGGCAATTTGAGCGTAACTTGATAGACAAACGGTTAGCTTTTACCAAGTTGGTGGGAAGATGTAGGTTGTAGTCCTTGCTATGCACTAGGTAGGTAGGTAAATAGGTACTTACACATCGAGCAGAGCATTCCCATCCGGATCGACGATGTAGTTCCCCACGCTCTTGGTATAGTCGGCGAGCATGTTTAAACTTCGGGTGTCGAAGACCCGAGTTAATTTGGTGATGTATTCTTTGGATGCCAGACCGGGGATCTCCGTCTTCAGCACGGGACGGTCTGGCTCGCCAGGAATAAAACTCGAAGCCATCCTGGCACCGGATACTGCTAGACTCCGCGAGAAAGGTAGTCTCGATATCGTCGTAGCGGACATGGATTTGGAAGCAGAGGTAGTGAGGGGTCGCAAGGTGACTCCGTGGCGAAGAATACCCATCTTTGTGATTTATATCCGGACTTTGGGTTCTGTCTCTCACTAAAGGCCAAATCACGAGGAGAGGGTAAAGTACAGGTAGGTAGATTGGGAGGAGGAGGAGGAGGAGGAGAGGTTTAAAATTAGTCGTCGTCTATGCCACCTCGAAAGAGAATTGTCCTACCTCGACACAATTCGACAATTCGACAACAAAGAAAGAAGGAGAGAATGTCCGAGGGGGTCCAACCTGATTTATTAACACTGCAGGTGGTTTAAGAGGAAGGCAAGGGAAAGGGAAAGGGAAAGGGGACTCCGATGGCATAATACGTAGGTACCTAGCCTACCTAGGTACCAGGTAGGTAGTAAAGCTTAAAGAGCTTATCAAGAGCTTCTTATCGGTTCGTAGCGGCCGAATCCCAGCAACCCAAGCTTTGCGGGGTCCTCAAAACCCGGCCGTGATTGGACAATGAATCGGTTGCCGGTTACGTCAGCGATATCCGGTCTATACTCGTTTACGTAATGATGCGTTTCCCGGTCCTATCATTGGACCCTTTTTACCTCCCCAGCTCCCACCTACTTTGCCCCGCACACCTGAACAAAACAGACCCGGGTCCCGTCGCCGAACCCCCCAGCGTCCCGGCTCCTGGAGCTTGGGAGAAAAAGAAAAAGGCAAAAGCTCGAAATTGGCAATTACGCAATTCGGAAGGTCCATGCGATATCGACTCCACTAAAAACAACATTCCCGACATCGCTGCTGCTAATCCGACATTTTCGATACCACGATGAGGTCTATAAGAATCGTACCTACCTATCTTTTACGGATTGAGATAGATATTTGTAAATATATTTGGTATGTATTTGGTTTTGAAGAGGGGCAGATCCGTTTTTTGAGAAGTGATGGAAAGATAAAGGTGCATACCTGGTACCTACCTAGAGGTATATATCATATGTTACCTACTTGCAGACAGCCAATAGCTGCAGATATAAGTAAGTTGCAATTCCGGGTTACCGGTTATATCTCACAAATGCAGTTGCCATATGCATGCAACGTGGTAAGAGAGTTGACTACATTTAGATTCTGCCGTATTCTGCTGTATTAGGTAGGCTGCGTCATATAAAGGAGAAAGGGGTCCAGGGGTTCTTCTACAACATAACATATCCTGAAGATCTCTATTATATCATAGCTTTTTCACTACCAATTAACACATGATACGACGGCTTATATAATTACAATCATCGTCAGTGCCTATATCATAAAAATGCTACATGTTTTATAGGTATCTTAAGATTATTGTTACAAGTGTAGGTAGGTATAATAGTACGAAGCCATATGTTCGATATTCAAACCTGGTGTTTTGACATAGGCCGTGATATAGGCAAGAACCAGAATTTATAGAGATTTAGTTTACATTAATCGGTAACTAATTTCCCACCAAGTAATCAAGCCTGGTTTGAAATGCTGTCCAACAAGCTATTAGTTTAGGTACCTAACTATGCCCATGTTTCTCCCATACACTTTCAAGTACCACCTATCTTTCAGATTGTCACGATACGGCTAGGTGAACCCCTAACGGACCATCATTCATGTGTATAAAGGAGTTAGGGAGGGAGATCTTTTGTAGCCTCTTCTCCTCTCCTTATGTAACAACGATCCTGTCTACCAGATCTTTGACGCAGGTCGGCTAGCACGATTCACACATTCATCGAGGTATACGACTTTTTGACCGGATCGTTTGGCAAGGGCTGTTACGTATAAGTTACCAGGAAGTAAGATCAAATGGCATGGAAACAGCCAAGTTTTCCGCGAGCAACCTTAATATAAGAGGTAGCTATAAAAGCTTGTGGCTATCCAATGATACCACGAGTGTCGTTTATTCCAGCAGTCTAATGTAGAACCCCGAGATAGGTTAGGTTGGAAGGGGTCTTTAGGATGGGAAAACAACATACGAGGTTCGATGAGGAACCATCCGCTCGGGTTAGGAAAATGAAAGACATATGGCCAAGGCTACCTTGACCTTAGGTATAAGGACGATACATTTACAACCATTACCTATCTATCTGTTGGATATCGGTTACGATGGCTTCGAGTCGGCGTGGCAGAGGAAACAGTACGTATGGCAGGGTCGATGGATATAAGGCAATGAACCAGTCGCTTAGGGCCGTACATGATAGTTGGCAGGGAACGGGATGGCTAATACCTAGACCCCTAGCTGTCGTGCGTTGCATATAACGGAATTGTACTCCGTATCTATCTGGCCTAATGTAACCAATGCAGAATGCGTATTTGAGTAACTTAGGTAGGTAGCAAATCATCACGAACTGGGTGGCTAAGTACTAATAGAGGTGTTACCTAGGTAGGCACCTAAGGTACACTAGATGATGAGATGCTCTCGACACCCTCCATCTCTTCTAAAACCCACTTGTAAGTTTAGATAGGCTCTAAACAATCTTCTTTTCCATTTCTTTCTTTTCTCTCTTCTCCTTGCTATTTCCACTTCCGGGCCCTACCCCCTTTTGTGCGGAGAATTCGTATTCGGCATTTGACTTAAGCAGGTAGGTATGACGAGGTCAAGGCTGAAGAGACGACGTCTATTAGATACCAAGGACTAGCTTAGGAACTGTCAGTTGGGTGTAGGTACTGTCCAACCATACCCTCTCGAATAAGACATTCAGAGCCTAGTAAACTTTCAAAGGAATAATGACTTTGTGCCACCGGAGATAACCAGGAATATGATTAACTACACGTTTATAAGCCTAGATGCGCTAATGCTATGGTTTTCGAAAATAGTTTAAAGATCCTTCTCGGGTGCTCAACTACCCAAAGGAGGTAGTCATATGTATAATTCACTCGCTAGGAATACATTAATTTCATCCATTACTACACTACCTAAGTTAGCAGAACTAAACATACTACTACTAGTAGAAACATGATATTGATTTATTACCTAGGTTACTCTTATCCAGAGACTAATTGAAGGTATGAGAGGCTTGCATACCACTACTTCCCCATTGGCTACCCTCATATCAAAGGAACGTGGCTGCTATCAAGTCAAGCGAGACTTACATTGTAGTAAACGCTCAGCAACGGAAATGAGAGAACATCAGCTCCAGCCTCACAGCCTTAAACCCCGCCATCTCCTACCCTACCTAACCTGTCTACCCACGAGCTTGACCAGGGGGTTCACAATCGCAAACTGAACAAACATGAATGCGCATGGTGGGCAGCTGAAAGCCCTAGGCGCAAAGGTAGGTATAATGCCTTATATGTATGTACGCACGACGCGTGCCGTCTCCTACATGGAACCAATCGCAACCCCCTGTTGAACTGCACGCGATTCCTACAGCAGCAGCAATAGCAATAGCAAGCTCATTACGTAGGTATTTTACAATACATATCACTCGCAGCGCTATTTACTGCCAGGTATTGTATGTAGGTAGGTATGTACTATGTAAACTCCAACCTGATCTGTCAGATTTCTTCATGTACAGGTAGCACGTTATTTGCGCGGATCCGCCCGCAGCACGTAAGAAAAAAAGTCCTACATACATATCTACATACTACCCTATCCTTACCTATCCTTACCTATCCTTAGTTAGTACATAATCTGAGACGTAGTACGAACCAATCAGGGCGTCGGTGTACCTGATTCCCCCCCCTTCTTCTTCAACGGACGGCATATGGAACCTCACGGCACTATCGACTACCACCATCAACCACCGCCGACCATTATCAATCATCAGCCATCATCCATTGCGAAGGATCGTAAGCTAGGCCGTAATCTGATTAGTCCCCACGGACCGTTCGGAAATTTGATTATAACTAAATTTTTTGTTTTCTCTCTCTTTTTTTTTTTTTTTTTCGAGAATTAATACCTAGTACCTAGCAGCTATATGTAGTATGATATAGACTATAGATAGATTCAGGGACCATGGCACAGCAACCAACCCACCCACCTAACGACTGGGGAAAGGAAGGAGAAAAAGAAGAAGGGGAAAAAGAAGCGAAAACGTTGGCCGCGTAAGAACCGTTCTCCACGATCCCGGACCCAAGTTGTGAAACGAGATTAGGTATTGTACGAGATTTCTAACAACCTACTTATGTAAGGCGGCACCTGGGCATTAACTGCTAAATTACCTCGTGGGAAGCTTGGGCCGACTCTGCCGGGTTTCCTGGTTCATATGAAACTTCCGATATATCAAGGTAGATAGCGACTTAACATTATGGGCATTAATAATCAGGCATTATCAGTACCTAGTATTATTATTATTTACTTTCCCTTTTCCCAAAATCCGTCTTGGGAAATATGTTTACCTAACTCCTTATTGGGTGGGTGCCTTACATAGTAGTATAAACAAAAGAAGCGTGGACTCGAACTACCTAAGGTGGGTAGCTCGGGTAGGGATATACGATGAAGATTTGGAATACCGACGACGACAACACTAATTACTACTGACTGCGACAATTACCTTCTACCGCCGTCTAGTGTCGCAAACTAGTATGCTATCATACTAGTATAACGTTCCGGTCTTATGCACTGCCGCGGCCTAGACCGCCCTAACGCAAGAGAAGACATTAGACGTCGGTGAAAAAGGAAAAGAGCAAAAAAAAAACCTCTTCTTGACCGTCTCCTCTCGGCCGGCTAGGCTTAGCCAGCCGTAGTGAGGTATATACATATTTAGTCCCGACCGACGAAAAACCTCCTAAGATTAGTACGATGCTATGTGTTAGCACTGCCGAAGAACATGGCAAAGCGAAATTGCGGTGGATCTTAGGGTTGAGTAGGGCTGCTAGCCTGCGCGGCTTGGGCTCCATTTCTACAAAGTCTTTGCCTGCCTAGGTAGTGTATGAGTGTAGGAGCGTATGAGGTAGGTATGTATGAGTATGGGTGCCTGAGTATGGATGTCCCCGGCTTTTTTTTGAGGCTCAGATCGCGAAACGATCTTATTCAACTACCTAAATTATAGATGAAGCAGTGAAGAAGAAGCAACAGGAGTAAAAAAAGGGGAGAAATTACCACAACTTTGACATGTGGTAATTATCCTAGCATGTAGATACCTAGATGCTCGCTATATTGTCTCAGAAGGGAAGTCGACACCCAGGTCAAGTTTACTATGTAAGAGATACCTACCTAGTTAGGTATATAGGCATGAATTATACACATGTCTACCTACCTATCTTCCAAGGGCGTGACAGGTATGACACGTGAACCCCACGAAGCTGTTGCTCGGTGATGATGGGCTTAGCTAGTAAGTAGCTAGGTAGCTAGCGGACCATCGCACCGGAACAAATACACGACGTCCGACTACTACCTAGTACTTGTGGCACTCGTTCAGATCCTCTTCAGATCCTGCGTTCGGCCGATGGCGCTCGCCGCTCGGCGGTGGTGGACCTGCTGTTAGGTAGCCTCTTTGCCCCTCCGACTAGGTAGGTAGTTAGTTAGTTAGTTACCTGCTAGAGCGCCGGGTGCGAAGATCTCGATGATTTTCCTTGATAGGTATTGTACCTATGATACCTTATGTAGGTGGGTGGGTAACTGATGGAAGAACTAAACCGTGAGAATTGCCGTACGGGTAGATAATATTAGAACACCTGAACTCGGAGATTCTTGTATATTCGTTAGGTGGTGGGTGGGTGCATCTTTTATTGAATGTTTATTTCCCTCGACATGGAATGGATGATTATCCAGGTATTTAGTAAATATATGTCCTCGTGGGCATATTTTGGTATTATACCATGTACTATGTAAAATATGCCGTGTTAGTTTGGCAACTTGAGGCGATATTGCTGACATGCCGGTGAGAGCTGTGCTACTATGCAGAGAAGATGTCAACATGTTGGGCTTCGCATGGGCTATCCTTGATCCGGTAGCACCGAGTCGATACCTATCACGCCGGCTCATACCCATTGTGTCCATGAAGGCATATAAGAAAATTGTAGGCTAAGAATTCTCGGGATGTGACTGTGACTATCCAAGCAGCCGGGAAGGAGGTTATGAACGGGGGCCATCTTCAAGATGATCAATTCCATACCTACATAGGTAGGTACCTACCTAACCTATAGGTACCTGAACAGGTACCGTAAAAGAAGATGATGGTTAGGGCAGATTCGAGCGGTCAGAAATCTGGGCCAAATGGGTCAAATGGGTCAAATCAAGCGTGCTAAAAAGCTAGGCGGACCTGGCCAGCTTGATTCAAGCCGTGGCTCTGGGCTCGAATAGTCTAGAAGCTCATTGGCAGAAAATCTCGTTCGCATCGGAGATTATTTCGTTTCTCCTTGTCGGGCTAAGTTAAGTATCTGCTACGGTAATGCTGATCGCCCAGGGGGGGGTGGAGAGTCAACACTCCCAAGTTCCCAAGTTGTCATTCTCTCCCTTGCATTGCGCATATGCAAAATATTCTCGTGTGCTCTATTAATAAGTCGAATTCATCGTCGTCATCATTCTGATTTAGCAATCTTGTAGTACCAATAGGAATTTTGATACCTACCTAGGTATATTTTAGTCAATTGCTTCGTGATTTCGTTGGGGTTTAAATATGTCGTCTTTTATATCGTTTCACGAACTGTTCAGCCATCATTATCGTCATGATGGTCAAGTAGGTTAGGTAGGTACCTACCTAAGGTACCTACGTGGTAAGCTGGAAGTTATCAGAAACCCATGATCCCACCGGTACATATGAAACGAGTCATGGGGCGGGGAACTGTTTCTTTCTTACCGGGGAAGACTGGGAATAGGCACTACGGTGCTATGGCACAGCTAGGGAGACGCCAATGTTCTTACCACAGTTTTATCTAGTGTGAGCCTGTAATAGCTGGTGAATTATCCATGCGTCACATCATTCATCTGATAATGATAACAATGACCCTGGTTCGTTGGGTTTATTCTTTACGAGAATCTTGGAATGGATATGAAGTCAGGAAGAGAGAAAACAGAGAGAAAGTGTCTGGTATGAGACTACGTAGTAGTCAGTTAATGGGCGAGGTCATAGCAAACAACGATACCCCTGGCATGAGAATGACAAACCATCGTGATCAACAACCGTATCACGATTGGAATACCAGTTGTTGGAATACCAACTAAATGCGCAAGAAGGTGGAGAAACAAAGGCCTTAGGGCTTTTGCTGCCACCGTTCGAAGAGTTGTCACTTCTATGGAGATAGAGAGGTCCGCGAGGCCACGCCAGCAAGTGGATTTTTTTTTCTTCACGGACCCATTTCCCATAACGTCAACCCCAATACTACCGGGGCTTTTCTTAGCGAAAGTTGAAGAGAGACCACCAAGTTTTCTGTTGTTATTAGTCATGGAACAGTACCTAGTAGTAACAATAAGAACAATAACGATCACTAATAATACTAGTAATAAGAAGAAGCTATTTCCGCTTACCGATGCTGGTTTTGAAAACAAATTTTTATTTTTTTCGACTCCCTTTTTTTCCCTTTCGTTTTCTTTCTCTTGGCCCTCAGGTCAGAGCGTCAGACAAGCTTACTTTTTTCATATTCCTTCGCCGCAATTCTTACGATCCTTCCATATTGGGTACCCAAGCAGGCTGAGTACTTCAAAAGACTCATTCCATTCGTCCTTGGATACGGCGGTACCTGCGTCCCTTTTTTATCCACTACCGAGGACCATTAACGAAAGTCCGGGACCTCGGACAAATTGACCTATCTAGTTTCAATATACTCAAACAAATCGTATTCGTTGTCGTGGACTAGGTAAAACGTCCTAAGAAGCTTGTCAGGGATCAACGTGGTTTCAATTGGAAACTGTCATTAGTGGCATTGATATTCAAGGGGGGATTGAGGCTTGAGGTTCAAACGTTCAAACGGTAGAAAGCTGCAAAAAAGAAGAAAGCCAAAAGAAGCAACAGTTACGAGAAAAGAAAGAGAGAAAAAAAAAGGGTTACAAGTTGGGGGCTGAATAAAACAGGGACTGAGATCGATCCTCGCCAGGGCCACCCTTCCAGTATCATAGAAGTCAAAGCTGCAAATCATATTGGTTAATTCAGCCCAACGGAGCCAAGCCAGGTACGAATCCTGTCAGCCTATCCGCAGTCTTGTCCAACGGTAGATTCCTACCTATTCAGCGGCATTAGCCATCGCAAAGGAGGGGCAGATACGGGGTCGCCTCCCGGGTGTCTCGCCTTCATGATAGGCTGTTATATCTGCATACCCCTGCCAACATCTCCAAGAGGAGAAGAGAAAAAAAGGTTTCCCAAAACGACGGGAATACAAGGGTCGTGTCCCGTCTGTCAAGGTATCTGTCTGTATGTGTTGTGTGCATCCTCATCCATCCAATACGACCTACACCAACATAGGTACGCGACAATTCCTCAGGACGCGTCCCACCGGTTCTTTTCTTTTATTCTGACTGGTCCGCCGTATAGCAAACAAGCCCCTCTTTCGACTCCGTCCCATTCTCTCGGCCCTCTACTTCTCTGTCATCCCATCCTGTCCTGTCCTTCACCTCATACCTTGGGAACCTACAACTAATATTATATTTTCTTCCTTATGCCCCCTTGCCAATTTTATAGACTAGGCGACCGGTAATACCGCCCTCCACCTTGGTCCCGTCATCTCCATTCCTCCCCGTTTATTCCCTCGCTCACCTATATACATTAGGTACATCCCTAACCTAACGTACATACATACATACACACATACATTACATCCATATCACGGCCTTAGGCCCGCCACTCGCTTACCCTAAATTCGCTTGGGCCTCTGCTTTGCTTTCACTAGCCCGGCAAATATAGACCCTCTTTCTCTATCAAAAGAGGTTCTGCACTTCTCCGGGACACATCGCCTCATGTATATCCCGGTTGGTCTGCTGCATCTACTATATACTAACGACCTGCCGACACGGCTATCGACTGCCCTGGCCGCCAATTCTTTTGTCTCGGACCATCGTGCTTCTCTGCTTGCAGCGGCCCGGTCCCTTTACCGTCACCTTGGTATTCAACCCGGGCAGTATCATCTGGGGCACTCTGGTAAATTCAACTTTGGACCTCATCGACAGGAGGTGTAATCTACCAGAGCCTCAGCTTTTTTGCGACTCTGGCTTTATCTTAGCCAGCAGGAATAAGAGACAAGCGCCGCCTTGTGTTGACTTCGTTGCTGGTTTCTTAGACGTTAGTGGGCCTTGCTGCCCCTAACCGATACACCGACCCTTAGTGTGCGTCTACGCGCATATTTCGACTCATCTTAGACGACTTAGAGTCGCTCTACCATCGAAATATTTCGATACAACAGGCTTGGACTTCCATGTGCTAGCCTAGTCTTAATTCTACCCACGACATTCGTTTGAAAAAATGGCAAGAGCTCGTATCATCGGAGCTTCTCTGGGTGCCGTTGCTCTATTGGCAACGGCATCTGTCCTGGCTCTTGAAGTCATCCTGGCTCAAGGGCTTTGGGAGTCGACCTCACCGGCGCGAATCGCTGCCGTTGTCGCCTCGGCGTTCGAAATAATAATGCTCATACTACTAATCATCCTTTTTGCTAAATGTGTTGGGACTGGGATAGAGTTTGGTATCAGAAGGTCTAATGGGGTCTGGTTTGCGTTGGGACTTGTTGCCGGCGTGCTGGCAACTACTGCGTCCGTTGTGACACTGGTAATGATGGGAGGATTGGAGGGAATGCCTGAAATGATATTGCAAACACCGCTGACGAATTGGCGTGTTGGGACTTCAGTCGCACTCGTCTGCGCTTTCGTCGGACAGCTCGTTTTCATCGTCGTTTATTTTGTTACCCATCGACTGCCAGACTCTGAGCAGGCACTGTCACTTCATACTAACGAAGATAGCTCTCGACACTTGCCGAGACACATTAAATCTATCCCTTACGATCGAACGGTGCCTGCTACGAGTCAAACGACGATCGGAAAACGCACATTTGATTATCCAACCCCGCCTGGCTCGAGCGGTGGCCGATCGGTGGCCGAGACCATGAGCTCCATTCGGACTTCTGTTTCTCAAGCCGTACGTCCAATTGGAGCCAGTACTAGGCTCCTTTCGTCAACTTCCAGACCCGGACGTCGCGCCGCTTCCATCGACTCAAATGGGTATCGAGAGCGCGTTAGCGTAAACGGATCGGAGGATGGGTTTGATTCTTGGGATACATCCTCAGTCGACACTCAGAGCCGGCAATTAATCGTGGAAGCTAGCCCACCTATTCGGTCTGGTCGATTTCTGGAAACCATACCCGCAAGCCCGACAACCAGTCGAAGCCCCAGCCCCGGAAACGCCTTGGATTTCGAGCCTCCAAATCCTAATCGTAATCGTAGGAGCCGGAGTTACAGTCCGATTCCTAGACCGCATCATGAGCGCAGCATGACGCCCCAATCGATCTCGGGCGAGCTACATATTCATCCTCTCTTCCGATCTGACTCCCCGGTACCTCCGCCTGCAGTCACCCCTGGAACTGTGGTTGTTGCCGCACCTAATGCCGGGCAGGTTATTTCGGAAAAGTCTCTTAGTCGAATGCGCAGCAGTAGTCAAATAGCAGGACCGAGCCCCCTGAGCCGACAAGGTAGTTACGACAGTTTCCGCAAGACGCCAAGCCCCAATACGGATCGTCTTCGTGTAGAGGACCTAGCGGAAGAGAGGAAGATGACGCCTCCGATTCCTGATTGGATCCTGAACGCTGGCTCAACGACAAGCTTGTCCGACTACCAGTCAAAGAAACAGCGAGAGCGCGAAGTTTCAGAAGAAGCCTCGAGTATCGACTGATGGCAGCTATGACTACTACCTATTGATGATGATGAATATGATTCGGAACTCTTTATTAGAGGCTTTGGAATGTGGAATCAAGGTTTTGGGGGGGACTTGGGAGATACCATTGTCTGTTTTTTTCTTCTTCTTTTAGCGAGGCGTTGCACTACCTTTTCAACCTTGGAAAAAAGGCTCTGTTAGGTCTCTCCCTACGAATGCGAGGAGATAGAAGATAGATCTCAAGAGTGAGAAATAAATAAGTAAAAAACAATAAATAAGATTAGTCTAATTTTCTTCTTTGGATGTGAGCGAAGTGACTTTAAACGAGCTTGAGCTGCTGATTCAACGTAAGATGATATATACATTGAGGCCATTAAGAACTTTAGACAATTTGAAACAGGTAACAATATAGACGTGTGTATCCAAGTCATATTATAATAAATATTGATAATGAATATATACCTGTACGTACCTAAAGTAAAGTAATGTCTCGTCCGTAAAGTTTTCAGATGTTTGTGAGATTTTATCTGTTATTGAGACCTAAAGTTACATAAAGCACCTTCTAGTTACCTCCTATGAGGTATGTACTTAACGTAGATTATAGGTAGGTACCTAAGGTAAGTTGGAAGGATCGTTATACAGTTTGTATGTTACCTGCTGTTGCCTCGTGTTGCGTGCACACACAGTAAAGATGTGGTATTTTTAAGGTAGCCCCACCAATTGGACCCCGCATATTCAGCGGGTAACACGTTCATTACAAAACTATGTAATTCGTACATGCATCTAAAAAAAAAAAGTCAGGACATGTAAAAGTGTGTATGTAAGCAGGCATTAAGCAAGGCAGTCAGAGTCAGGCCTAAGTAACCCAGCAGCGCTAGCCGCCGCCACTGCCCGCCGCGACACATCATTAACTGCTACCTGAAATTCAAGACTCACATCAGACTTTCCACTCCCGTTACTTTCCACCAAAAAACCAGTTTCTTTTTTTTTTTTTTCGTCTGGTTAAAACTACAAAACCTTTTCCAGATCCCAACCAGTTTTTAATTCACATTACCGAATTACCTGTACCAAACGATCGCCGAAGACAATTTTTCTTCAGTCTACTCGGTTTTTTTACCCCTCTTTAATTAACCACCATCGTTATCGTAAACCTTAGTCGCAGCTATTTTGAAGCTGCCCGCCGCCACCATGAAGGTCACCTTCAAGGTAAGCATCGCAATATTGATACCAGCAAGAGTCTACCCCCCGGCTCGAGCTGGGCACCATCTAGAGCATTCATAATAATTGAATATGCTAACTCTTCTCAACCCGTCTATAGGAGCTCTCGAACCAAAAGTTCACGCTCGACATAGAGCCTACCGATCTTGTATGTCGTCATGTTATCGCCGACAGTTACACTTCCAAACCTAAACTCCGTGGTCTATCACGTATACCACATTTACCACAATATATCATGTTCTAACTGGGGAAAACAGATTTCTACCATGAAGCAAAGAGTTGCCGAAGAAAAGGGATGGGACGCTAAGGCTCTGAAGCTCATCTACTCCGGTATGTTCTTGTTTTCTTGTTGTTTCATCTGTACTACAATCGGTTATATACCCAAGTTACCCGAATACTAACCGGAAATAGGCAAGATTTTGAAAGATGAAGATACTGTCGCAGCTCACAAGATCGAGGAGAAGGGCTATGTCGTTTGTATGGTGAGCAAGGTATGTTGTCGCATCCGAGCTAGCTGAAGCATATAGACTTTTTATTAACGCCTCGAAGCCTAAGCCCGCCCCAGCTGCCTCCGCCGCGGCTGCTTCATCAAGCGCTCCTCCTGAGACACCCGCTCGAGCCGTCGCAGCAACTCCTGCTGTCCCGGCTGCTCCCACCCACTCATCTACCGCTGCCGCTGCCGTCCCGGCCACACCGTCGCCCGCACCCGCCGCTAGTAGTGATGACAACTCTATGGCTATGGGCGAGGCCCGAGCTGGTGTAATTGCTAATATGGAAGCTATGGGATTCGAGCGCTCTCAAATCGAAGCTGCCTTGCGTGCCGCTTTCTACAACCCGGACCGTGCCGTCGAATACCTTTTGAACGTAAGTGCAATCACCTACTATGGGTTTCTTATCTAACACGATATAGGGTATCCCAGAAACCGCTCGTCAACCGGACCCCCCTCGCGAGGCGGCTCCCGCTCAGGCTGCGACCGGCGCTACCGGTGCTGCTAGCCAGCCGGCCGAGGGCGAGGGCGAGAGAGGTAATGTCAACCTCTTTGACCTGGCTGCACAACAGGGCCGAGGAGGTAGCCGTGGAGCATCGGGTGGTTCTTCCCAAGCAGCAGCTAGCGTTGCCGCTGCCGCCGCAGGTGGTCAGACTCTAGGCAACCTAGATTGGCTGCGCAACAACGCTCAGTTCCAGCAGCTCAGACAGGTGGTTCAACAGCAACCCCAGATGCTCGAGCCAATCCTGCAGCAACTTGGTGCAGGAAATCCCCAGCTTGCGCAGCTGATCTCTTCAAATCCCGAGCAGTTCCTGAACCTTTTGGCGGAAGCTAGTGACGACGATGCACCCCTTCCTCCTGGTGCTCAGACTATCTCGGTCACGGAAGAAGAGCGTGATGCCATTGAGCGAGTATGTAGATATATCCCACTGATGTATGTGCTGAATGGAAAGCTAATGTGAATCTAGCTATGCCGATTGGGCTTTAACCGTGATGCGGCGATCCAGGCCTATTTCGCCTGCGATAAGAATGAAGAGCTGGCTGCAAATTTCCTGTTTGACCAGCCGGAGGACGATGAACCCCCTCAGAACTAAGTAGCACGATGTCCTCCTATGTCATCTTCGTCTCATGCTATTGCGATCTCAACGAGCCATCCTCGTTAACGATATCCGAAGTAGCGCCTCACCACCGCGCTATTACAACAACCCCTTCGTCTTAATGGCTATTATTCACTCTCCATAATGCGTTGTTCTGTCGGGAGGAGGATCTTCAAAAGACCCCGTCAAGGTACACGGCAGGGGGGTCCTTTGCGAATTTTTCCCACCCTCTTCTCTGCCCAAGGAAGAAAAATAAACAAAAACCTAAAATACAAAACTTTGGGGTTGAGACATCCATCCACCTTAGCTCAGTGGCCTGCGGGTTGTCTGTTCCGCGAGGGGAGATGGCGAGGGGAAAAAAAACCATGTCTAGATGAACCGAGTCCGTAGCTTAGTTCTGAATTCTACGGCTTTTTTTTTTAATCTCCCAGCCTTTCTTTCTGGCTCTTGTTTGTGCATTACGGCTACCGGCTACCGCACCCAACCTAGTTTTAGGTAAATAATTTTCTGTTAATGAAGTGATACTACTACTACTGATGTGCACTTATGATGTAGTAATTGGGATGCCACGAAAAAAAGAAAATTGAAGTAAGTCCTCATTGCACAACTGGTTGCAATAAATAAATGCTTCTCGGCAGCTACCCTAAGTACCAGGTATCTAGGAGGTAGGTAGGCATAGCTGCCCTACAATCTGCTATTCGACCGTAAACACAACTCGCCTACATTACCTTAGGTTAGGTACCTAGGTAGGTACATAACTGGTTGTACAGAGGCTGTAGAGAAAGTAAGAGTCAGAATAAGAGAAACAAACCAGTCGAACCAAGGCAAGGTAAGGCAAGACAAAGGTGTAAAGTAACATGCATGTATGCTCTTTCATCAATGCTATCGTAGGCTTGCCTCCCTCCCTGCCTGTCTCCTTTTTTGGATGTGTGTATGTCCATTACGCCGATAATACCGTAAATCCCCCTTCCCCTTCCCCCCTTTTTTCAACCCTTTACGAGAGGTTTATGTATAGTACATCTCGGTTTTTTTTTGGTGTCTTTTCTATGGTCCGGCTCTTTATAAGCAAGCAACCAAGCAAGCTAAGGAAACAGGGTATCAATAAAAAAACAAGCTTGCGGGTTGTTGCTGCTTAGGCCATTCGTCCCGTCCGTCCGTTCATCCATTTCGCAAATCCCACTTTTCCCCCCTACCTTAACCCTCAACTACTATTTCCTCTGTGACCGCATACGGATCATCAACTCTTGCACTCGGCTGACCGGCGGCCTGAGCGCCACCGGCACCTTGCTGCTTCTGCCCATTTTGCTGTTGTTGCTGCCCACCCGCCACCGCCACCGCCACCTCATCATCATCATCAATCAACCCAGCGGCGCGCCTCTCCTCCCTCAGCCGTCTTAGGTCCTCCTCGTGCTCTTTAGCGAGTTCGGCGTGCTCGGCGAGGATGGCTTCGCTCTCGCGCCACTCGGGCTGGTGGGCCTTGTACTCCTCGAGGTCGATGCTGACGCGCTTCTCGCCGCGAACCATGACCGCGGCGTTGATGCGGCGCGGCCGCTGGGCTTCCTCCCGGTTGAACTTGAGCTTGATCGCCCGCCGCGTCTTGCCCGGGAACATGCTCGCGATCGTCTCGAAGTCCGTTCCGAACATGCTGAGGAGGCGGTAGAAACGTTCCTGAAAGGGGTGTGGGTTAGTATTGCTCATGGTTTTTTTTCCTTAGGCAAAGGGTGGAGGGGAGGAGGAGGAAATATGACTTACAGTATCCTCCTCGTTCCAGTGATTCGCGCCCGTTCTGCGGCTCTCACGTCTAAACGATGCCGAGGTGGTCAAGTGGGAGAACTCGTCTTCTTCAACTGTTTCGAGAGACGACATGTCCCGGTGTGCCGCGTGTCGATCTACCACGAGCGACTCTTGGTTGATTACAATCTGACCATCAACAACTTCGTAACCGACAGAGTGTGCGCCTGCATCAACTGAAGCCCCTAGATTTCTGGCTCGTGCAATTGCGGACTCTCTTCCATTTTCCTCGCCGTCTACTGGAGTGCCGGCACGCGAGGCCTCTTCTCCATCGAGAGGTAGCCCCATAGCCTGTCTCTGCTTTGCTAATCTCTTCTGACGGAATCTTTCGCGTGCTTGCCGCGCACGTTCCTCGATGGCATCTGCGTGCTTGAACTTCTTCCCAATTCCCAAGTCCCTGGTCAAATCGGCCATTTTCGTGGTACTATGATCAACTGTTTGACTTTCTGGGTCCTCGATACTAAGCGAACGTCTGCGACGTCTATAAGTCTTTTTAGCCTGGGGTTCCCCTTCCGTTCCTTCCTCTGATACTGCTCTATTGCCATCAGCGGTAGGTTCCTTGCGGGGGCGCCTTTTCTTCGGCGCGGAGCCCTCTGTAGTAGTAGCATCGTCATCATTGCCTGTAGCAGTCTTACGCTTGCGGTAAACCCTTTTCTTCTTCGGGGCAGCTGCGGGGGGTTCGTTAGCCGGGGTAGCCGGGGTAGAGACGGCAATCGTGTCGGGGACGGGAGCAGGAGATGGAGGGGCAGTGGGCGGTGCGAGTCGGCTCTGTACGGACGCGGTGGGGTGTGGTAACGGTATATGTCCTGTAGCAGCGGTTTCTGGTGCCGGCGTTGGTCGTACCGGTTGATCGATGGGAGGCGAGATAGAAATTGAAGGCGACGGTCGTGGAGGCTTATCTACGGTTGGGATTGGTGCCGGTGCTGTTATTCTGGTAGTAACACTCGGGATAGGTGTTGGCGCAGGTGCTGACGGTACTTCGACAACTGCGGAAGAAGCTGTTGGGGGTGGAGTTGGCCCAGGCGTGGTAGATACTGTAGGATCTTTTCGGACTGAAGTAGATGGCTGCTCTGGTTCAACTTGTGGCGTCTCTGTGGGAATTTCCTTTGCGATTTCTTTCTGTGTTACTGCTTGACTGGGCGACTCAACAGAGGGAGTAGGAGGTGCGGTAGGCGCGGGAGTTGATGCCTGTGAGGAAACCTCAGTAGTCGGAGCTCTAGTAGTGCTAGCAGATGTAGATGCAGTAGGTGCTTGCGAAGTCGAGGGAGCACCGCCTGGTCGACGAGGAGCGACCTTTGGCTTGAAGGACAAGCCTCCGGACTTCTTCAGCATAGAACTCATGGCTACTGATGCCTAAGGGTTGCTATGCTTGAAAAATTATCTTGCGCATTGCCTTGTCAATAATTGGTTTTTTAATTGGTCTCTCAAATTTGGAAATCTGTGTCTTGCCGAAGTTAAGTTGTTATAATGTATTTCGTTGATAAGCGATTGAGTTGATTGAATTGATTGAGAAAGAGAAATATCCTTGGGTGGGGTTGGTGGGATAATAACTGTAAGCCGAGATTGGATGACTGACCGTACCTTTTTTTTTATTTTAGTGGATACTCTAACTGGACTGCTGGAACTTTGGAAGGAACATTAGTGTAGAAACATGTAACACGGGCCACCGAGGTACCGCAGTACTTCTGTAGGCTGCTTGACTCGTTATCTTTTAAGCCTTGCCCAAGTGACTACTATGTACAGCCAACTCCAGTTAACTGGTGTCTTGCGCATTGTGACTGGGAAAGCAGAGGAGCACGGAAGGCACGCTCTTGCCTGCCCCAGTCCCAGTTCCAGTCCCAATTCAGATTAGTGTTTTTTTCTTTCCTTGTGGGCTTCTTGATTGCAACTTCGATTTTTCGTTCTCCTTCAACTCCTGGAGCCCAGGCTTCGTTTTCTTCTACTCTTCCATTTCTTTCCCGCCCCAATTCCTTGACGACAGTTTGCATCTATCGGCGCGAAAAGGCAATCTTTTTCTCTAGCTAACCTCTAGGTCAGCACACAACTTTTTTTTTTATTAATTTAAGGGGAGGCACTTGTACTATTTTAATTTTTCGAGCCCTTTCCGTCTCCAGCCCTACTTCGCCTTCTCTTTTTCATTGCAACTCCTCCTTTTTCGCCGGTCCCGTTCGCTTGCCTGGTTACCGCCTCTCGTTTGTTCAGGGTTACGCATTCTACAACTAAAATTCTTCTGTCCTATTCGATTTATTCAGTCTCATGCCTCTGTCCACTTCGCCTATAACCGCGCCTCTATCGACTCGCATCAAGATGGAGGACCGTAAGCGTCCTGCTTTGAGCAGTGCTGATGACATCGCCCCTCCCAGCAAGCGACAGGCAGTTAACGGCAGTAGTAAATCTAAAGACGACGCTGACGCGAAAGATGAAGCCTGGATTGAGGTAAGTCTCGCGGTCGCGAGTTATTCCTCTTTGAAACAATACCGCCTACCGAAACACGGCTTCCAACGTCTTACCGTCGCTGTTATCAGGGCGATTTCACCCTAGCACGAGACCTTCGTAGCCTTTGTTTCAAATCGTCATCAGGATATTCTACTCACCATTTTAGTACTGATGCGCGGCTCTGCTGTCATCAGCATTTAATCCTCCCACCATCACATAATATCCTCCCGTACTTTAATATACAACCTGATCCGAGTTGCCTCGTTATCAGATATACTCGCGCCACCCAACATGATACGTATGAGGGAAATGGAGTCGCTGACAGATATGAATTGGCTAGGATTATCAGAAGGATGCTATCTACCGACAGATGCTCGAGTACAAACGCGAGAAGAATACCCTCGAAACTCAGCTAGGCGAGGTCAAGAAGCGGTCGGCACATCATGACGACCACATCCGAATTGTTGACAACTGGTGGATACAGGTGTGTTTGATTTACCAAAGCCGAATTCGATAACAAAATACTAAACTCAATGGCAGTTACTCCAAGAGGTACAGTTATTAGTTGAAGGAACCATACCTTTCCAACAAGGATCTGACAGTGAGAAAACCCTCCCTTACCCCGTGTTTTTTTCTTCTTTTTTGGATTCGTTATACTAAGACTATATCTAGACCAGCCCTTTTCGACCCATACCCAATTCAAAGATCTGGAAGAGTTCGAGTCGCACCTGAGTGATAAGACTTCCACCATTAAGAAGATGGTCGAAGCGATACTTAACCGTCTTAATGGAACTCGTGGCGCTGTGGCCCCTGACATTTCCGACCTAGAGAAAAAGGTCAATGCGCTCTTATCTCAGCAGAAAGAGTTTCTCGTGAAACTCGATCGTCTCTCCAGCGATAAAGAGAGCCTTTCTGAACAACTAAATATCGCGACACTACGATACATGAAGGCAGAAAGAAGACTCGACCGAGCTAAGAGTGCCCAAGTACAAAAGCTTGAGCAGCAGGCATTAAACCATGTATCTACTAAACCAGCGGTTCAGGAGAATGGTGTGTCTTCGGATGAGAACAATACAAACAGCGAGGCGTTGCAGTTAGCTCTCCGCGAAGCCAATGCCGTTGTAGAGCGGCAAAAGGAACAGCTAGAATCCGCTTTAGCTCAAAATAAGAGCCTACAGGAAGAGCTTACTTCTGTACAGACCCGACTGACGAACTTGACCGACGAAGACTATTCTCGCACCGAAGTATTCAAAGTATTTAAGAGCCAGATGGAAGAGCTTCTCCGCAAGGTCAACAGTTTGGAAGCAGACAACAAGAGTCTCAGAGCAGCGGCCGAAAAGCTGGAAGCCGAGCGCGAGTCTAGCCGTCGAAAGGTTGAAAGCGAGGCGCAGGCGCTGATTGCAGAACTAGAAGACCAGCTTCAACAAGCAGATACAACCCTCGCACGAGTGAGGTCCGCGCGAGACGAACTTCATGCAGATGTTACGATGCTCAGGGCGAGCAAGGAGCAAGAGAAAACATCTATGGAACACATGAAGGAGTTAGTTAGTGCTAAAGAAGACCGAATTGCCGCTCTAGAGTCGGAAGTCCAACGACTACATCCCAGCGAGGATGTAGATATGACACAACACCCGGATATCGATGTCCTCTCCTTCGAGGAACTAAGAGAGAAGTATAAGAAGTTATTGAAGGACTACAATTCGATTGAGAGCGAGTTACCAGGTATGGCACATGCGGTCAAAAAGTTCCAGGCTCTTGCGCATAAAAAGGTCATGGATCAAGCGGCTATGGAGGAGCGGGTGGCGTTGGCTATTGCCGAGAAAAGCAAGGCGGATCAAAAGTACTTCACGGCGCGAAAGGATGGTGACCTGAAGTTCGAAGCGATCCAGAAGCTACGTACCCAAAACAGCAAGAGTACCGAAATCATCTCGCAGCTAAAGGAGGTGGAGGCTCATAACCGAACCCTCGTAACGAACCTGGATAAGCAACTTGCAGATCTAAAGCAGACGAACGCTACGGTTATGGCCGAGAATAGGAAGCTTGAGACGTCGAGCAACGAGATGGCGCGACGCTTCGATGCATTGAAGCAGCAAGTTACCGAGCTGACGAATTTGGCAAAGTCCAAAGACTCCACTACTGCGGTCGCCAAAGAGCGCGCTGCTACGTTGGAATCCGACGTAGAGAAGCTCAAGGTGCGCCTTGAGTCCGTATCAAAAGACCGCGATAAGTGGAAGGTTAAGTGCTTGAGTAACTCTTCGGAGGAGGAGGAAATGCTAAGAGTAAGTACAATACCTGACGATCAAAGGGTTCTCCAATTTCTAACATTTTTTTCTCTAGAGCATGGCAACGTGTTCAATCTGCAAAAAGGATTTCAAGAACACAGTTTTACGAACTTGCGGACACATTTTTTGCAGAGGATGCATTGATGATAGAATCTCTAACCGAATGCGAAAGTGCCCCGCATGCAGTAAAGCCTTTGACAAATCAGACGCAATGACTGTCCATCTATAGTAGACGCAAAGGGAAATTCGCAGGGGCATGATTGGGGATGCATTGTAAAGTATCGTCAAGAGGAAACGGCGTTGTTACATGTAAGAGTCGATGTACATACTAGTGTTTGTTTTGCAGACGTGGGTTCTACCTTGGAGAGAGCTGAAGAGAGCAGTCTCAGTCTCAATTCTAAGAGGGTTATTTAAGGGTTTCGAAAACTCGGGCCCAACCTATTTTGCCAGTGAAGGATGAGGCTTTAGTTTGCGCTGCACAAGGGGGATTGGTGGCTCATCGAGTGTATAGCTACCTAACCTAACACACCATTCGCGTTGCGCGAGGAGCTACAACACAGGATAGCAACTGCAAACAAATAGAGACTTAATAAGTGACCTGACAATTTGCAAAGGCTTTCATATTCTGCGTAAGACCCGGTGGTGATTCGTGTTGTTATTCTACATCAATTATCGTCGACTTGTTGATCCAAATCCTGTACCTTCGTATCTAGCAGAAGATACCGACGAACTAGATGGTCCTGCTCTTGATTCATAACTTGACCCGCTCCTTTCTTGGCCAGACCGTCGACTTCCGGCTGCATATCCCGCCGCAAGCCCAGTTGCAGCACCGGTCCAGAATCCAGGGCGCCAACCTTGCTCTCTTGCGGCAGACGAATATTTCGGTCCAGGATAAGGCGGCGGCGGATCATACGGGTCATTCCCACCGCCTCCGGGTCCGAAGCCAGGATCGAAGCCACCACCACCACCACCTCCCCAACGGTTATCTCTCGGTCGTCGCGGGGCATTAAGGTTATCCCTAGCGTTTACGCAGGCGCTGTAAATAATAATCATGCAGACAGCCGCGAACACCACGCCGAACAAAACAGCAGCAGTGTTACTCCACGGCGCTCCCTCCGGCGCGCCCGCAGCAGCAACAGCCACATCGGGGAACCTGGCCTCGCCGGCCTCGGTGAGGAGCAGGCGGTACTCGACGCCGCAGCTGCCCTTGAGCACGTAGGGGTCGTCGGGGGACGAGTAGCCTTCGCAGACGACGTCGGTGCTGGCGAGCTTGAGCTCGGGGGGCAGGGAGGCGGTGCAGGACCACTGGACGTCGTGGGCGTCGTAGGCGGCGCCGTGGTTCGCGCAGCGCATCACGTCCACCGGGTGCAGCGCGCACAGGGCCGGGGCCGAGACGCACCGCAGCTGCGGGATCGCGGGCACCCGTCTGTGCGTCGTGAGCGCGCCGTGGCCCCGGAGCGTCAGGGATTGCACGTCCGAGAGGAGGATGGCGTTTGGCGGCGCGGCGGAGGCGGCGGCGGCTGCGGAGGAGGAGGAGGGGGCTAGGAGGAGGGAGAGGAGAGGGAGGGGGAGGAGATGGAGGGGGAGGAGGGAGAGATACATTGTGAAATGTCTGATATATCGGATCGTATACGGACGGTTTAATTCATGTGTAGGTACATAAGTTTGATATTTGATATGAAACTACTTCTACCGAAGCAGCTAAGATCACGGCTTGACAGACAGCGATGACGTTGCGTAAACTAAGACCGCACGGCCGCTGCCACCGCCACCGCCACGGTATTTCGATCAACGATGTTAGGGTAATAAATAGTAAATAGGTATAGTATAGGAGCTTATTAGTCGTCGGGCAAGGCTGAAAGACGGGAGCGGGGCGGTAAGGTAGTAAAAAGTATTTGGGCTAGTTATGCATAAAGTCTAGGTAGGAGGTATGCATTTGAATACCTAATGTTATAGATGATTATGTACCTAAGTACCGGACATTAGCTCCCTGCTCACCCTTGATCAGCCGCACCACATGCAACTCTAGGAGTTACATAAGCCTTTTTTTTTTTTTTCTTGTCACATTGTATTTTATTGGACATTTTAACGGCCCGTTCAGAGTCAATTGGTTCCAAATTTCTGACAATATATCTCGTTGTCAACTATTTGTCTCACTCAACAGAAAGTGCACAAGAGGGAGGAAAAAAAACAGTTCGTCATGTTATGGGATTACGCGGCGCATCATTCGTCTTAAGCAGCAGAAATATTGCACGCGGGTCTCGAAACATGTAATAAATCTATATTGGATTCCGGTCTCTCAGCGTGCCGACGCCCGATGAACGGATGGATCCCAACAACGCAAGCTTCTAACGTCGTGTTTTATATTCGGCGCATCCTGACGACGATCAGCGTAAATAATATGGTTGGATGAAGGGTTGGGTTATTTAGTGTTTATAATGAGATGAAAAAGGAAGCGTAATGCGCCCTTCTTCTCCTTCTTCCCCTTATCTCGGTGTATATATACCAACTACGGACCCGGGCAGCAAGCTTTCATAACGAATAAGCTTCTAGACCGCCTGTAGCGGATACCAGAACTCGCCCGACTGCTACGCTAGGTAGTCTGAACGCGCAAGACTCAAGTTTGGTCCCAAACGAGGTGGCCAAGTTAGTATTGCTACGCAGTCGGGTGCCGGGGCCCCTTGGGAATCCGAGCGCCGAGTTTTGTTGTCTTACTTACATAGTAGCAAGACCATCTCGACCATCTGATAATCCTATAGGCTATCAATCCCGCTGCATACCTGTCCTTGGTGCATATATAACGGTCTTCAACTAGATGACGCACGTCATTCTTGCTCAGGTTGTATGCCTAATGCGCGAGCAAGTAAGTAGCTTGTAACAGTGGTATCATAGCGCATCGTATTATGGGAGATCGAAGATGCTAGGTATCAGCAAAACGGAGTGTGACTCTTTCGGTAAGACTGCTGACATCCCATCCCTATGCCTAGTATGCTCAACAACCCGGCGTTTAGTGTATATCCGCCGAGATATGTACTATGTAAATTAGCTGCCTGGATATAGCAAGGTAGCATTTGGGAGAAGATCCTATCAGAAATACAGAATTATTATTCATACCCACAATACTCGACGTTCGTTTTAGTTCGTTAAAAAATACATATCTCGTAATTCCGTCTTCAGCTTAGAGTTACTATGTAAGTGCTAGGTACGGATTAGACAGGCGATGCGGTGTCAGGTTACTGGGATGTGGGGTAGCCCCGTTTAATAACGTGTGGTTGGGCATGTGTCCTGCTGTCCTGTAATATACGAACACTACTTTATTTCATGTCTGTCCCATTTAATTTTCAGTCTGGTTTCATATTCGAATCCCGTTGCCGTTATAGAATTTGCATAGTTTAATGAACTTAACTATGAAGTTCGAATAAGTTGGCCGCTGCCCCTTTTAACAAGCTTTGCGACGAAACTGTAGCATCGACTAGCCTCTCTTAGTAACTCCCTAGTTCGGCTTATTATTACGGTACCTTGCACATAATAGGTACCTTGTACTTCGTACTTACTGTTTAGACACAATTATAAGACAATGAGTCAATGGAAATCTCAACAGGAACCGATCGATAGGGCTAAACAATATCTTATGAAGTTACCTAAGGTACCTATGCAACATAATTCCGTACACCTACTTACATAGCACTTGAATATAGTGTGTACCTAAAGTACCTTAGGTTAAGGTAGATACTTGAGGTACGAATTAATGTTCGTATATCTCGCTTTTCCAGAATCCTCTCCTTCTTAACCCACGCATCCAATTCCGAATTGACTCCCTCGCAATAACCCCACTTCGGGTACAATACGCTATTCTTTGGAACGCTACGCAACAGTTACCGGTTGTGAGTTTAGCGTTAAGCGTTGTGCTCGGGATTCTAGCATTCCGCGCCCGTCCTGTATAATTCCTATCAGATTGGAATATTCCACCGGTTCTACACCTACCTAAGTAGGAATTGCCATGCACCATGCAACCATTGGATGGATCCATCTCTACCTTGTCACTCTTTATTTAATTTTTTTTTTTTAATTTTTTTTTCTCTTCGCCTTCCGAAATTTCATGGAGAAAAAAAGAGGACAGGGTCATACGGAATTCGCGTCCCAATCCCGAGCGATGAATCATCAAGTGGGAAATTATAATACATCCCCCGTCCATGTTTTATTATACTACTGCATCCAGATAAGAAGCGAAATATCGCATTTATCAAGCTAGACATGCCCGGATCGTTGCGCTAAAATCCCAGCTAAGCCAACGACGACAAAGACGGACGACTAAAAAAAAAAGACAAGGTCTGGGCACACCGCAGTAACGGTCTCTCGGTTCAAGAACCTCCCCCCTTTCTTGCTCCCCCGTAAATAATCTCGTCCGGCGCGCGAGAACCTTCAACATCGTCGGTTCTTCAAATCTCACTTCTAAGCGCAGCCATGGCCAACGAGATCTCGGAAAAGCCTCAGATGGCCGCGGCGGAAGACCCCCCGAGTCGCGACTCCAGTCAACGTGACTCGGAAAAGGGTCGAAATTCTACTGGATCCGGAGCGGCGTTGGAGAAGGCGGACACGACAGTTATTAAGGCGGTTAAGGAATTGGATAACGACCCCTTCAAGCACCTTCCCGCCAATGAGGCGGAAATTCTCAAGAAGCAGGTCATAACACCTGACGTGAAGACTGGCGTCCTCACGTTATACCGATACTCCTCCCGGAATGATCTCATCATTATGGCCGTGAGCGCCGTTTGCGCTATCGCAGGTGGCGCCGCCTTGCCATTGATGACGGTCATTTTCGGTAACCTCCAAAATACCTTTCAGGGGTTTTTCCTCGGCACCACTGATTACAATGCCTTCACAGACAAGATGACCAGTCTTGTCTTGTATTTCGTGTACCTGGCTATCGGTGAATTCGTAACCATCTATGTCGCCACTGTCGGTTTCATCTACACGGGCGAGCATATCAGCGCCAAGATTCGCGAGCACTACCTTGAGAGCTGCATGCGCCAGAACATCGGCTTCTTCGACAAGCTTGGTGCCGGCGAGGTTACCACTCGTATCACCGCCGACACCAATCTCATCCAGGAAGGCATCTCCGAGAAAGTTGGATTGACACTGACGGCGCTGGCAACATTTGTATCCGCCTTTGTTATTGGCTTTGTCTTCTACTGGAAACTGACCTTGATTCTATGTTCTACCCTCATCGCTCTGTTTTTGGTCATGGGAACCGGCTCTCGTTTCGTCGTCAAATATACGAAGGATTCCATTCAGGCTTACGCGGCAGGAGGTAGCGTTGCCGAGGAGGTCATCAGCTCGATTCGAAATGCAGTCGCCTTCGGCACCCAGGACACTTTAGCGAAGCAGTATGACGCCCACCTCATCCGAGCTGAATACTTCGGATTCAGAAAGGCAGCTTCGGTCGCTTGCATGGTTGGTGGCATGTTCTGGATTATATACATGAACTATGGTTTGAGTTTCTGGATGGGCAGCAAATACCTTGTCGACGGTGTTATCCCGCTATCGAGCGTCCTCATCATCATGATGTCGATTATCATTGGTGCTTTCAATCTGGGTAATATAGCCCCCAACCTCCAAGCCTTCGGCACCGGACTCGCGGCCGCAGCCAAGATTTTCAACACTATCGACCGAATGTCCCCGTTGGACCCCACCTCCGAAGAGGGTGAGAAACTGGAGAAGGTAGTAGGTACGATCCGCCTCGAGAATATTAAGCACATATATCCCTCAAGACCGGAGGTCGTTGTTATGAAGGATGTAACGCTAGAGATTCCGGCAGGCAAGACGACGGCATTGGTTGGAACATCTGGATCCGGAAAAAGTACCATTGTTGGGCTTGTGGAACGGTTTTACGATCCAGTGGCGGGCAGGGTGTTACTAGATGGGCACGATATTAGCACCTTGAATCTTCGATGGCTGCGTCAACAAATGTCTCTAGTCAGCCAGGAGCCTACCTTATTCGCTACCACGATCTACAACAACATCAAACATGGTCTTATCGGCACGAAGCACGAAAACGAGAGCGAGGAGAAACAAAGAGAGATGATCTTCGAAGCCGCAAAGAAGGCTAATGCTCACGACTTCATCTCGTCTTTGCCGGAGGGATACGAAACGAACGTTGGCGAACGTGGATTCCTGTTAAGCGGTGGCCAAAAACAACGTATCGCTATCGCGAGAGCTATCGTTTCGGACCCTAAGAGTAAGTCATAGCGTAACATGGAAGTGCGTAATTTCATCTAACTTAAATTCTAGTTCTTCTACTGGACGAGGCCACAAGTGCGCTAGATACCAAGTCAGAAGGTGTTGTCCAGGCTGCGTTAGAAGCCGCTGCTGAAGGTCGAACTACCATTACTATCGCTCACCGTCTTTCTACCATCAAGGATGCTCACAATATTGTGTGCATGTCGCATGGAACTATTGTCGAGCAGGGAACACATGACGAGCTCTTAGAACTCAACGGTGCATACGCAAAGCTTGTTAGCGCACAGAACATCGCTGTTGTTAACGAGTTGACTGCGGAAGAGCAAGAAGCCATCGATGCTAAGGACGAGAGTCTCATTCGTACGGCGTCCAAGGGTAGCAAGGCAGGTATCGTCGAGGATCCCGATGACAATATTCGCGATAAACTCAACCGATCGGCAACCCAAGGATCCGCATCTAGCAAAGCTCTTCGAGATCGCATACCCGAGAAAAGGAAAAAGTATTCGCTATGGACTCTGATCAGTCTGATTGGGTCGTTCAACAAAGAGGAATGGAAGCTAATGCTCTTCGGCTTGTTCTGGTCTATCATCTGTGGTGGTGGTAACCCAACGCAAGCCGTCTTCTTCGCCAAGCAGATTCTGGTGAGTACCAACCGCATTTTCCACCTCGTTTATTAGTATTAGCTAACTTGACATAGACGTTAGCTGTGCCTATTACTCCTGAGAACAGCCACCAGATCAAGAAGGACAGTGACTTCTGGAGTGCTATGTTTCTCATGCTCGCATTCGTCATGCTCATCGCTCAGATATTCCAGGGTGTTGCTTTCGCTAAATGTTCCGAGAGACTAATCCACCGCGTGAGAGAAAGAGCTTTTAGAGCTATACTCAGGCAAGATGTAGAGTTTTTTGGTATGTATAAGCCGCCTCGAAATTACGTTGATAATGTTCACGATCGCTAACGTTCAACAGTAAGTGTGATGTCCTCTCCATTGATACCCCGAAAAGCACTGCAGCGGGTACAAGTATAGACCTCTTGGCTGGGTCGTCAAGACGAATCGATCTAATAAGCCCCTATCCTAATCCACAACGTTCACCATACAACGGACGGTGTGAAAACTATAGAGTTGTAGGATCGCAAAGCTAACTAGATTTTCCTCAATTAGGACAAAGATGAAAATACCGCCGGCAGTCTCACGTCATTTTTGAGTACTGAAACTACCCACGTAGCCGGACTTAGCGGCGTTACGCTTGGTACTTTGCTTATGGTTACTACTACCCTTGTATCGGCGATGGTTGTCGGTCTGGCCTTTGGTTGGAAGTTGGCTCTTGTCTGTATCGCTACGGTTCCTCTTCTGATAGGATGTGGCTTCTTCCGGTTTTACATGCTTGCGCACTTCCAACGTCGCTCCAGGAGAGCTTACGAGCAAAGTGCTACATACGCGTCTGAAGCTATCTCCGCAATCCGTACCGTTGCTTCTCTAACTAGGGAGAACGATGTTATGTCACAGTACAGGAAATCTCTTGCTATTCAGCAAAGGGCGAGTTTGATGTCGGTACTAAAGTCTTCGACGCTGTATGCCCTCTCTCAGTCGCTTACGTTCTTGGTCTTCGCTCTTGGTTTCTGGTACGGCGGTACCTTGATCGGTAAGAGAGAGTACTCGCTTTTCCAGTTCTTCATTGTCTTTATGGAAATTATCTTCTCCGCTCAAAGTGCCGGTACTATCTTCTCGTTTGCTCCCGATATGGGCAAGGCGCACAGCGCGGCTGAGGAACTTAAGACACTGTTTGACCGAAAACCGAATATCGACACCTGGTCTCAAGAGGGTGAATCAATTCAAGCCATCGAGGGCAACATTGAATTCCGAGACGTCCACTTCCGATACCCGACACGACCTGAGCAACCGGTGCTTCGTGGTCTGAACTTGACGATTCGTCCTGGACAGTACGTTGCTTTGGTTGGTGCTTCGGGTTGCGGAAAGAGCACTACGATTGCGCTGTTGGAACGATTCTATGATCCTCTCGTTGGTGGCGTATTTGTGGACGGAAAGGAAATTAGCACCCTGAATGTCAACCAGTACCGATCTTTCATCGCTCTCGTATCCCAGGAACCGACCCTGTACCAGGGCACGATCAAGGAGAACATTCTCCTCGGAACTTCTTCCGAGACCGTTTCGGACGAGGCGATCGAGTTTGCCTGTAGGGAAGCCAATATTTACGAATTCATCCTATCTCTGCCGGACGGCTTTAACACGGTCGTGGGTAGCAAGGGTGCCCTACTATCCGGAGGTCAGAAGCAGCGTATCGCGATCGCGCGTGCGCTTATTCGTGACCCCAAGATTCTACTTCTGGACGAAGCCACGAGTGCGTTGGACTCGGAGTCGGAGCACGTTGTGCAGGCAGCCCTTGACAAGGCAGCCAAGGGCCGAACTACGATTGCCGTGGCGCACCGTCTTAGCACGATCCAGAAGGCTGATATCATCTACGTGTTTGACCAGGGCCGCATTGTTGAAGAGGGTACGCACGTCGAGCTTATGAGGAAGAACGGCCGATACGCTGAGCTGGTCAACCTGCAGAGTCTGGAGAAGACTCGATAAGAAAGGTCTCGACGATGCTGCTGCGATATTTGTTTGGATGATACCAAAAATTTTCCCACTCATTTTGATACATAGAAGATTCCCCATCTCTGTTTAGAAAAGGCAGCGCCGTCGCATGAGTTTGGTGGGAGGCGATGAGAGACGTCTGGGCCGACTTTATGCTACCTGCTATTTAGCATCGTATTGGCGTTTTTATTTTTATTTTATTTTTTATTTATCTTGGGGAATCTCCTTAGACGTGTCGATGAGAGAAGAATTGGGCGAGATGCAATATGATATGAGAGAGGGGGGCAATGTTTGAAGAGGGATGATGGATGATGGATGGATGGAGACTCAAAGGGGAACAGAAAGAAAAGAAGAAAAAAACTCTTGTCACATAGGTAGTCTAATTGTAAAACGTAATGAAGCACCACTTGAAGGTTGTAATGTTTATGAGGCTTAAGGGTAACTCTCCTAGGTTACCTGATATGTATGTATGTACCTGTGATTCAGTGTAGCTTGCGTAGGTAAGCACCTGATACAGCATTTTTGCTTATAGGTATGTATGTAAATCGAGACTTTCAAAATGGACTCACATATGTATATCCGTTAGAGATAGGATAGGTAAGAAGAGCTTGACCGACGGAGTTTCAACAAGTCGCGAGGTCTGACTTACCTACATACTTCCCGCTGCGGACGCGTAAAGTGCAGAGATATGTGTGTGATAGGTACCTACCTAGGTAGGTATACGAGGAATATATATCAGGCACAACCTTGTTCCCCCTCACCTCACCTCACCCTTCCTGAGACGGGCGAGACGACGAAATACATATCAGTACATAGGTAGTTGCAAACCCGAGCTCGTTTCTCCCTCGCTGCTGCCTCTTGCAACAGCTGAGATGGAGACCGCGTGGTGAATTCCATGCCGTCTTGGATTGTTGTACCTAAGGCTAGAGCGAATAGCTATCTACTTACCTAGCCTACCTTACCTACCTTAGGTACCTACGTTCGAAGGTAGGACTTCCACTTGTCTCACCTCACGTTCTGGCCACGAGGAAAGGGGGGGGCTTGCGTTGGATAAAGTAGGTAAAGTGAATAAAGTTGGGTTGTGAGCTGCATGCATGCATACATTCGTCGTGCCTACGCGCATGTGGACATGTGCATGTGTGGGTGTGAGTGTGGGTGTGTGTGTACATAGTAAGATGTTAAATGTTGGACAGAGCAAGGTGTCGTCTCGAACCTCTGGCCGGGGGGTGGATGGTTTGACTGACTCGTATCCAGTTTTTTAGAGTTTGTTCTGGCTCGTCGGGAAAATGCAAGAGCTGAGGTTAGACTTCTGGTGAGATGTTCGGATATTGGTTTTTATCTCGTGACGAATACCTATATATGAAGGGTTAGGGAGAGGCGCATTCATAAACCCGTGTAAGTAAGTGGTCTTTCACCTAACGCTGAAATTTGTTAGTTAGATGATGATGGTGGTGATGATGTTGGCTTTAACATTACATAAGTAGGTAGTATCTTAGTATGGCGCAGCAGAAATCGCAGATTGTCGTCGATCTACGATACGATGTAAGGCTTATGTTCCAAGATCGTTTCAGCGACGATCTCTTGCCGATCAGTTAAACTAGTATCGGTTACGAGATTGACGATCGATCTTCTTGCTCGAAAGTAATTTCGCACGTTTTAACCATCCCATCCAGTTATTTATTTCATAACGACTTTACTTTAGACTCTTTTTTTTCTCTCTTTTGCTTTTCTTGTCTCATTTCAAAACGTGGCTTTTTTTGTGCCTGGGAAGAGATGAGGAGGCTGCGTCAAATTTTGTTTGGCTTGGTGAAGATTTTATATAAATGAAGGTACATTGGCTACTTGCCTTGGGACGGCCGCGCGAACTTGCATTAATCACACGTATGACATATATTACATATTACATACTTCTGTAAAGCCTCCGGAAATTATCCATAGCAATACCTAACACATTACATACCTACCTTAGGTAGGTACGCTGTACAATAATATGTATGTTCGAAGAGGGTCTAGTTTGCGCAACGTATATATATCCCGAGGCTTCTCCGTGCTACATACACCCAGACATGCCAAAACTGCATCTTGCTTCTTCAAGCTGACTTCTTCGGAGGGTGTAAAGCAAAACAAGAGAATGCCTAGGTCTGGATCTTGTTTGCAAGAAAGGGAACCCGGGATCCTGGGTTTTTAATATGTACGAAATGAAGAGACAAATCTTGGGTTAGCGAACCTAATCAATGGACCCCGTCTTGGCTCGAAGCAAGGAATTGCTAGGTACCTATCTGTTTGTGCATGATGTACGTACGCGTCTGGCCTTGCAATATTACAACCCGATGCTACCTTGCACTACCGATCGTGATGATGATCCGGGCGGATGAACCGGAGCTGAAAAAAAGAAAGCCGTAGTTTTTTAGTTTGTAGCACCTTATTTGTCTTTGTATTAAGTGGTAATCTAGAAAAATTGAGACTACGAATAGACGACTCATTGCGTATAAGTGAGAGAAGATTAGTAGATACCTAGATAGTATATCAGCTATTGTTCGCTTCATCGCGCGCTATATTCTCTAAGCAGTGATAAGATGAACAGGGGTTGGTATCCGCTGCACTAGTAGTAAAATAACCCTAATGGCTGCTAACGGTCCAGGTAGACACAAGAAGCTGCAGAGCTAATTGTGCCTGGCATTAGTGTTGATTAATGCAGTAGTAGTACTAGCTTAGCTTCGTTTTGAGATAAGTTCTCTCTAATGAGCATAAGCCCACACGTGCGTATTGTACCTACATTAGTTACCTAATATCAATTACTTGGGAAAGTACTTTCTTACATGTCCGTGTTTGGCAAGTACCTCCTATGTAAGAGCGAAGTTGCGAGTCTCCGAATTTGCTGTGAAATTTCGTTTATGCAACCTCCGTCCAATCCCTTAGCCAACTTCCTAACTTCATCACAATAACAACCCCCCCCTTCTCCTCCCCCCTCCCTCCTCCCCCCATACACCCATCAATCGGGATCGAGTCGAATCGGAGAAAAAAAGACTCAGTTCTAGACTTACTTATGTACTACCATGTACTAGTCCTTCTGGAAAGCTCCTAAGCAGAGCCAAGCTCCCTTAATCGCCTGCTCACCATCTTACTGGTTAGACAGTTAGTATGCAGGCAAGGTAAACATTTCGTCAAGCAAGGAAGTCCTTGTCCATGTCCTTGTCCTTGTCCCGTTAACTGGCATCACCTCCTGAGATATGCCGCTCTCTGTGAGGTGTGAAGAAATGACATGTCGCCTGTACTATGTTACTCATGGCTGTGTGGTCATATATGTCATGTCCGTCCGAGGCAGGCTAATAAGCGATACGTAGTACATCACGAAATCGCACCACGACGGCGGGACTTATATAAGTTATTATGGCTTGTTTGAGGGTCGGTCCTTTACCAAGAAGCAGCCAAGGCCCAACCAAGGGGGGGGCTATAGGCCACCAACTTAATGCGCCACGGACCCCAATTACGATATCCTCTCAGTTGCATTTTTGACAGACGCCCGGCCTAGATTAGCGTCTTTGTCACTCTTGGATCTTGGGAAACATCGGATAGGCCAGCCGGCTTCAAGACCCAAAATGGGGAACGCTCGGGACCGTTTATACATATACCTACGCCGTTGCGCCAAGGTCACAGCGTAGCTTCGAGTAGAAAAATCATTCAAACCCCTCGGGTGTGTTGCTGCCACTGCTGCCACTGCTGCTACCACTTCCTTCTTACTAGTCTGGTCCTCCTACTCTTTTCGTCCTTAGGTCTCCATAGTATTATTACCTATCCTCATTACTCAGACAATCAGACAGTCAGACAGCACCTAGGTACCTAATCAACACCTATCACGAGGTGGATATTCCAGCTTCAACCATTTACCCCCGCCCGCTGCTTTGGATTTGCTACGGCATTTTCGTTGCATAAAAAGCGCCGTACGTTATTGGTATTTGACTATTCGCTAACGGGACGGACTCATTTACCCGTCAGTTTTTCTTCTTATATTGGCCAGCTCGTCCCCGCCACGGAGCTATTTGTTTTCATAATCCGCAGGATCATACCGTGTTCGGGTGGCCAAGGATCTATTAAATAATATAATAAGAGCGAGCGAGTGGTGGGAGCGGTCAAACTTTTCCTACCGCGCAACCTTCACTTAAAGCTTCGAACCCGAATTATCTATCGTAGTATTCGCCGGGTCACCACCGACCGGAGGCTCTCGAAGTCACCAAGTAATGTACGAACGAGCCGCTAATCGGTTACCTGCTTCGGGGACATAATACCTAATAATGCTTTCGAATCGTTCCTTCAGGTCCCAGTGGTCACTGCGCCGCGGGGACCCGCCATACCCTGCTATCGTTTCACCATACTACAAACAATGGATATATATGGTAGTGATCATCCTGATCATTTCCTCTTGGATTCCTCTAGCGGCTGCTACTTCACTGGAAGACACCCCACGATCGACTGAAACAAATCTACTAATTGATACGCGGATACCGGTTTTCGTCAACGGTCGCTGGCTGATCATGTCCCAAGACGAGCATCGCCAGCTCGTCCCCAGGCAGCAAGAGACGTTTACAGTCGACGTCTCGACAGCTACAGCTACTAAAGACGTATCTGTTGAAGCAACCTCTGTTGCGACAGGCCCTCTTCCCACGCCTTTCGACGGTGCACTCGCTGCGAATTTCTCCGGTGAAGATGGAGAGGGATCTTGCCTCGATTTTATCAACAGTTTTCTGCAGGACCCAACATTTCAAGCCTGTTATCCTCTTTCCTTACTTTTAAAGGTTTGTTTCTAAATGGCGTTCTGTCTTTTTTAGATGTAGGTAACTGACAGCGTTTTTATTTTTAGAACTCGGTTTCATTTTTCCAGGCTATGAAATCTGTAGTCAAAATCACGCAGGTCGTCGAAACAGCGTGTAAAGCAGACAAGCAGTCTTGCACTACTTACCTGAACGACCTTGCTAAGAAGCTCACATCCGACCAAAATTGCGGACAAGATTACAACGACCGAAATGACTTAGTGGTGCAGGCCTATAAGGGAATGAAATCATACGAAGAGATATACGGCGCCACGTGTTTATATAATGCGGACACTTCGACATATTGTTTTGTCAACGCGGTCACGAACCAAACAACTGCTTCCAACGTATATCTTTACAATTTACCTTTCAACTCATCCCTTCCCGAAACAGCTGTGCCTGCGTGCGACACCTGCACAAGCGAAACGATGAAGATTTATCAATCAGCGGCGGCCGATCGAAGCAAATGGATAGCGAGCACTTACGTCAAAGCAGCCGAACAGATAGACGCGAACTGCGGTGGGAACTTTGTCAGCGCAGCACTTCCCGAACCAGTTCAGAATAGTGCCGCGACGTCTATAGCAGAAGCACCATCTCTACTCATGCTATCAATTTTATTCGTGCTTATTTCGCACTGGTTTCGATAGCAGCTTACAAAACCCGTGATCGATATTTCGATTCAACAGCAATTCACTTCTTGGGGCGTCTTCGGAATAGGGCATAAGCATGAGCATACTGCATGCTTGTTTTAGATACGGGCTTGGGATACTGGATCGGGACGACTGCTTTTACGAAACGGTAACACTACACACCGGGGTACTTTTTTTTCTTTTTCTCTTCTTTTTTGATACCCACTCGATATTTCTCGGCTTTCTCTTCTTTCACAGCATAAACCCTTTTTTATTCATTTCTATTTATATTGTTAATCAACAACGACTTCCTTACTACTATTATGGAGTAATAGATGGAGGATTGCATACACGAGGAGATGCGACGCGAGCACATACGAAGTGGTACATGTTACCTCGAGGCTCTACCTAGGTGGACAGGTGTATTAAACTTGAGGTGGTGGCTCTTGTCGATCCGGATGCGTGTCTGAGACATAGGGCGAAGCACGCTTACCCAAGGCCATCGATCCTACGATTAAAATAGGAATTCCTGTACATAACTTGCAGCCTACCTCGTTTACTGTTTGCGTTATATATTACCTAGTCGACCACGTGGGTAGGCAGAATAGGCTAACCAAATAAGTAAAAAAAGATAATAATTGAACGTCTGTACCTAACATATACCATCGTGATCTGACACTATATATACACATTACATCGCCGCATAATCCTTTATACATACAACACGAAGCGGATGGTTTTGAGTTGAGGGTACGCGTATATATTCGAATATACCTAATACGCGAATGAGATAGCAATACTTACCTCACTTACGCACATGTACAATAGGTCCCTACCTCAGATATATGCACGTGCTTTGACTCGGTAAGACTAGGTACCTCCTAAGGTAAGTTATTTACTTGCTAATTTTCTTATTTACATTATCTATACTATAGGTGCCTAACCTACCTAAGGTACTTTTCTCTTCTTCCCCTTCTTTTCTTTTCATACCAGGTAGGTATCTATCCAGGTGACATACCTGCCTATATCTCTCCTAACTTTAGGTATCTACCCTTAGGTTAGGTACCTAGGTACATATCTTATATATCTCCATCTCCCCTCCTCCCTCCATCCCATCCTCACACCACCGCGCATAATACAGACGCTCCCTCGCTCGGCATGCACGCCATGCCGTCTCGGGCCCGATACACAACACGACTCCCAGGAACCTAGTCCGCGAACCCGAACACCTCGCTGATAGCGAGGACATTGGTCCTAACGCCCAGCAGCGCGACGCCGACGGCCACGAGGTCGACGACCAGGAGGACGGCGGCGGCCATCATGAAGCGCGGGTTGAACACGCGGTAGAGCATGAGGTGCCTGCGGAGGTGGCCAGCCCAGGCCATGGTGGCGAGGCTCTGCGCGGTGTAGTACGCGACGAGCGCGGCGAGGGCGCGGCTGGTGGTCTCGAGGACACCGCGGCGCTTGGGCGACGTCTTCCACAGGACCAGCAGGGGCGCCGATGTCGCGGCCAGGATCTGCCCGGCAAAGGTGTTGAGGGCGACCGCGAGCGGGCTCCAGGGGTAGCGCAGGGTGAGGAGCGGGATGAACGCGCTGTCCCACTGGATGGACGCTAGGACGGCCTGGTGGCCCGTCTTGAAGAAGTGGAAGTTGCCTAGGAGGGCGAGGGTTACGGGGCCGATGGTCTCGGCGGAGAGGTCGTTGAGGTCGATGATCTCCGCTAGGGAGAGGATTTGCCAGAGCATGATGGCGAGGGCGCCACCGCCCATGGGCTTCGAGAGGAGGATACACGCGGCTGCGATGTTGATAGGTAGAAAGAGGTATCTTGCGCCGTGGACGTTGCCGAAGCCAAGGACGGTAATTTGTGCTCTGCTACTATTGGCTGCAGTTGTTAAGATATTAACACAGGGAGGTGCCCAGATGAAAGCTGTTGTGCCGGCTACGAGAGTCACAGCCAAAACTAGTTGCGCGATAGAGACGTGGATGGTTTTTAGCAGTGCCTCTGGAATCGAGGTAAACCAGTCTACGTTATCCGCCGCATCCAGGGTCCAGTATACGGCGGCGAGGAAAAGACCGGTTCGAAAGACGTAGCCGACCCACATTGGTGCAAGACCTTCGTATGACCGCGAGGTTTGCATGTATGATTTAATGATAGACGGGAGGATGAGGAATACGATGAACGGGATGACCAATTGCCAAGGGGCTGAGATCGATGAGTTGGCAGATGCATAGTATGTCGACGTGCAGTAGGGCATCTGCTCATCTCTGCATAATTTCGAGAAAGAAGCTACCCGTGCGAGGACAACGAACAGGATGGAGTGGTAAACACCCAGAGCCCGGTCGCGTACTGATAGTAGTTGCAGCGAGGCGATTGCGCTTACAAAACCGAATGTCGAGAGGAAGAACAGGGAAATCAAATCTTCCCAAATAGTATACGAGTTTGATGCAAAACCAATAGATTGGCTCAGGGTAAAAACGACGGATAACCATCCCCAAGGGGTGTTTGGCAGAAGGTTGAGCATACGTATCCCACGGATCCGTAGTAGAACACCGATAACAGCAAGCATGCTCCCAATAGCTGTTGCGGCTGCGGCTAATAACCACTCACCCGATCCGGTGATCTGAACCAATCCTAGACTTAGAGCCCCTATTATTCCGCCGCTCAGAAGTCCGGTCGTGGCAAGCGATCTGCTGAAGCTTTTATAAGACGCAACTTCTGGTTCAGCTACTGAGCCTTGTTGTAATTCCAAACTCCTCTCGGCAAAGTCCAACTCGGCATTATCCAGAACAGCAAAATCTTCATCCTCATCCCTTGAGACATAGAGTAGCAATACAATTACTCCAAATGCCATGGCTACGACGCCTAGTATCATCTTCGGGACATCGAAGCTAGCCCATAGATCTTTGCAGATTCTCAGTGTCTCTTCTTGATACGTAGTATAAGCGTCGTACAAAGCTTTCCACGATCTAGATTTAACGCCTGCTTGGACAAGGGCCTCGGCATCCTTCCAGAGTGTAGCGGGAGACCCAGGCTTCGTACTCTGCTCGATGCCTCTAGCTTTGAAGTATGATGCTTGATACCTCCTAATTCCAGCGGAAGTTATACTGGAGGCAGCAGCAAGGACATCCCAAGCGCTTCCTTTAATGCCAATGAACGCTTCTTCGATCGGTCGACCAAGATTATTGAACGGTATAGGAATACCCAACAGAAGGGCCAGAGTCGGGACCAGATCAATCTGGTTTACCGGCCGAATCTTGGCGGTTGCCGGTGGGGTTTTAAATTCAGGTTGCGTGCGGCCAAAGACAGGCTTTTTCGAGTACATCCATAGGGCAGCCTCAACTTCGTCATCGCTTTCACCACCGTGGTCGCCCTTGCTATCCATTCCATGATCGCCCATAACAACTAACAGCGTATTTTCGTCTATCTCCTTCGTAAGGTTCTGAATGAAGCCATTCATCTGCTGGAGCTTGGCAGTCATAGCGGCATGGTTGGGTCCGTACCGATGGCCAGCATGGTCCACGCCAAGAAGATGCCCTATGAGAACGTCCCATTGTCGTGCTTGGTCAGGCTTTAGCAATGGGAATATGTGATCCAAAACTCCGTTATCGACAGTATGTAAATCCCAAACGTTAAAACTGTCGTAGGCTCTGCTGATATTAGGTTGAAAATAATCGGGGAAAAGCGAAGTCCAAGTGTCGTCTCCCAAATGTACTATCCGCTTTCCTTGCGCTCTCCATTGTATTAATAAGTTATCCTCCTCTATGGCCGTCCCGGCAAAACTAGAACCTATATCAATGAAGGTGGGCAAAGTGCCCGTGGTTAGACCTTTCAGTCTCTGAAGAGTAGAAGTCGGGGGATCCGCAATAAATGGCCGTAGGAAAGCGTTTCTCGGTGATTGAACCGAAGTTTCGTAGAGGAAAGGAAGTGCATTATGGTAAACCTCCACACGATGGCCATCCTCAACGGGGACTGTAAAATCGTATCGTAAAGCGTCTACCAGGACAATAACAGCTTTATCAAAGGTCTTAGGATGCCAACAGCCACCATCTACTGTACCCTTCCCCTTCCATTCTAGTAAGGGCTCTATAGGTGGGTTGTCGCATTTCGACTGTTCGTCCAAGACCAATCTAGTCAGAAGGAAACCGCTAGTAAAGAGTAATATGCCAATGACGTGAATACACAACAGCCAGCCCCAAAAGCCTATTGTCCAGAAACAGCGACTCTCGAAAGCCTTCTTTCGATGAGCTTCAACAGCTTTACGGCGCGCGTCGTCGAACTTGGACGATTCCGGCTTCTTCTGTGCGGCGTCCTCGAGCTCTTTTAATTGCTTTGCGCGGGCCCATTCCGCCGCAATGGCCTTAAATTCGGTCGGGGGAGGTTTTGGCCGGGCATTGCGGGAGGGCATCGTGGGTCTTCGGGGAGGGGGAGAGAGAGATTAGATTAATTAATTAACGCGTCGTGTAAGGATCAGCCGCTGCCATTGGTTTTCATGTAAAAAACATGTATGGTAAAAGGATAAATAAAAGGAAAGTGAGAAGGAAGTTGCAATTAAATTAGGTAGTTAGCTCAGCTTCGGTTGAGAAAGGAAATAGGTATCATAATGCAAAGAGAGAGGGAAAAAAAAACACCTCAAGGTTTAGAGACAGATATGTGAAGCTGTCAATTAGAAGAGAAAAAAAAGAGCTTCTAGTAACTTGTGGGACCCTTAAAGTTTACTTAGGTACAATAGGTACCTACCTAACCTGACCTACCTAACCTTAGGGATGGGATTGACATTATACGCTTAGCGTATAATGTTGTATAATGCAACATTATGACGCATAATAGAAGTATTATGCACATGACGGAATACGAACCCTTGATTATCCGGCACACTACTGTAACGAAGTTACATTTAGGCCTTATTTTCGAGCCTTTACTACGGCCTTAACTTGAATTTCTTTTACTTAGCTCCTCTTACTCTATTTCATTCAAGCTTTCTAACGATTATAAGGGTAATTTACCTCGTATCTTACCTAATATACTTGAATTTACGTAGATAAAAGGCAACCGATTAATCTTTTCTTGATCTAAACGACTGCGCTTAGCGTTGTTGATGTAGTTACGCTAATATTCTATTATACTATGCGTATAATGTACATATTATGCATTATGTGTATAATGATGCATAATAATTCTATTATGCGCATTTTGCCCATCCCTACCTAACCTAAGGTAAAGTACCTAGGTACTGTTAGGTAGGTATACTGTAAACTCTACTATGATGAACAGGTAACATGTCTCACCATATCAGACAGATAGCCCTGTGTTACCACATGTGCAGTTAAACACCAAGCGTAGAATGTACAATAGGTACAAGCGATTACCTAAACAATAAGATATTGGAGACAGGTAGGTCGACGTCAGCTCTACTATTTCTTACTTCTACCAATATATTTGTTCATACGTTTATAAAAAAAAAAAATAAAAAAAATCTCCGAAAATAAATGAATCTGTCTAATATAAGATCCTTTTTTATACCTTTTCCCTGATATATATTCCAGGTATGTAATTAATTACCTAAGGTATTTATGTACTCATTTACTTGGGCTCTATACTACCGGGTATTTATTTCAAGAAGCACTAGGATGAAAATGCTACAGAAAGTCCCAAAGTAAGAGGAAGTCCTCAGTGAAGAGGCTAGACTTAAATCGTCAACCTGAACTTCAGCAGGTCACGCTTAACAATCTCGTCCTTTTTAGCCTCGAGCTCTCTCATATCCCACTTGGCATTCACGAATCTCCCGCTCAACCACGGTCGTCTCTCAGCTCCCAGCCATGTGAGGGCATCTGCCGGAAGCGCCACTTCGTCCACCAAGAAGCTGTGGAATTCCTCGGGCATGTTGGTTGCCAGTTCCGTCTTGATTCCACCGGGGTGAATCGAGTAGGAAATCAAGCCTTCGTTCTCGTACTCTGTCGCTAAGAATTCCGCAATCCGGCTGACGGCGGTTTTGCTGCTTTGGTAACTCGAACCAGTAGGGATAACAACAAGGGCACCGATGCTCGACACGATGATGTTGGTCTTAAGCTCGCCTGCGAGGAGTAGCGGTATGAAATATTTGCTAGACAGGTAGACCCCCTTCACGTTGATTTCGTATGTGTGCCACCAATGGTATGTGCTCCCCTCCGCAAGTTTACCCCAATCATTGAGATAGCCGGCGTTGTTGATTAATATGTCGAGCTTCCCTCCGAACTTGGCCGAGACGGCATCGGCGGCGGCCTTGACGCTGTCTTCTGACGCAACATCGAGCTTCAGGGCGAGGACCGTCGGTTCCTTACGGCCGGCTTTTTGCGCTGCTTCTTTGATCTCGGTCACCAAGCTTGACAGATCCGACCGAGCTCCAATAGCGATTTCGGAAGCGCCCGCCGTAGCGTAGCTGAGTGCTGTTTGCTTCCCGATGCCCTTGGACGCTCCAGAGATGAAGACTGATTTTCCACTTAGGTCTAGGTTCTTCGGGGAGATATAGTCGTACGTATCGGTGTATGTGGTGTCGGTGAACGCCGAAAACCCCGCCATATTTTCCTGTGCAGACCCCATGGTGACGATGAGGGATTTGATGGTTTCGCTAATTGAGGTTGGGTTTCGAGCGTAAAGTACAAAAGCAAAGTCTGCCTGGTATGCGTTGATATGAAGGGGTCCGTACCTGGCTTTATAGGAAGCAACGGATCAGATATCGTAACAGCGATATACCAACTTGGCAGTAACTCACGATAGCTACCGCTGTACCGCTACTCCGCCATTCGTTGAGCCATGACGATTAACGTACGGCTTACCAATCGGGAAATACCGGTGCTAGTCGGATGTGGGTATATCAAACGTTGAGCACCATTCCGATTAAGGTTATTCATACATCCGCTAACACCTATATCCGCCAGAATTTGATGCCCTCAAGCCTCAAGGTGAAGGGCTTATCTCATATTCTGTGCTGACCATACGATGCTCTTATTGTCGTCTTCTCTCTAGGACCTCCCGGAGATTGACTGCTATTCCCATCATCTTCTGTAGACAGTCGGGTCTAGCACCCGGTGATATACTAAGTCCACCCTGAGTTGATGTTACCTAACGAGTCCAACGATCCAACAAGCGGAGCCCGGGCTTGATCTGATCTGGGCTTAGCTTGGGCAAATCCTGTTTTTTAGTATATTTGCCCGAGTCGAATAAACTATTGTTTGGTGGGTATTAAAAAAATAATGTTTATCAAGGTTGTTGGTAAAAGGTCGGTAGGTGACTAATTATATGGCAGCTACCGACCTATTCTATCTTTTTGTTTCCTTGAAAACACCAAATTACTGGAGCGGTCGGTCACCGACATTAGCATAGCAGGAAAAAAAAGCTCTTCATGCTTCACAGTAGCGGGACTAAAGACAAACTTCGGTTGTGTTAAAACTGGCATTTGCTGACGGTGTTACTAGTCAGATGCTTACGATATGTTCTCCTATCATCTCATCACCCTCTTCCAATAACATAGCAACGCAATATACTTGTGGCTAATCAAGATTCAAGATTCAGACCCGGCATCACTTCTCAAGCATACGTTATAGGAGAGCTCTGACGGCTATGTATGTTTCCAAAGGAACTTTAAACACATCTAGGCAAGTATCTACGTAGTATAAAGGATACGTGTCTTAAATAAGACTACTATTCAACCCCCATTAGATTGGTACTACCCAGTAGTAGTGTGGCGTAGAGCTAAAGTAGCTTTAAGAGGTAGCTCCGGCTACTCTGAAGGATAGCGCCGGGTGCGTCGGAGACTAGCTTCGGGTGCACCGGGGAGTAGTGCCAGCGCAGCTAGCGAAGGGGTATATAGTATATATAGGGGGGGCGCGAAGCGCCGTCGTAGATGCTTGGGAGGTCAAACGTTAATAGACCATTCTACTACGCTGCTACTGTTTCTAGTATTCACTCTGTCTATGACAACCATCACGGGATCTCTCTGACAGTGTCAGTGCTGGTGTCGACGTTTATCATCAGTCAACGCTGGTTCTACAGGCTTCACGTCAGCACGACACTTTTTCGAAAACGTCGAAATACGTCGAGCTTCCGGATAGTTAAAGTTATTGAGTCTAGGGTTACGTCTAGCGGTATGTATATGTCACATGCGAGACTTCTTTTACTGGATTGGCTTCGACCGTATGGGCGACTTTGTGTTTAATAACCCGCTTGATATGCTTCCTAGTCAGAAATGGCACTCCATGGTCGTCCGCTTGTAGAAAGCTTTCTCCCTTCTGGGTCCTGTAACTCCTGCCCCTTAGCTTATACGGATAGCTTTCCGAATAGCCCCTCATGTCTCCCGAATAGGGGGTTAGTGCAGGACGACAGCTTGGACGTACGATCAAATCAATAGCGAGTTGAGGAAGTAGTCTCAATGCCATTATAGCTGGGAGGTTAGTGCGTCCGTGTAAATGATGACCATAGGTATGATACCAACCCGCTGTAAACAGGGAGCTGGTTCCTATTCGGCTTATAAAACTACTTACGGAATTAGCAAAACGCTAGATCATGTTGAGATAGTTTTTGATAAACCTCGAGAGGAAGATGTTGCTGACACCAAGATCCTAAAGCCACTTACCACATCTTACGCCGTGGTATAAGAGATCCTATTAGTATTTATCTACCGTGCTACCCACGACAGGCCGAAGGAAGGCGGGTAAGAATGATATACAAGCGGGACAACCACGTCTAGGCAAATTAGCCATCTCATGATATTGAACCAAGCACATATCGCTACTGTCATTTAATACAGTTTGATCTAACTCGGATTACGTTCTCTAGCAGAGGCACCGTATGGCAGGGCCGCTACAGGTACCTAGATACCTACATCAGCTCGTGTACACATTCCATGTGTCTTAGCTAGTAGAGTGAGTGAAGTAACACAGAGAGGCAGTCCGATTATTCCTCGAAAAAAAAGATTCAGCTCTGTGATAATATCACTCAGAAGTTCGAGCGAAGGGGGAGAAAAAATAAAATAAACCCATTTTCCCAAAACCATGACTCTGAAAATACATAATAGACCCTTATTAACGATTAGAATTATAAGATATCACATACCCCGACTGGCAGGTTGTAGGGATGTGTGTATATATATATATGTGTGTGTGTGTGTGTGTGTGTGTGTGTCGGATAACTTCTCTAGATGAGAGGGGGGGGGGAGAACGCCATGGCGTATCGTCGGCTCACCGACAATAACGACCGAGAAGTGGCCATGCCGGTTATCCAGCACCTCCATGACTGCTCAGCAAGCCACAAGTATGCATGAAAAGCCTAACGGGTACGTATGCATGCCGTTCGGTTCCGCGCCGTCGAAGAACGACTTTGCTGAACATATTTGGGGCTCCAATTCGAACTTCTTTCAAAACTTGCTGCTCTATGCGCCGCGTTCTTCGGTGATCTGAACGGCTCCCCGAGAAAAGTGATGCTGTGGTCTTAGATATAGTATATCATACTATCTAATGTGAGTAGTGATTGACCAGTATGCAGTTAGGTTTCGAGTCATCAAAAGGGGTCAAGATGTATGTCTCACTAACCACCTGGTATAAACTCCATATTGGAATTATCGAATACCCGACTATAATACCGACTTCGGCCGGCAAAATTGAACGTTAGACGCTAGACCTGTACAAGTTGAAGAAAATATTGCCAATAAGCAAGAAAGAATTGTACTGATGAGTTGGATGACAAAACTAATTTAGCTATACAACTGAGAATATATACTGCGACTTGTAGTCTCGTCTATACCACTCGCGTACTGGAAAGGCTTAATTGTCCGTGGTGGCTCCGGAGAAGTGAAGACAAAAAAGCAAAGGGGTATCGTTATATACAGGACCGATATGTACCTAGAGCGCCGGATGGTAAACAAATGGCCATCCAGACTCGCCTTCCACCGCGGTCCGTCCTTCCGCATCCCCGCCTCTTCCTAGAGGTACTTTATAGAAGGGAAATTATAGACATTTGCTTTGTAATAGGTACACCATTATTCATGCATATGTATATATATCGTCCGAACTCCCCCATCATGTTTAAAAATTAAGTCGGTTTTACTAGCGATTAAGTAGCGTTTCTGATCCCCGTAAGGGTTTTGACGGTAAGGTCAGGCCAATCATAGCTCAGGAGAACTGGCTTCGATCTTTCTCTTTCAGTCCGCCGATTTGGTCCATGTCGATGGAGTGAAAACTGGTGCTGCTCTCTTTCTCATATGCCGGCAGCTGTTCCTCCTTTACGGGCTCAAGACCAACCGTGGTTTCGCCGACTCGGACAACTACGACACGACCACCCTTGTTGTGGCCTTGCTCATCCTGTTCGTCGGGGAAAGTGATGTGGATCTCGGGGATGTTGTTAGGCGAGTAAGGCGGCGAGCTCGGATCATTCAGCATGGGGCGACCATTAACAACCAGAATACTTGATCGGCCGTCAGCGGTCTGGATGGTGAAACGACGAGTGGTACCATCGTCATGTTTGATATCGTTATACTGCGGTAGGGTTTCGTCCTGAAGCTGTCGCTCGCGCTTCGCACGTCGCATCATGATTAATAAGACGACCAGAACAAGAGCGAGGAAAGCGACGCCAAGGAAACCGATCATAAGGTCGATAACCTTATCCGGCTCGTCTCCCATCTCAAGGTCCCGCCTAGAAAGAATTGCATTACCACGGGCAATAAGGTTGCTGAAAGTAGACATATTGGCAACAACTGATGATTCGACGATATGAGTATTGTTCGTTGTTTAATGTCGGGCGTCAAGAGATTTCGTCGGTCCAGATGAATAATCAATGAATGGCTCGGCTATAATGAGACATGAGTTAGATATTTGACTCAATACGATATGAAATATAGAAAAATAAAAAAAAAAGTTAATAGATAAATAACAAATACTCGAAAGTATTGCTATCCTGTCTCCAATATTGGTCCAAGACATCGATGAACGTACGTAAGGGAGAATGAAGGATCTCGAGAACTTCGAAAGCCTTCGAAGAACTCCAGATGAAAAAAAGGACCGGACGGAATCAACCCCCCAAAAAAGAGAGAGTAAAAAGCTGAAACCAAATAATGAGTGAATGAGAGGTAAGGGGCACAAAGCCAAAAAAGGAATGGACTCTCTGAACCGACAGAGAAACGACGGGACGGCAACGGCAACGGCAACGGCAACGACGACGAAGATCGTGAAGAGGAAAGAAAGAAGGAGAGGAGGGGGAGACACGGGGAGTTGAAGGAGGACGAGGGAGAGATCAACGGGATTGTGGAGCTGCTCTAAAGGGAGTTGTGAAAAATGATTGGCTCTAGACGAATCTCGTCAACAAGCATAGACAAGGGCAACAAGGAGGTTAGCTGCTATCGTTCAATCATTCACACGTTGCGGGAAGGGGCTCGACAAGGCACAGGCTTTTGATTCGGTGCATCCATTAAGGAAGTTCCAAGCTAAACGCTGCTTAATTTTAAGATCGGCCAATGACATCTTACAGTTCCCCAGTAAAAAGCGGGCACTGATGCACAGAAACGGTCAAGATCCAATGACGCTACGGACCCGTACATGGGTTAACAAGGAGGTACTTAAAACAGAACGGAATAATGTCTTAAAAAGGGCTTCTAGATTTCGTTTTATTCTTTTTAGGGCATCAAAATAGGAATCTAACCAATTAACACATAAGCCTTAACTTCTTCTAAGCTCAAATGGGGTGCCCACATATGCCCACATACTATTTCGACACTTTAATGCAATACCCACCGTAGGAACAAAATTCAACGGTTAGGTACAATACTAATTACAAGTAATAAGTACCTAGTTGTAATTATGCAGATCGACTTCGTAGGTAAGCTTCGAAAAGAACAAGACTATCAATAAGACAGACTGCTTAGATTCTAGAAGTGGACTAAACAGAATTACAGCGAATCAGCTTACATCTATCTCACTTACACACTATGGATCCGTAAGCTCAATTCTATTCTTAGTTTTCAAGATAGAGATAAATGAACGGGGAGCTGCGTGTTTTCGACTTACCTGACACCTCGATGTCAGGTATAACTTACTCGGAAATCCCGACTTGTTCCTTTCAGAACTAGAGCCACGTACAAATAGGTCAAGTAACATAGGAAGTAAACTATTTCTTAGCCTTCGCTGAGCAAAAGAGGATTCTGGAAGTATCACGGTCAGAACTCGTGAGCATTAAACTGTTAGCTCGTGTTCCCTTAACTAACGAACACTCTAGTAACTACTCGATTTACGATGCTTCAATGTCCACCAAACCCAGGCTTGCCTACATAGTATCTAGGCTGCAAAGTATTGCTAGAGTATCACTGTAAAGTGGCAAGACTGACTGACACCAACTACGATCTATGGTGATCTGCATGTGTCTGTCGCAGCCACCGAGAATACTCATGAATAAAACTTCACCGGTGAACAGTTACTAACCCGTACGTCGGCGATGTCAAAATGTGCAACTGCCCGTATAATTTAGAACGCTCTCAATATCCCCCCCACAATGGCGCCGGTACTCAATTACAGCTAAGACACTAAGACATGGCAGATGGTGGAAGGCTTGCCGATTGACGTATCCGGTGCCATCTCTTGTTTTAGGCCACTATTTCCTCAGTTGTGGCAATCTTTCAACATGGAAACCCACGGAGAAATCTGTGGGCCGTTGGGCTAATTCGTCCCTATCCATCATCACGAAGCTTTCCTGTATGACTGGGGTTCCCGTTCGATAATCAGGTTTGCTAGGTTGTCAACCAACTAGTCAACACTCCCCGTCAGGTTCTTCGTCGGTCCGGAGAGCAGTTTTGTGAACATAAACCAGGCCTTCCCACGTCAAATGTCTCACAGAGATCGGCTGGAGGCGCCTTCTCTATGGCTCGAAAGCCTGCAGCTATCCGTGGAAGAGGCCTGCGGTCTGCGCTTGTGCAATACGTTTCATTCCTAGGCGCGCGTCGGATACACGAGAATCATAAGCAACAAACAGGAGGCCAAGGCTACCGGTACGAAGCCGCTGCAGGATTCACGCCTCGGATCTTCGATCGGGAAGCCACATTCAAAACCACAATTATATCTTGCTAGAAATTGGGTACACTTTGCCGTATAGTTACTTATATACTTATTTAGTTACCTTGGCATGGGTTTTGAGCAAAGGAGGTAAGGCTGTTTAACTACAAACGCACTCATTATAATGCATCATCGTATAATCCAGCGACTAGTTTTTTTGAAGGGCGTATTTTTTTTTCTTTCTTACTCGTCCTAGTATACTGGCATATCCCAGACAGCTTCGCTGCTACTAGGGCATCGCCGCCCTAAATCCCAACCGTTAGATAGGGATGGGACTGGACACGTATGGCGTTGAAGGGTGGGACTTGTGTTACACCAAAAGGGAACGTAAGGCAAAGTCGTCAGGCTCATACTATCAGCGATAATTAATACTACGAATCCAGTAGACATGCTCCCTACTCACTATTCTACGAGAGGGATGGCGAGCCAACGAATTCTCTGGCTGAGGCGAGTGCTAGCTGCTGTGTGACGGGTTAAGAGCGACGACGAAGTTAACCAGAGTTCATTATGCCGAAACTAGCGGGGAGCACGGGTGTCACGGGGAGGCGGACGAAGGATCACTTAGGTGAGGTGAGACTGCGACACGTCGTTCCATAACGGGAGATTGGCAGTGGGATACATTCCCCAAGATAGTCATTCTCGTTCCTACAATAGATGAATGAAGATTACGACATTCCTAAGTTGCCGGCAGTCGGCTAGGTGGGGTCTGGAACTGGTATCCCTTCTCTTTGCCTTTACGGATGTATAGGGGAACATTGCACGTCTCAGGGCGAAACTATAAGGTAAAGCGACTGGCGTACATACCAAATATTTAATTTATTACGGCTATTGCCGCATCATTTTTGCATCCTATACGCGGGTATATTGCGAACGCAAATATGGGTAGTGGATAGGTAGGTAGCTAAAGGTATGAGTAGTAACTTAGGCAGACTCTGCCAACGGACGAATATTCCATTAAGTCAGGCCGTAAGTTATTACGTGATATCTCCAGCGAGTTTATGTCCTTGCAGCAAAAGCAGCGTACAGTAGGGCACCGACCAATGCTGCTACGATGCTGCTACGAACTACGACGCATCATTCGAAGAGAATGCCGTTCTCCCAAACTGCTGGGCTCAACGAGTCGGTCCAATTGGACGGACAACAAGCAAGCGGTTGTCTCCAAGACATGTAGGGGAGCCACATAAGTGATCTGCCCCGTACATCCGCAGTTGCCCCTGTACCACCGGCTTTTATTATACATGCTTTGGTGGTAACTGCGGCAATAGTGCAATCTTGGCCATAGCAACTAGGACTTGATAAACCTGATAGATAGAATATTAGTATCGTGGGCCGTCTGCCCATCCTCCCCTCCCAATCCTCCCTTCAAGTTGAATATATCACATTTTCTCCTTCGCCCTTGGCCAGTCGAAGCCATTGATTCGCAAAAGGGAGCGCGGCTCGAGGACGGGTGACGCTTAAGTGTCGATAAGAGGATATTTTACATCGTATAAAGCAACTACTCGTCCCATTTAGTTTCCGCCCCTGTTGATTTTGTGCCTTCCCCTCTTGTACGACCATATTCTGTTGTATCAAATTCGAGGCGATGTCAATGTAAAACAAGTTGAGAACATATACCAAAAACATCGACAGCCCCCAAACGCACATATCAGACGGCACAGCAACAAGGAAAGAGAAAGAAGAAGAAGAAAGTCCGCATGTTACTATTTCACTTATACATAAACGCTACCTTTTATATATTAACGTTACGACCACACGGAGTTTGAGAGTATTTTCGATAGCCAGTAGTAGGCCAACACCGCCACCAACGGCCCCCGATTCTTTCTTCAGACGTTGCAGAAACCGTTCGCAACGCGGCGCCTAATATATTACGGATAGGCCTTATCACATTTTGAGCACGAAATAGATGCGTGGAAGCGGGCAGCTTACTCATTTAATATATACGCAACAGAGATTAGAGGTGTCCTTGTTGTTCGCAGCAGCTCCAGAATCTCACAGTTCGGTCAAGACGGAGCAACACCTAGGTGGCCGGCACAGAGGTCTTGGCTTGCAGTAAGGCGTCATCTATCACATTCAACCTGGTCTCTGGACTCTCGTCGCAGAAGGAATATCCCGTCATTGTCATCAAATTGAACGAATCAAACGCTACCTATTTTTCCGATAAAATATACCGTGCGATACTTAGTTGACTCCGACTCGGTAGATACCTAGCACCCGCTCATATACCTGTCGAAAAAAAGAAAAAGAAATCCTGTTAATTTGGGAAGGGAAAAGGCTAAGAATCTAAAAACCAGTTTGCATCTCTATTGGAATACTATAAGAGTTGCTTGAATCGGGTTTACGAGGATTTAAGTGGTTTTTGAATGGTGGGCGTTACGCGACCATCGGGACAACCATCTTGGAAACCACGCCACTAAAAAAAAAAAAAAAAAGAAGATACTTAGGGACCTAACTTAGCGTACCTAGGTACCTACCTGGCCTACCCAATTCCCGAGCTTAGGTACCTAACCTGACCTGCCTGGGAGGTACCATACCTTAGGTATTGCATTGTACAATACTACAATACCTAAGTACCTACCTAACCTACCTGGAGCCTACCTAACGACGGCAAGAGGACGGGAACGGGAGTCCCATCAAGACCCATCTGCCCCATCTGCACCCGCGCCTTGTCGATTCGCACCTGCATTTTAGCCCTTCGAAACCCGACAAGAAAGAAGAGGAAAATAGAAAATAATTATTGGACCCAATCTTTTTTTTACTCCTCCATTAGGAAGAAGAAGACAAAAAAAAAAGAACAAATCCAAATTACTGGAGCAAGCAAAAGCAATTACGGACTTAAGACATTTTCACTCACTTACACCAACTCCGCGGAGGTTGTCTTAAAGCTGTTTTCCCTACCTCTATCTCTTAGGTAATTCGTCAAGTCCAATTTCTTTATCGACCTTTGGCCGTCTTTTCCTCCTACCTGTTTTCCCCAGGCTGGCGCCAGCTCTTCTTCGTGCCTGTAACAGATTAGGTTAGGTACTTACATGTTACCTCTTACAAGTTACAAGAGAGTTGGAAGCTTGGGTTAACGGCCTCTGTTTATCACCCGCAGCCCGCAGCCCGCAGCCCGCAAACGCTAAAAGGTTAGTCAACACTTAAACGCTCAAGGATTCTGCAAGTCTGCAGGTCTGCAGGTCTACAAGTCTGTATCCTGTACTTTGCATAGCATATTTAGCAGCCTGCATCAGTCAAATTCGGAATTCGCACGAAGCATAATCAGTCACCTAACATTTGGAACAACCTGGGGTTTTCAGCGTGAAGCATCCACGGAGAAGCACGGACGGTACTTACAACTAAACTATTCCAAGTTCTAGCAGAGTACATACCTATTGATGTACATTCTGTACATTCGATACATTCGATACATTCTACAAGCCTTGGAGGCTATTTTTGAGGGGAAGTCGCACTTGGAAGTGCTTGCCTGTCGCCGGCCTACACATGTACCCCCCGCCGTACACTGGAGCCAGGTCGTTGCACAAGGCACGAGCAAGAGCACATTAGGGACCCGTAACTGATAACACCTCACAGCCCAGACAGCCCAACCTGCCAACCTGAATCGCTGCAGCATTTGTACTTTGAACTTGCACTTGCATTTGCATTTGCATTACCCGCATCGCCTAAAAAAAAGAATAAAAGAAAAATAACAACTTATACCTATTTATACTTATACTTATACATACATTACCATATAATACGCAGGTACTTTTCACTTGGGTGTTTATTATTTTAACACCAAAGGTTACCTTCTACCTTTTACCCTCTACCCTCTACCCTGTCCTGCCCCTGCCCCTGCCTTGCCATTACTGTCAAGTTTGGCTGCAACCCTCCCTTTCCCCCCCGAACATCTTTTTTCCCCCAGATCTATCAGATTTAACACACTGTCAACTCCGTGAATCGTCTCTTTTTCTTGGGGGTCCACCCCCCCTTACCACATTCAGCATCTTACCCTATTCTAAGTTTGGCCTTAGACCAAACTCGAGGCCTTCTACGACCTCTGGGTACTCGTTGGTTTGGGATTTATTTCTTTTTTGGGGCTGGAGACATCCTTGTCTAGCTCCTATCAGGACTGGGTAAGGACTGGGCAAGGACTGGGTGAGTTCTCGCAAGACTGTAGCTCTAGCCAGTTTTTGAGCTGAAGGAAAAGAGAAAGTGTCCAAACGCCATTTCATAAGCCAAATTGGCCCAGCCAATCCAGAACACCAAAATCATCCTCCGGCTTTGCGCAAAACACGCCCCAAAAAAGAGCGTGGGGCTCGTTGCTCGTTCAAATAAGGCGCTCTCACTTTCTCGTTGAAACTTAACATACTTTTAAGTAATAACTAACGGTTTGATTTTACCGTTATTTTGTTCACTCCCAGTTGAGGCCAGCTCTCACGGGGTAACCTGACGATCCTTACGCTGTACAGTACGACTTTTAAAACGTTCAAGACCCTACAAGGCCTTACCAGCAAGACCGTGCCGCGTCTGCACTCAATAACGTTCGGTACTTAGTCTGTCAACTGCTAACGAACACTTCTACCTACGGCCACCTCCAAAACTGTTTCTGCGATCCCAGCTCTTGTCATCCCTCGCGGACCAATCCACGTCCACCAGTGCATAACCTACCATACATACATATATTCACCTACATCAGCCCTTCCTTCGACTGCCTACCGCTTGCCTGCCTGTTCGACTATTCATTTAACCCGGTCATCTCGCTCCTAATCATCGATCATTTTCACTCTTCTCCTCGCCTATTCCCCTTGCTATTTTGCCAACAGATACCGGCACTTCGACTGCATAATCCATTTTACATTTCGGATATATCTATACGAACATTATATTGCATTAGAATATAGGTCAGGCTCCAGCTATCTGTGCACTTACTTCTGGCGTCACTTAGAAAGCCAATATAAAGAGCAATCTGGGTAGGCACGTCTTTCCTCCACAGCCTTGTCTGGTCCATTCCTTAACCTCTCCGGCGTTCAAATGTCCCTTGTAGCATTCTATCAGCCCTATTAGAGTACTTAACTCTTCCTTCTTCAAATCCCGATCCTATAGATCACCGATCTAATTTGCTCTTTGTCTTATAGATAGTTTCACAGCTACGAGAACATTCTCGCACACGTTCGGCGTATATAGTAGATTTCATCTTATTTTGCTGGTTCGCCGACATTCGGGGAAATCGACCGGACATCACGATCCTTCCACAGAATACCAGACTTCGACTCTACAGAAACCAAGAAAGACGGCGCAGCACACCGATTTCCCGCACACATAGAATCTTTCTACAAGATATAAATTGTTGATTTGGCGCAGAGTGGAGCTATGACCACGGCAGTGAGTGTTCATCTCCTTGTTCCCACGGTGATCCAGCTTCACAGGACTAGTGTCTATCGTCCCATTACCCGGTGAAGCGTATACGAGGCGGCCGTTAAGGATACTTCGACCTCATGGCCTTATGACTGGTCGATTAGATTATACAGGGCCATTTTTCTACCCGCGTTGGGCCGTTGTAGACTTCCGTTACCAAGCTGACATGTGACTGCATATAGACACGGCCCAACGGCTTTCCCAATCTTGCAATGCCAAACCCCTCGAGCGACAGGGCCTCGCAGCCTATCGGATCCGGTTACAGCCATTCAAACTGGCAAGCCGACGACAGAATATGGGGAAGTCTCATTAATACCTCCTCATTGAACCCAAGAGGGAATGTAACGGGCTCAAGAGGTATGTGATGCGATGCCAGAAAGAACAAAAGCACACCCCCACCAACATGTTTGACCAATATGATAGAACCAGATGAATACTCGCCCAGCGCAGTGCCTAATTCTGCACACCCGAATTCACACGCCCAGCCTGGTCCATGGAGTTCCAGGAGTGGAATATGGGCCCAGGAAAGAAGTGCACATCAGGTCTTAGCACCTTCTGGAAGCACCTCGCCAACACGTACGAGAGACGGGTTCCAGCACAACTTCCCCGAGGCCTCAAGCAGCGCTCATCACTTTCCGCTTCGGCCACCTGGGGCTCCGAATGGATCGGCTTCAGCAAGAACATTACCACCTGGCCCTGTAGACCATACAACATCATCTCGGCCGTATACAGCAAGGTTTGGAGACTCGGTTAACGACGAGAGGGGAGCCTCTAACTTATACGCGTCAAGCACCAACAGTCAACTAGAATATGAAGCTTATCGGCGCAACTCAAATGACCCATCGTTTCGCAACCTTGGGCATAGCCGAACCCTCAGCTCAAGGCAGCCCGAGCCCGATGTCCAGAATTCAAGTCGTTACAGTGATAGCTCTCACTTTTTTTCAGTGCCACCTGGCCACACTCAAGCACAACCGCAGCGACCCTCTGCTTCTGGGGCTTCGGTCACGTTACCATCAGAACAAGCCCGACCTAACCATTATGCTTATGCAGCAGAGGATTCCGAGCTCGAGCACGACATCGAAGAGAGGTTTGAACAAATCACACTGGAGAATAGCTCTAGCGCCATCAACGGCACGCTTCTGTCTGACGGACACTATGACCCCGCTAGCCAAACGTTCCAGCTGAACCCAGGATCTCAAACCTGGCCGCACGACTTGGGGAATAATTCGAGGATATATGGCCAGAATGTGCAGGAGCCTTGGACGGACTCAATGGCTCCTACTTATACCTCCAGAAGAGCTCTAGGCGAAAGAGGATCATCTGCTGGAAGTTCATATCGCCCCAACGTCAATGGTGCAAGGGGTCTATCAGGAACGCCAAACCCAAGAGCCGATGCATGGAATAGACCGAGTTCGCGGGACCCGAGAGTACTTCCAGAACTCGAGCGGGCGTCGCAGGGCTCGCAGTATCTTCAGCAGCAGTCCAGCTTCTTTCAACCACCTTACTTCGGTAATAACCTTGCTCAGTTTACGGGTCCTTACGATCCATATGTACAGAACCCAAGTTTCCGCTCCCAGGTGCAGCTTCCGGGATATAATCTTGCGATGAATTTTTCCAGCCTTCCGGTTCCAATTCGGCCCAGCAGGGACCAAGATCCTGGTAAAGGTGTCCGTAGCATGCTTCTCGAAGAATTTCGGAGCAATGGCAAGTCCAACAAGCGCTACGAGCTAAAGGTATGTCGCGGTAAATGTTAAATGCAGCACAATCAGAAAGTTAACGCGGATGTAGGATATCTATAATCACATCGTCGAGTTTAGCGGGGACCAGCATGGCTCACGGTTCATCCAGGAGAAGCTTCAGACTGCAAACAGCGATGAAAAGGATCAAGTCTTTCGAGAAATCGAACCTAATACGCTTCAACTAATGAAGGATGTCTTCGGCAACTACGTGATACAGAAGTTCTTCGAGCACGGGAACCAAGTGCAGAAGAAAATAATTGCGGCACAGATGAAAGGAAAGGTTGCGGAGCTCTCGACTCAGATGTACGCGTGCCGGGTTGTACAGAAAGTGAGATTTCGATGAAGAATCCTACAGTAGGAGTACGTTGCTAACTGGATTATAGGCGCTTGAGCACGTGCTTGTCGAGCAGCAGCAGGAGATCGTGGAGGAACTTAGCCAAGACATTATGCGGATTGTCAAGGACCAAAACGGGAACCACGTGATCCAGAAGATAATCCAGATGCTACCGCAGCAATGCATTCCCTTCATTATGGATGCTTTCCAAAACCAAGTTGAATCTTTGGCATCGCACAATTACGGGTGCAGAGTCATCCAGCGAATACTTGAGAAGGGGACCGAAGCGGAGAAGAGAACTCTTCTGACAGATCTCCATGCTTGCGCGGGCAGGCTCATAACGGACCAATACGGCAATTATGTCACCCAACATATTATCACCCATGGAGCGCCGGAAGATAAGCAAAAGATAATCCAGCTAGTGCTTCAAAAGTTGATATTGTATTCAAAGCACAAGTTTGCGTCGAACGTAGTTGAGAAGTCGATAGAGCATGGGACGATAGAGGATCGCAAGGCAATCAGGAGTCAGATCACAGCTTTGCACAACGACGGTAGCAGCGCACTTCAGCTCATGATGAAAGACCAGTTTGGAAACTATGTGATCCGTAAGTTCCACGTCGTACCCTATCAAGCAAAACGTCACAACTAACCCACCGACAGAGAAACTTTTACAACACTTGGAGGGCCCGGATCTTGAGTCGTTCAGAGAAGAAATGAAGCCTCACTTCACCATCTTGAAGAAGTACAGCACCGGTCGACAAATCGCGGCTCTAGAGAGGCTGATGTCCGCAACCGCGGCGCCGGGTGCTACTAGCCCTACTACACCGAATCTATCAGTCGATGTCAATTCAGCCGCGCCTACTCCGTTGCTCACTATGGAGCAGAACAGCCCGGAAAGCTGTAGCCCGCCAAGCACAAAAGCGAGCTTGGAGGAGCCTCTAGGCGAGAAGAACAGCGGTGCTTCCACCCTGAAAGAGCCCTGCCAGCCAGTCGAAGTTAACGAGCCATAAGACGCTCATCGCAGTTTTACCACGTATTGGCAGAGTATGGCATGCCTCGCCTCGGACAAGCTCGTCAAATCGTATTATGGATCACACAAGGGCTTACCATGGCCTGCAAACGCCTTTTCACCTGTTATTTCCCTTCAGTGAGTTGAAAAAGTTCGTTGTTCATTAAAGAAAGAAAAAAAAATAGCATTGCAAATAACGCGAAATGCGAAAATCTCTGGTCGATTGAGACGGCACCACGACATACAACATAGTAGCACATAATATCTGATTTTTAATGGTCTCCTTCCGCGTTAATGGATTCCCTTCTTACGTGTATTTTTCTAAGGCCCTTTATTTTTTGCGCGATTTGGTTTATTGGAGTCAGCGGCTAGCTTTGGGAGAGGCGGCCGCCGGCTCCCATTTTAAGCAGGTTAGGCGTAAGGAGTTAGAGGGCGAGGGGATTAGGAAATATGGGCAGATGATAAGGCATTTGGCGCTCGGTCTGGGAAGGAAATAAAGAGCGGCAAGCCGTCGTGGGTGGGGGACAAAACCGACGGGTCAGGCGAGCACACAAAAAGTGATAATTCACAGAAGCAGCGTTTGTATTTTCTTTTTTTCTACTTTGACGGCATGTATTTTCTTGGCTGCCGGTGTTGAAAGGTAGATGAGCGTAGGTAGATATGACATATAGAATCGAATGCCTTATTTAGTGGGTTATCTGGATTTTGATGAGCTAAAATTTGGGCAAGTGTTGTCGGTGACTAGAGGCCAAAGCGGTAGGGCGTTATAGGGCTGGCAGGTTATCATTGAGATTGCGTTCTAGATTTTGGGGGGCGGTGGCGGTGGCGGTATAAGGATCAGAAGGATGTAGAGCGAAACAGAGGGCATGGGGCTATAAACGTCACTATACCTGTTAATAGATGAAGAAATGATCGGCTAGTTAGATAGCCTGCTGCGATGCATATCGGCGGAGGTGTTGTATTGGGGGGAGGGTTGGGTTACAGCACGTAGGTTAGGTAGTATAAAGGTAGTAATATCGAAGACGACGTAATGATAAATTATATAAGGTAACCTACCTACCTACCTATCTATGGGTCTTTACCTGCCTAAGCTGCTAAGGTAGGTAGGTACTTAGTAGTATAGTCCATCGTTTACTAATTTATACGCTATAACTATCTCCTATAAAACCTCTCCCCGCCTTGCCCCCCTCCCCCCTTTTTTTTCTTTGGACTTTCAGCCCTACATTGCAGATTAGATTCACTAGACTTTAGCAAAGAGGTACTTAGCCCGTAACAGCATGTACGTACCTTATATATACTAAATATCTTACATTATCTTGGCCGTGATGCTACGTGCTCGGTATACTAGGTACGTAAGGCATATGCGACGCATGTACATTCCGAGACCCGAAAATAGAATGGGGGGAGGGAGGGTTTAATCTTTAGGTTACCTTAGGTTTAGTTTGAGTAAGTGGATGTTATGTTTATGGACTGGCACTGTGTATACGTAAGGCAGGTAAGTATACCTGTTTCCGGAGTATACTTGATAGGTATAATTTTTAATTTATATATACGTATAGTAGTGTGAGTACATTTAAGTTACATAAGGTTAGGTTTTAACTAAAGAGGCATTATACTTACCTACCTAGGTATGATATAAAAACCTTCGATCCAACTTTGCTTTTGTGTATAATGCAGTGGGTTAAATAAGATACATAGATGAATATGAAAGATACCCCAAAGGTCTAAGTACTAAATGCAGTATAGGTACCTCCATGTAGGTACGCTCATGCATGTAACCCTACCGAGCCCCCGTCTTGGATCCTTCCCACCCTAAATTCCCTATTCCTCTTCCTTTTCCTCTTCCTCTTCTGATATTACGTATCGTATCGTATCGTGCCTACGTAATGTAATAAGGGCTAAGTAAGCATCGAAGTGCTTTTACTATAGCATAGCATAGTTATTAGTGAGTGCTCCAGCAAATACGAGCAAAAGACCTACATATAGCTACCTAAACTGGATTAAGTACCTAGGTACGTATTCATTCTTCGATCTCTGTTGAAGCTGGAAGTTCCAAGATATTAACTAGGTGCTTAGCCTAACACAAGTACGTAATGTAGGACCTAGGTAAGCAGCCCAAGCTGGGCGCGCGACTCGTAGCGAATGGTGACGACCTAGGGACCTGCCTAAGTAACTAAACTATCCAGCTCGTGTAGGTCTAGGCAGACTCGGGCACCTATCTTGCTCCCTATTCGCTGCCGGCGATCTGGTTCAACGTAACATATACATGCCTAGCTGGGAAAAGAGTCATTGTTGCCTGGCATGGTGCATACATACCTAGGTACTTAGTCCTAAGGTATCTAAGCAACATACTCTACACCACTTGATATATGAGATATCACGGAGCACGGGGGTGGGGTGAGGTGAGGTGAGGTGATATACAATACATACATACATCTATCTGATGCGGTGCTGGCTCCGGTATTTAAATACTTACCTAGGTACCTCATATAATAATATGTCGTGCTACCACTCCTGAGTGTGGTTATTACGCAATATCTGCCTATTTGTAAAAAGGTATGTATCACAACCCATTCAGCGCAACATCGCTCGCTGCCTCCGGAGACCAACGGCCCCGGGCGTGCCGTGCCGTGCCGCGCCGCCGTGGTGCCGCTCTCGGCCGATAACGGAGGCTGGGATGCTCGGATATAAGGTGAGTGTGTAGGTTACCTAGGTAGGCAGCTAGGCTGTTAGGTTAGGTACCTAAGGTAGTAACGCCAGGGATATCTCTCGGAGATAGGAGTGGCAGATTAGGCAGGATACCGGAGATCTCGGGGTTTGAATATGGAAGAATAAGTACCTACCTACCTAAAGTAGCCGTACTATTTTAGGTATTAGGTAGTGCCCGTTAAATACCACTTACTTTTTATAGATGTATACTATAGGTGAACTCACCAGGTGCTCAGCAGATATGATGGTTATAAACTGTGAAATATATACTTAGCCCTTAAGATGGTTCTAATTTACATGCTTAAGCTGTTCATTAAAAGTAGGTTAACACTTGATCTGAACATATCAAATGTCTACCTAAGGTACCTAACCTACCTAGTATGTATCATGAGGTGAATCTATAGGGAAGGGGATAACTACGTCGCTATAAGAGAAGCCCTTATGAAATTACGGAAGCGTATCGCTATACATACCTCCTAAATGCGGGTATATTCGGGTATTCTTTGTTCTGGATGTCTCACCAGAATTCGGATACGTCATACATACCAGGTACCTAACCTAAGGTAGTGTCATAAGGTATGTGTATATCGACTTGTAGTGACGTATAACACTTCTTCTACTACTTTGTGATGCCGTAACTCATGAATCTCTGGCGTACCTAAGCCAAGAACTCCGCAGCGGCATAATATCCCGCTTAATATGGGTGGAATGCTTCTCTACTAGGTATGTAGATTTTCGGTATACATAGGTAGGTAGATAGTATGCCAAGATTCACGACGACATTTCAAGGGATGAAACGGCCCAACCGTTCTGCCGTGGTGCTCGCAGGACCATTCCTCTTCGGGCGTAGTTTTCGCATTCCGTATGTCGCCATTCAGACCAGCCAGCAACTTATCGACAACCACAGGTCTTCGAACCATATCTGGATAAGTACCTGTAACCTACCTATCTAGAATAGGGAGTTCGAGGTGTCGAACCGGAACCAGAACCAGAAATAAAGGACGAGGTCCTAAATGCCATGTCACCTGAATAAGAGTGTAAGATTAGAGAATAGCTAGCTACCTCTAGTAGTAGTTATGCAAAGATCCCAATGGTCCAAACGATTTAAGAGTGGGCTTTGCCGTTGTTTGCGAACCAATCCTATATCACTTACACACGGGCTCGGGGGATCTTCAACAGCGAAAAGACAAACGGATATCAAACCTTGTTGTTTTGCTAACTATTTTTCCTATTTTCACTTATTATTCCCTATTCGGGATTCGGACTCGTTTTCGAACCGTCTTGGTAAATGTTGGTAAGAAAGAAAAGAAAATTACTGGGAAAGACCTTGGCAAAAAAAAAAGCTTGGATTTTGTAGAACATTACCTTAGGTTAGGTACTTGAACATTACGACTTCGATTTCGACTTTGATTTCGTACGTAAAGGAAAAAGGTACTACGACAATGCGTATTTCATATTCGCCAATAGGCGTGGTTAATACCTCGGGTACAAAATGCGGTACGACATGGGCGTTTCCAGAGCGTCTAGGTGGCGTTCGGGGGGGCAGTCAGCCTTGTTTGCTTGTGCTTGAGATGACGGAAAGATACATACAAGTTTTTTTTTGCCATACCTGGTACTGTACCTTACCCAGGTAGATCGGGGTTTACCTAGTAGGTTATGTGAGGTACTTACATGTCGTTGCGAGGCCAAAACAAAGAAAATCATATAAGTCTATCTAAAGCTGCTGCTGCTGTTTGCTTCTGCTACCTACCTACCTCCTACCTACCTACTCTCCCCTTATCCTTTATTTACTATAGTCTATCCTCGTCACTACCACCCACCCCACCCCCCCTACGACATAAGTAAATCCCAAGTCTATTACTTTCTATCTATCTACCAATCGTGATTAACAGACGACAACCGTGAATACACTCAACCAAAATGGTTAAAGTCCTCATCCTCGCGGCCACCGGCAAACAAGGCAGCGCGGCGGCCCGCGCGCTCCTCTCCTCCAAAGACCACCAGCACACGGTGCGCATCCTGGTGCGCAACCCCTCGTCGCCCGCCGCGCAGGCCCTCGCCGCGCGGGGCGCCGAGGTCGTGGTGGGCGGGGACTGGGCGGCGGACGCGGCGGCGCTGGACCGGGCGTTCGCGGGCGGCATTGAGGCGGTCTTCTTCCCGTCGATCCCGTCGTTCACCGACGCCGACGCCGAGCTGCGGGGCGCGGCCAACGTCGTCGAGGCCGCGCGGAGGGCCGGCTCCGTCAGGCACGTGCTGTACAGCAGCGTCGGGGGCATCGACAGGTACGAGACGTTCAAGGGGTGGGATTCTACGCCGCTTTTTGCGAATTATTGGGTTTCCAAGGGTATGTGCTTGGTTATATACCTAGATATACACAATAGCATACGTGCTAACTTTGACAATCATCGCAACGAAATATAGCCAAGACCGAAGATCTCGTCAGAAACGCCGGCTTCGAACACTACACGCTCCTGCGCCCGTCCGAGTTCATGACCAATTACACCAGCAAAATGGCGCTGTTCCAGGTCCCCAGCCGTAAGTACATCGATATTTATCACTCTTCATTCCCCCCTTCCCCCCCTTTTCTTTCCTCATCCTATTTAAAGAAACCTTAGATAATACCTAAACTAACATTCTCCTCCCCCTGCTCCCCAGTCGTCAAAGAAGGCATCTACCGCACCGCGCTCCCCAGCACCTTCCTTCTCAACGAGATCGACGTCGACGACATCGGACGCGTGGTCGCGGGCGCCATCGCCTCGCCGGCGACCTTCGCCGCGGGCCGGCGCGAGCTGGACGTCACGGGCGAGGTGCTGACGCTCGGCGAGCTGGTCGCGCAGCTGGGCGCGGCCGCGGGCAAGCACCTGACGGTGCGGACGTTCACGCGCGAGGAGGCCGAGGAGGCGCTCAAGACGAACCCCGTCGTCGCCGGCCACCTCATGATGCTGGATTCCGAGTGGGCGAACCCGGCGCCGGACGATTTCGGCCTCGGGTTCAGGACGTTTAGGCAGCATCTTGAGGAGCATCGGGATGAGGTGAGGGAGTTGTATAAGGAGGCTCCGTAGGCTTTCTCTCTCTCTCTCTTTTTCTCTGCTTGATGATGGTATGAGGGAGGTATGTATGTATCGTGGCCGAGAGGTACAGTAGGCATATACATGGTGGTTTTATCTTACCTTACCTTACCTTAGGTACCTAGGCCGGTAAATAACAATAGGTATTCACGTGCTGCTAACTTCTAAGGAGGAGGGGGCTCGGAAAAAAAAGAATTGTGATGCGTAATAGGGGTCTAAATATTGAGCAATTTATTCCCTTCAATGTCCTGTAAGTCTATTATCCGTATTTTGCAGCAATGCTATGAATATCCATCATTCCCATATGTAGTAGAGTGGACAGTTGATTTGCTACCTAACCATGCCATCGTAAAATCCGCCGTCAAAGTCCCTTTTCAGATGGACGAGGCTCACGACGATAGCGTGTAGACGAGCAGTCCAAGCACCTCGAATACTATGGAAACTCGACGTTGTGCTAGGGGTCTTTCCAGTGAATCCACACATCTAATACATCTAGTGTTCTTAGCTGTTCTTATGCGTTCTCCTGCTCATTGTAGGAACGCAACCAACGCCGGTGGGTATACATACATAGGTAGGTACCTAAGGTATACAACGCGCCGCTAAGGGCATGTATCGTCGTCATCATCCTCTTCCCCATTCTTCACTCCGCTTCGCTTCACTTCCCCTTTCCGCCAGCAGGCGCAAAGAACACGACCTGGACGGTAATATCGTCCCTAATATCTCTCGAATTCGGGTACCGAAACGTCAGCGCGCCCTGCACCATCCTCTCGTCGCCGCCCCCCAGGCCGTTGCGTATGAGGTGCACGGCCGCGTTGTGATCCTCCAGCGTGAGCTTCTCCTCCTCGAACTTGCACTGCTGCTTTCTCCCTAATATCACCTCGCCGAAGTTACTCGATTTTGGCCTCACCGGCTTCCCTTGCCCCTGCGCTTGCGCTTGCCACTCGACCCACCTCCCCACCAGGTCCACGGCCTGCTCGCTCGTCATCGCGTCCCAGAGGCCGTCCGTCGCCAGGATCAGGAACGACGGCCCGCCCGACTCCGGGATCTTGCTCGTGGAGACTAGCGGCTCGGCGGTCAGGTAGGGGCCCTCCTTGTAGGCGCCGTACCGCGCGGCGGACGGCAGGCTGAGCCCGTTGTAGTAGTTGCGCAGGGTGTCCTTCAGCGCCGCCGGCCACTTCCACATGCCGTCGCCGAACGTCCGCGACGGCTGCATGCCCCAGACGCGCCCGCCCTTCACCACTTCGGGCTCGTCGGGGAACTGCGCCTGGATGCGCGCGATCTCGCTCGGCGTGGCGCCCGTGCAGTCCGTCGTGAGGTCCGTAGCGGTCCACTTCCCGTCCGCGGTCTTCTGGCCGAGGACGGCTCGGCAGTCTCCCGTCGACGCCACGGTGAGCTTCCTGCTCCGGGGGTCGAGGAGCGCCAAGAGGGCGCACGAGCCGGCGTACGCGATCTCTAGCCTTCTCGCCTTCTCCGCAAACGACAGATTGCTCTCGATAGTTTCCTTGGCGGTTTTAACCAAGGCGTGGTCGAGGCTTGTGAAAGCCGATATGATGGCGTTTTGGATGTCCTCGTCGCTGAGCTGGCCCCCGTCCTTAGGCTTAGCGTTTTGCAGGGAATTCCGCACGTAGGGGATGAGTTGCTTGCTCAGGAGATTTGATAGCTGCCAGCCGCAATGGCCGTCGAAAACGCCCCACGCGAGCCAGTCCTCGTCGGACTTGTTGAGCGGGTTCGAGAAGCTGCCGTGCACGAAGGCATCTTCGCAGGGGCTATTCGAAGCTAACTGGGCACCGTCGTATCTCCTCACTAGCTTTCCACGCGTCCATACGGAGAAGGCATGCTCATTTAGCTGGCGGGTGACATCCTCCGCGGTGGGAACGGGACTGTAAGCGATTTGATCTGACAGGCCAAGCCTGTTTAGGTCCGGAATGCCGGTTCCCTTGTTATTTAAAGTCCTAGATGCTTCGGTAAGACTCGGGGTGGGGGTCTGGTTGCTACGAGAGGTAAACCAATATAGGGCTGTAGCTGATACTAGTCCGGCCCCGAAGGCGATAGCAGTAGTGCTGATCGAGAAGGGCTTGGCCTGCGTCCCCGTGCTTGCGAAGCGCGCTCGGGGTGGTCTCTGTGAGGGACGAGACAGGTGCGTTATCGCAGTGAGAAGTGGCCGTTGACGAAGTAACTGGCGGTAGGACATATTGGCAGATTAAGCATGTAGCATGAGATGTATTGGTGTTTACGGATGAGGATACGGTATAAGTGAAGACGCGGGTGAAATATCAAATATTAAAATGTCAAAATGTCGTGTAGTATCCGTCTTCGAATCGATCTATTATCCGATGTAGTTTCTTTTAGGTATATTTCTTTTATAGTTTGTTAGACTACCAATCTGATAGTCTAGTCTTGGATGAGATTTCTTATTTCTTATTTTCCATTATTATTTTATGAATTGGGGGCATATGATAAACGCGCCGTTTGCTGAAGTCGTCAGAAAAATTGACAAATCCCTGCACACGTTAGCTGAAAGGCAGCTTTTGGCTTGATATGTTGTGTATCTTTTATTACTAAGAATGACGACTATGGAGGGACGTACCTTAGTCACCCAACACACCAAGATCTAACTAATATGGCAATAGTTCTAACCGATAATACCGAGTAAATCATGGGGAAGTTAAGGTGTGGAATAGCTTAGGTACCTCCTACCTAAGGTAGATAGAGGTAGCTAGATGGGTTGCAACCAACAGATCCAGAGTCGGGGACCCTTGACAGGTAACAACCGAGGTACCCACTTGGTATAAAAAAGGAGTGGGACGCGGGGGGACTTTAGCTCCAAGGTTGCTTTCAAGCTCCCGTCTTACAGGGCAAGCAAGCAAGCAAGCAAGCAAGCATCCGCTTTCACTTATCAAAGGGGGAGGAAGCCATTCGGAACCAACAACTTCATAAATATTTCTATAAGAATCCCAATGTTTTGGGGTAAACCTAGATGCTTAACCTTGAAAGAATCCCATTCGATTTCATCATAACAATACCTGCCTAGTTAGGGATACATATCTACAGACTATCAACAGCGTAAGAAGACGCGGGAGAGAGACAAGACCGTAACCAAGCCATGGCCGACGTAATCAAGATCCAATACTCCGGCCGCATTGCCACCATCACCATCGACAATGAAAAGAAGCTCAACGCCCTCGACTTCCACGGCTACTACGCTCTAGACCAGGCTTTGCGTGAGATTGCCGCCCGCGACGATATATACATCACCGTCTTGACCGGCAAGGGACGGTACTTTTCCGCGTAAGTTTCTTCTATCTGTATAAGATCTCCCCCCTAAAAAAAAATCCCAAGACTCACTCACCACCACCCTTCCCAGCGGCGCCGACGTCTCCGTCACCTCCAGCACATCGGACTCTTCCAAGTCCTCCCCCACCCCCACCCCCTCCGACGCCCGGGAGCGCTGGCTGCGCAGCTTCGTAGCCAACAACCTCAGCCTCACGCGCGCGCTATACACGCACCCGAAGATCCTCGTGGCGGCGCTCAACGGCCCCGCGGTGGGCCTCTCGGCGGCGCTCACCGCGCACGCGGACTTCGTGTACTGCGCGCCGCACACCTTCCTGCTGATGCCCTTCTCGTCGCTGGGGCTCGTGGCCGAGGGCGGCGCCTCGCACGCCGTGGTGCGCCGCCTGGGCGTCAGCAAGGCCAACGAGGCCCTGCTCCAGTCCCGGCGCGTCTCGTGCGAGGACCTCGTGCGCACCGGCTACGCGAACAAGGTGTTCGAGTGCGCCCCCGGCGACAGCGACGGCTTCCTGCGCCAGGTCATGCGGGAGATCGACGACACCATGGGCCCCCATCTGAACAGCGACAGCCTGCTGGGCATCAAGGCGCTCGTGCAGAAGCCGCATCGGGACGTCCTCGAGAGGCAGAACGTCGCCGAGGTTTTCGCCGGCTTGGACAGGTTTGTCAGCGGCGTGCCCCAGGAGGAATTTGAGAAGATTACGTCGGGCAAGAAGAGGCATAAATTATGAGGAGACAAGGTATATATTAGGTTTTAAATCTTTCCTCTTTTTTTCTCTTTTCTGTAACTATAGTTATAGTTGGCTTCTTCGGATCTTTTTTAAAAACTTCTGTGGGTATCATAATTATGCGAGCAGCCCGAATAGCAAGCTCGTCCTCTTCCAATACTCCTGCGATGTTTTCTCCAGCCTTTCTTGAGCGCTGCTGTCCAATCCGGTCTTTTTGAATACGTCCTCTGTAAATTTCGTAAACGACTCCTCCGAATAAACTTCGGCACCCAGACATTGTTGGAGAAGGTGGATATCATACAGCCATTGGATAAGAATATCCTTGCTCCTCTCGGACTTCTTCTCTTCATCTGCCTCTTCCTTTGCTAGCGGTTCTTCCTTAGTTTCTGCAGATCCCTCCTCCGTCTCCTCTGTTGGTTGTGTTGGTTGCTTCTCCTCGTCTAATTCTTTCGTTTCCTGACTGCTTGCTGTTTCCAAATTGTCGAGTTCTTTGCGCCATACCTCGACGAGCTGTTTGCCGAATATTCGCTTAAGAATGCTTACGGCGGCCGGTGTCCAGAGGTCCAGACCAGCGTCACCCATGGACAGGATAAGATTACGCAGGAGTTTAAATGTGCCGGGGGACGGTTGCGCTGGTAAAGCAGGTTCACCTTCCCATAGGGCTCGTCCAGCCACTCGCTTGCGTGTCAAAGCCGTCGAAGAAAATTCTTCAAGAGGTGAGACTGATACATGAGCTGCGAGCTTCTCGTGTAAGGATGGGACGCTTTTCAACCCAAAAGACTTGACGTCTTCAAGCTTGGGGAGCCGACCACGAATATCCCTGAGGATCCTTAAAATGTACATCGAAATCGGCCCATTGTCTGTACTCTCCAGTCTGGACTTCCAGGTGGTTTTCAGGTGCTCATTTAAGTCCTCGAAAGCCTTTGTGACGGCTTCGTTAAGTCTGGTTTGTAATAACTCAGGATCCTCCTTGCTCAGTAGCTTCTGGCGCTCTGCAATAACATCCTCGTCCTCGATCTCATCCACGTCGTTGTCCCAGTGTTGACGTCTTAGCTGCTCGATTGAATCGCCAACACTATCTATAAGATGGCGCCACGATTCATAGCTCGTGACTACTCGGGCTACCGCGTCGTTTCTTCCATATAGGCGAGATGTAACTTCGTGAGTAATCTGGTTAGCACTGCTTGAGGTATCCAGTTCCAACATCTCTTCATCCCATAAGCTGCGACGTTGGTCGGTAGTTCCAGGCTGCCATACGTCAAGCGTCGCAGTTACCTCGGACCCGACGAGCTTGAGCTTAGTTATCTTGTCCTCTATGATTTGCAAGAGCCTGGTATTGATAGCCTCTCGTAATCCATTAAGCAATACGGATGGGTCGAAACCTCTCGCTTTCCCGCCATCCTTAATCCAGTGCTGAAGAACACTCGTTCGCAGATCCACAATCGTCTTGAACTCGGAAACGTGCTCGAGGGTACTCTGTAGACCTCGGAGGAGAGTCTCGCCGCCTTTGGTCGCCCAGTTCGTAAGCATTTCTCTGGCCTGTTTACCCTCTAAGTCGTCATGCCGGATGAATGGGGTGAAGTACTGAATCTCATCTCCGCACCACTTCTCGAATATGTCCAGCCGGAGCCCCTCCAGCTCCTGCAGCGACTTATCCGCTAGCAAGTGCTGCTTCTTCAGGTGAAGCAACGCATCTGAGAGCTTATTCGGCACCAAAGCTTGTACATCTAATAATGTCCTTGTATACAAGTCGAGGCCCTTTAAAACGTTCTTGGCACCTTTCCCCTTCTCGTGATCCTCGAGGTCAAATTCGCACGTTATAGCCTCCGCTCTGACGCTTAAAAAATGCCGTAGAACGTCCTTGGCACCCGAGCTTGAAGCCAAACTATACGCAGTCAAAGCTTTCAGAATATCGCCTCGATCGACTTCGTCGCTGATCTTCTCTAACACCTTCTCGACTGCTCTGAGTAGTCTCCGCCGCAGACTACTCAAACTTTTCTTCCCTCCCTCGACTGCGGTCCGAATATCCTCGCTGGCGTTGTCGGTCGGTCCAAAGCTCGAGACCAGTAGACGCTTCAAGACGAGGACCTTGGCTGCCAGAACCAACCGGTCCCCTCTGCCTTCTCCGCCTTGTTTCAGCAGACGCCCTACGGCAAGCCCGCACGCATTCAACAGCCTAAGCCTCGCGACCCGGCTCAGCTGCGCTTCGGCATCCTCCCGGCCGCGGAACTTGCCCAGACCCGAGACCTTGGCGCCGACGACGGTGCGCCCGCACATGCCGCCCATGCGGTTCAGGATGTCCTGGGCGGCGAGCATGTCGCCGCGCATCTGGACGATGGTATCGGCGGTGCCCAGCAGCTCCCTGTAGCTGTTCCCGACCTGGGTGCGCAGGCGCGCGGACTTCTCGTCGATCTGGACATGGAGGCTCTTGTGGATGGCGCGGATCTGGGGTAAGGTGTGGGAGGCGAAGATCTGGGCCGAGTCGGTGAACGACGAGGTGTCGGGGGCGGCAGCTGCCATCGTAAATCAAACGTTTCAAACGTCCGAAGTCCGCAAGAGTTTTTTTTTTCTTTACGGGACGGGTAGCCGGGGTACAAGGGAAAAAAAAAAAGAAAGAAAACAAATGGAGAGTTGGCTATTGCATCGGCTTCTCGGAGTTTGAATTTTGGTTGAAACGAAGTTTCCAAGGTGGTGGTTGCAGCTGCCCGCGTTTTGCATCTAAAGTTTAAACTTCAATTTGTGGTGCTGGCGTTTTGACAGCTTTAAGCCTTAGGTGCATTACCTAGCTAAAGTACCTAGGTACAATACATGGGTACCATGTTTCGAGTGCAGCTTACAGCATTTCCAAGCGCCTATCTTTAAGTAATCCATACAGTTCAACAATTTATCAGGTACGGCCATCTCATATTTCATAATAGTAAAGAGGTATGTACAATTATGAGTTACACACTATAATTTCATTAGTACGGCCTTATGTACTACCTAGCAATATGCCATTACCGTATGAAACAAACTGAAGGTTATCGTAGCCTAACGTTCATCAGTTATTTCACGTAAACCGTATAATACTCCGTGATCGTCGTACACTTACACCTCTTTTTACAAAATCTCTAAGATGTGTGCTCTAATTAAGCTAACCCCCTTTCTCAAGGTGTATCTGCATTTAATAATCGTACCTAGTTTACAAAAACTTAAAAGTTACTTCCCATAGGATTAACGAGGTTTTTACATAATAAACCCGATTAATAACATACTTTTAACTTAATTTAAAATAATATATTATTTAATTAATTTATAATATATTATAATAAAAAAGAAATTAAATTAAATTTTATATTTTATACTTTTTAATAAAATTAATTTTTTAAAAAAAATATTATTAAATTAAATATGTAAATCTTTTTTATTTAAATCTTTTATATTAAAAAATAATTAATATTTTATTATAAAAATATAATAATAAATGTATTAAAATTAATTAAATTATTAATAAGTTTTTTATAAAAATTTTATAATATATTAAATGTAATTTATATTTATAATTAATATTATAATTATTAAAAATATATATAATTTTAATAAAATAAAATTTATAATAAATATTATAATAATTAATATAATTATTATAATTTTAAAATTTAATATAATTAAAATTAATTATATAATTAATTAATTTAATATGTTATAATTAAATTATAAGAATTTTAATTGAAAAAGTGTAAAATTATATTATTAGGTATTAAATATCGTTAATATTTATAAGCGATGTTATCTTTTGTCCCGTTTCAAGCGACACCAGAACCTCTTGGCGAGCTGGGCAATATGGAAGAGGGCTCGCTCGTCGGTCTCCTAAATGGAAGCGTTTCAGTTTCTGATAGTGGCGCCTAGTATGGCTTGCTCGATCTTGATGCACGAGCTGATGCACAAGCACTTTTATGGTTATACGGAGGGCATACCCAGCCACTTGGAAATGTCGCGCATGGAACTAAATGTCCTATCTGTATGCTGTGCTGCCACCCCCTCCGATAAACACGATGCTGATATATGTGGCATAGGTACGTACGGCCTAGATATGTTTATGGCTTGCTGCCTTTGTGCAGTATTTGTGTTCTAGATTGTCTTCTCTCTTTATATGATCTACAGGGCCAAGTCTGCGTTGGAGATCGGTATACGAGTCTTCGGCATCCGTAATTCGGATGCTAGCCTGATAACCTGGAGGTATCAGGGTATCTAGCGCCCCGCGGAGAAGCGTCCGTAGTAGCTCAAGTTTGACAACGTCATCTCGCGCTGTTGGCCTCCTGATTCGGTAACGAGACCTTAAAAATGCGTTAGTGGTCGAGCCGGTCGCAAGGGCTCGTGATAGCCAAAAGGCATCGTGAACAATAGCGTATTGTACCAGCGAGAAAGATCAGCTCGAAGAATTCCGGGGTCCCCAGATTAGTAGGGCTGCTTGGGGTATAACCTATGCTCATCAGCTCATTCGCAATATCCCCGCACTCTTGACAAATATCCAGACGAGACAATCATAAGTTCACGATTCGAAGCGTGTGCGTTGATTGATTGCTGAATTCTGCAATGAGGGTCCACCTACGCTCCTATGGCGTGTAATGCGTCTCATGTGAAGGCCTGAAAGATTGGTTTGCTAGTATGCGGGGGGACGAATCAGGATATTGTGATAAGAATACAGCTGAACGAGACTCGAGACTCGAGAGTTGGACTATCCGGACTATGCAGTATGAAGTCCAAGATGCATTAGACCGATTTCACTTGACCACTTATTCTTGATAATGGACCCTTTGTTTGTCCGTATGATGTAAAACTGTCTGCAGTCAATCTTTTCACTCAAAGCAAAAGTCAGCATTGAGCAGGTAGGGTTGCAGATGTGTGAGAAATGGTTGGGGTACCAAACTTTAGAATTGCTAAATGGTTGCCAAATACCAAAACGCGATAAGGACGACCTGATATCTAGTATCGAGCTGGTACGGACGGGGGTGATGAGCTCAGGGACACGGTAGTTTAGAATGTATTGTGTTGTAATGATATGGGATGGATGAGTTGGCGAGATGCGACTCGCGGCCTTTTGGAACCAATCGCAATATACAACTCAGAAACCTTTGGGCGAGAAGGCAGAAAAATTAAGGCCTTCTTCATATAATCGCAATTTGTCTCGGTGACGGGGGATGAGTTTGCTACGTAGGTAGATATAAGATTCCGGTATCTACCGTAAACATGACTCATGATGGCCCTTCGAGGCCCCAACAACTCTTCAACGACGATAACTATGGGAATGCTTGGTGTGGCTCAGGGTTCCCCACAGAATCTTTGTTCGATAGTTTGACTTGCAAAGTAATGGTTGCATGGATTATCCCGTACGATGCTACCCAAACGTAGCATGGACCAGACTGACTTACTACATACAACTAGAACAACCTGATAGCTAACGTAGCAATCCGATAGCTTCGAGTAAGGTATTTTCTTCTACAGCCTGATTTCCGCATTCCCGTCACATGGGAAAATTCGATGTATATCGACCCTGTGAAATTAGGGATAGCGTTTTTGGGCATTGGCTCCGAATACGACTTTGACCCTTTTCTCAACTCGACTCGGATACAATTGTCCTATGTTGACTCCGTGTTTGGAAATAACCTCATGGATAATGTGATGTAAGTGAGGCTGGTGGTTCAAATATTCAGGGTCCCAACCTCGATAGAAACCCCAAGCTTACGGTTCTGCAAGGGGACGGAAAGTGGCGATGGCAAGACATGCTGTAGACTCCTAACCCAGAGGAGGCAGGAAAGGCGGCTTGAAGTACGGTGAAGTTGATTTGTGGGGTGTTTCTGGGCATCCCACCAGCCCACCAGCCCACGAGGCAAAGGTGTACAACACTGTGTAATAATATAAGTTAAGGGGTATTGGATCAGCCGGTGACCTTCCACACCCACACACAACTTCTCTTTCGTAAACGTAAGTCCAGTGACAACGCATACATAAAGAAAAATTCTGGTTTGGTATATGAGGTTAGATTAGGTACATTTGGGATACGGAGTATAGCTCAGGTTGGATTATCCGAGATCATCTTAAGGAGTTATTTTTTTTTTTTAACTCAGAAGCGAAGATGCGATGTTTTAAGCATAACAGGTACCTAAGGTATGCAAAATCGTATGAAGCTGGTGATAATGTGTATGCCGATTCGAGAACAATTTAGAACCATTTTATCTGAGCCACTCCTAGTCGATTTTTGGTCAGGACCAAAAAGTACAGATGTATCTCGGTAGCATTGCCTTATCAGCAGGAGCTGGAGCACCCTGGCATTCCGGTGGCAGCAGTGGTTACAGCGCCTCAGCTGTGTGTTGGACGTCAACAGCCCCCACCCTTGAAAGTTGGAAGTTTAGGTACCAGGGTACGGACGGTACCATACATGATGCATGTACAATACCTGTACGAAATACATGGTTACGAGAAGTTGTCCCTGAATTGGCGTAGGGGAAGGCGCTATAGCATTACCCTGACTCGAGCTAGAATAGCGTTGGAAAGAATAAGTGAAGGGTAGGTACCTAATAACTATGGTAGTATCTTTTTCCACCCCAATCAGGCAGGCCACATTTCACATTTCACTCTACATAGTCCTTGAAGATACAAGATGCAAGATGCAAGACCCTAAATATGTCACTAGGTAATATAAAGTCACTAAAATAAGTCGCTAAATTCGAGATGAGGGTCAGTCGGGAATCCAGTTCGACAAGTCAGAGTGATAGATATCCAAGTCACCCCCGTGTTATCTCCTTGGCTCACTTGCAAGGTTAGGTAGTCCTTGGTCTTGGCTTGGCTGTCATCAATATCCGTTGTTCCCGTCCTCTTATTAGATCATTATTATTTTTACCTTATCTTTACCCTAAAGTAATTAAGTACAATACTTTATGTAGTTGGGTACAACGGTAAGGCATGGATTCAGGAAGGCTGTACTTCGTATGCGATTATTGTATAATATAATCATCCTCCCTACCCTCGACCTCCTTCGTCATTGTAATCCCTTTATCACGTTCCTTTCGACAATACCCTCCCTACCTCCTACCACTATTGACTACCACAAAAAAAGTCACAGCAGTATCCGTCCAATCTCGAAGGGTTTAACAAGAGAAGAGAAGAGAAGAGAAAAGAAAAGAGGTATACATCATTTGGAATTACGAGTTATCTCCGCCTATCGTCACAATACGCCTTGTCGTCATCGTTCATCCAGTTGCGTGTCTTTATCGTCGTACATCCTGTAATGCCTCAGTATTTTCATCAGACCCAGCTGCTACTCAAAGAGCTGATGCGCCCAGGAGAGGACCGGTGGTAACAAGCAACGAGACGAAACCAGGAGCTGCAAAGATCTGCAAAAGCGACATCATTATTTTATCTTTTCTGTTCCCACGTCTCTGGGTTCCTGCCGTGCGTCTAGGCTGCATCCCGCATTCGACTGAGGCTCTTCGCTATTACGTACAAGTATCGTGAACCCCTGACGAAGGCTGTACACGACCACCAAATCAATATTGACTTGGCATCATATTCCAATCGCGGTAACTGTCTCCCGATTCGGCGGGCGCGACGGGAAATAATTCCTTTTTTTTTAATAATAAGAAAAGAAAAAGAAAAAGGAAGGGAAAAGAACTACCTTACCGCGCACTTACACTACCGAGATCCACGTTCCTTTTGCGGCCTGCGGCCCCGCTGGACTGATTAATTTATCTGCAATAGGGCGACGGATATTTCCTGTTACTAAAAGGGAACCGTTCAAAAAGCAGGGTCTAGTTCAAAATTCGAGTAATGATGATGGTCCCTAGATCTTTTTTATATTCCAGAAAGCAGCCCGTACCCTCAACCTCCGTAACGGTTACGACAACAAAAGTACTTCCACCTAAGAGAAAGGATGCACCATCGACGGAAAAGGACGTCGCCTCTTCTAAGTCTGTCAACGCTAAAATAAACTCGAAGGAGCACACCATGGGTAAACGGAAACCTTTACAATCAGATAGGTTATCTCCGCCAAGCAGCAGCCCACCAAGTACGACAACAACAAATGCTGTCGCGCGACCAAATACCCCTTCGAGCGCTGTACAGATTCCCATTAGATCGAAGCATGACACCGCGCATTCGCACAGACCGCGACCTTACGCGCACGCGCATCGAGCTAACTCTTCTCCAACCCGAAACTTTCGCGATGTTCACTCCCCAGATGCCATCCCTCCATCTGTGGCGGCGTTGCTCGCCATCACTACCATTCCCCCACCTAAGCGGCGTGGGGGGTCGCGACAAAGGCAGTCTAGGGATTCATCTAGGGACTCAAGGATGACAGTGAACTCAATCGTGCCTCGGTCTCACGTCTCCGAGAAAGAGTTAAGTCAGGAACTAAGCGAAGAATTCTCACAAGATTTGAGCGATATCAGTTTTACATCCTATGATCGTAGTCCTATGGATGTGTTGCTTAGCCCACCCGATGAGCTCGACGAGGACGAAGGATCCTTCAACAGTGATAGCGCATTCGCATCGCCCTTCTCAACCCGCGCGGCTTCGTTTGAGAGTGTACCTTCGTTAGGCGATTCGTTTGGACCCAGTCTAGTTACTACTATCGACTCTCCCGTTACCCCACGTGGAAGAAGGATACGACCGCCGAGACGTTCGCTAGAGCCGGTGTCTTCACCTCCCGGAGAGAGTTTGGAGCATCCGCTTTCTACTAAGGACAGTTTAGACGTCGATGAACTTGATTTCAGGGTGTTCAATCCTAAACCAAGTTCAACAGAACAGAAGCAGGCTACCGGTCTCATGCCACTTAAATCCGTTTTTAAATCAAATTTAACAGCGTCGCTTCGTGCATTGCGCTCTGCTGCCCGGTCCTTGTCTAATTTTACTTCTTCGTCGATACCTCCAGATGACTTTCTTACTAGATCGATCCTCACAATTGACCCAAGAGTCCCATTTACCGATGAGAGAATGCCGCCCATGTTAGGCGAAGAGCCGAGCGAAGCGATGCGTCGTTACTTGAACCCGACTAGCGTACGCCCAGAATCGCGCGTGCGGCCGACAATTCGCAGCTATACTGCGTCGATTCAGATGCAAACTTACAAAGTGCAAAGATCAAGGAGCGCCCCGGCAGCCAGTCGTTCAGGCGGTCAAGGGGGATCTCCCAACAAATCACCAAATGCATATGTCTTTCCACCAGGTCCCCGCCAGCGGGAGATTCGGGAGAATTCGGATTTCATTCGTATCGCCGTCTTAGAGCATCTGATGCGTAAGCGCGGCAAACTAGATGACCAACGTGAAGGACACGCACGCTGGCTTTTGCCGCCAAGAAAGTCTACAACAAAACTCTACGAAATTGGACCTGATGGTGTTCCCGCAAGATGGGTTCCGATTTCACAGGATGATGTCCAAGTTTAGACGGAATAGACTTCATTCGCTCGATATTCTCCTCTGTTATCATCATACCGCTACGAACGACATTACGATCATCGCGAGAGTCACAATTTATGATCGCCTTCAAGCACGCTCGTGGGGATACTTACGATTAAAATTTTTGGGGGTTCAGTGTTGTGGGTTTTACCCATTCTGTCTAACGAATGGTCGAGACATGGTGGAGATGGAAAAGAATATCGAAGCTCCGTCCGAAGCTCCGTCCCACATCGTACGTCAACGGCGCACACCGATAAATACTTTAGCCCGAGGCCTTCGACGAATCCCAGATAATCCATTACCCACAGTACTACGTACCCATAACCCATGTCCGTGGGCTTTGTGGGGGTTTTTTCCCGGCCTCTTTCTTTTTCCTAGTTAAGGAACTGCCGAATAATACTTCCACATGCGACCTTAGCGACTTCATCGACTTTGCGATCGACTTTGGGGTAGACGATGGTTTATCTCGCCCTCTCCTTTCGAATTGTTGAATTGGGCATTCCTTGGCTCGTCGCATGCGCATGGGAATGGGAAGTGTGCATTATCTCGCAGGACCTTCCAACTAATCAAGTCTATGACGATCATTAAGCCCCCGCCACGTTAACTTAGCGAACACGAGCTAGATCTTTTTCTCAGGTTTTAGATTCCTTCTTCCAGACCCACGGAATATGGAACGTTCCTGAATAGTGGAACGTATCAGCAGCAGCAGCAGCAGCAGCAGCAGCAGTCTGAACAAAATTTGCATACGGCCAGTTTAGTTTTACTTACGTAGTCGGCGCTACGTTGGTTCCGAATCTCTTTCGATACCTTGTACCGTTACCAAAATACCCTTTCTTTTTTTTGGCCTCGCATGATACCATTTGGTATTCTTACGGACGACACTTATTCGCATTTCATTTCAAGCATATTTTTGTCGGCAAGCGATATCCTAATATGCATCTGGGTGGAGTGGGACAGCTTTCTATTCTTCAACGCCTTGAGGAGGCATTGTTTGGATAGGTTGGGTACCTGTCACTGCATTCCCCGGCGTTGGACATTGAAGGTTTTTTTTGTTCTTTTTTTTTGGTGATATATTGGGCAGCTTGGAGCGGCATAAATGGGGGTGGTTCAGATGCAAACCTGAGACTTTACCTGATTGATTTAATGTGCGCATGTTGCGGAAATTTAGGTCCGCCTTAGGTCCGCCCTAGAAAGACGCAGGGACGGAACTTAGATGGGCCACTTTGGACCCTAAAGAGTTTTTGAGAAGAGGAAGTTCGATTTTTTTTTCTCGCCCTGCATGACTGCCCAACCGCGCAGGAGGTTTGGAGTGACTATAACGTGTCGATCTCGAGGAGTTTTCGTTAGTAGCCTAAAAATTAAGAGGCGGATACAACAACACTCAGGTGTTCTAGACAAGGGCGTGAGCCCTAGCAAAGCGAAGCAAGCAAGCAAGCAAGCGATTTGCATTATAGGATAGGAATAGCCATACTCGGAATATGATAATGCACTTTTATGAATCACTGACTACGTGTACTTTATAAGTCAAGTTCTTAAGAGTGAGTTTTAAGATAGTAAGGTTAGGTAGGTTAGGTACCCACAGGTAGGTACCTACCTAACTACCTAGGTAGTTGTTGAGTGGTGAGACTTTCACTTACACTGACCCTTACCCTTGAGCGTAGATAGAATGAGAATGAAATATTTACATTAGGTAAGAAGTAGGTAGGTATTTTATCTCATTCCGGTTACTGCCTACTGTCTCACTCAGGTAGATTTTTTTATATACTAGACTTAATGAAACTGCCATTAGTTAATAGAGTACGGCTCTTAGCGAATTCACACAAGACACAGTATCGTATGTTTCATTGTCGAACCGTGTTGAAGCTCGACTAGAGTATTAGAAAGACCAATTAATTACTTTGACACGCAAGATCTCGGGTTATTATCTACTTCGTACTTGACCTGATATGTTAATATTAGCGTTGTGTCTCCCTAACCAGCCCTTTCTTACATCTCTCTCCCTTACATGTATATATGTCCGTCCCTAAACGCATATGCCAACCCTGATATGACCACCGAACAGCCTTACACCACAGGAGTCTTTGCGTTGTGCATCTTAGGCAATTGATCACGAGCCAATTTCAACTTGTAGTGAGCGTGAGTAATCCGGACAAAATATTCTAAACATGTCTATGAGGTAGGTATTGGTATATATATCACATATAGGTGGTAGGTGGTTATATGGCAAATATGTACGTAAGGGGTAATATAAACATCGTCATCATCATCCAAACTTTCAAAGATATCAAACACTCACTCATCATACCCGCTAATAACGCTCGCTCATCCAACGTAGAAAAACTTCCTCGCGCGCTAAATCCCAAGGCTCAACCTAGGTACCTAGGTAAAAACTAAGCGATGTAATCCCTCCACACCTTCTTAGCCTCGCGGCGCACCCTCCGCCCGGCCTTGCGAATCCCCCTCCACACCTTCTCCGTAGCCGGGATCTCGCGCCTCCCGCCCGCGGCCGCGGCCTTGATGTGGTCCGCCATCCACGCGGCCCACTCCCAGGGGGCATTCCGGCCGCCGGGCAGCGAGTTGAAGTACTCCCAGCCGGCGACGCCGCCGAACCCCGGGTTCTCGCCCACCAGCTCCTGGAGGACCGGGGCCTCGGCGTCCAGGCTCACGTACCCGCCGCCGTTGGACGGGTCCGTCACCAGGCCCATGACCACCTTCTCCGCGGGGAACCCGTCGTCCAGGATCGACTCGTAGTCCGCCGCGCTGCCGGCGTTCCCCCACCCGTAGTAGAACTGCGCGTTGTAGAAGGCGATCGAGCCCCCGCGCTGCTTCTCCAGCTCGGCGTAGCTGAAGCCGCTGAGGTTGCCGCCGCCGGTCAGCGCCGAGGCGACGGGCGCGAGGGAGATGACGAAGCCGTCGCCGAAGTCCTTCTTCAGGCGGTCGATGAGGCGGACGACGCCGGCGAGCGAGAAGCTCTCCTCGACGTCCAGGTCGAGGCCCTGCAGGTTGTAGTTCCCGATCATGTCGTGCAGCGGCGCGTAGAAGCGCTCGAACGAGGCGGCGTCGCCGTCGAGCCGCCGGTAGGAGCCCGCCGCGGCGCCGCCGAGCATGCCCATGACGGTGACGCCCTTGGCCTGGAGCTGCGCGGCGTCGGACCAGACCGCGTCGAACAGGGCGTTGTCGGGGGGGTAGTCGTTGAGGTGGATGGTGGCGTCGTCCTGGATGTGGATGGCGGCAATCAGCACGTGGGTGACGGAGATGTCGGGGGCGCTCTCGACGAGCGGCAGCAGCGAGACGTGATTTGTAGCGCTGTTGTTGGTTTGGGTCGTCTGGTAGTAGACCACGACGCGGTGGTCGTTAGCTACCGCCGCGGCCGCGCATGCTGCCGGGACGAGGAGCGGCAGAAACTTGGCCATCCATGATGATACTTTGCAGAACATCTTGGGCAGTAGTTTGTTATCAACTACTAGTCCCTGAAAATGGTATGGTACGGTCTGGTATGGCAAGGTGGTAGACGTCCTCAATGGATGAGGGCGTTTTGGTGTTGGTCGACAAAGGCAGAGCTTCTTGAGAGTCCCCGATTATCTGGGACTCCTCTGCTCTAAGTACCTGAGGTTCGGCCTCGAAGTTGGGATCAGTTCCTTGATGCGTGGATCCTCTAGGATAGGGCTAAGCATCGAAGGAGCGCAGCAAGCCACCTACTTTAAGTAGTCCCTGGAGCTAGGAGAGGCGGTATGAGCATTGCCTTGTTCTACGGGGACCTGAGCACTAGTACATAGTATAAATAAGCAGACATGGGTGATGCTGGACGATCAGTTGAAACATTCTGACAGCCTGGAGAGATAGGAGAGGACGGGAGTTCGAATTGGCACCGGTACCTAATGCAGGTAACCTTCAAACAACCTTGAAGCTCGACTGCTTACTTGCCATGATGCCTGCCATGAAACCCACCTTGGAGCGGGGAGTTTACCAGGGCCAATAGGACGAGGTGCCTCGCGCCCAGCTAACAAGAATGGCAGGTAGTTAGTTCGTTCATTTGGAGATCGATTCAACTTCGTCACATCTGCATTTGAGCTCCCCCGTGATAGAAAAGCGCACTCAAGGTTGCTTTCTGAATAGGCTATGCACGAGTACCGACATGTTCTTTTATATTAAACGGAAGTGTCTGATTTGGGCCTTTCTTACCATGCTCAGTACCTAGGTACCTTACCTTAGCTAGGTAGTAATTCAAGGCTGCTATGTGTGATGCCTGTTGTCTACTGCATTTGCGGAAAGGCGGATGCTTCTCTACCATACCTCCAACTATACCAATACCATGCAGATCTTCGTAGGTCTGTGCCTATCTCCAAAAGACGAAGTTTTGGTCAGCATTAAGTGACTATATGCCATGTTATAGTTCTGACCGCATTAGTTAGGTATCATCATTAGCAGGAGGAGAAGGTGATGAAATCGGTAAAGGCGAGGTAGCATCATATTGAACTGACACTAGAAACAGATGATTCGGTCCGTTGTTTTCTATAAATTACTACGGCCGAGATAGCCGGGACTGATATATTGTATGTTTTGTTTGACGAAGAGTTGAGCTGGGGATACCTATCGTAGATGAACAAGTTAAGGGATGTACATAAATATGTGCCTTGGGTAGGTACCTAAAAGCTCCTAGGTAAGAGGCACGCTACCTAACCTAAAAATAAGCTATTCTCGGAATAAAGCTAGCAGCCCTAGGGACATTAGCACCTAACTAATCCCCATTCCCCATTGGCTCAACGCGTATTTAAGGGTTTTCGTATGATCCACCTTGGGAAACTGTAACTTGTAATGTAGCTGTAGGAGGTAGGTAGCTGCCTGCAACTTTCCCGGTCCCTTGAATTCATCAAGCAATTTACCTATTACAAGACCGAATCATGCCCTAGCTTTAGGTAAGTTGCTTTACATAGTACTGTAAATCCTATCGGGTATTCTCTCCATCTGCCGATGTTAAATCTACCATATTTATATTCAGATTAGCCGAGAGCAATCACGTCTGTAAATATATGTCTAATATTGGAGATATATTTACTGGTGTGAATGAGGTTACCTATTTGTAGGTACTTCTTAATTGGAAGTTCAGCATAGTTTTTCTATTTACTACCTATAGTACATACCTTAGGTACCTAGGTACACATAGTGGCAGGCAATAAAGCTGCTATTTTCTATCGATAAGACGCGATAGCTTCTGACGCTAATTTATTGACTCACCCGGGCTGCCGGGCTAGGTAATTTAATGGTACTTGCGTCATTCACAGTTCGAAGCTACATAGTTGCCTTTCTACCAAAGAGCTTCAATTCATTATCTTAGTTTTTAACTTCGCCTGGGCCTATTTCGCCTTACCTAACCTTATTTTTTTTCTCTTTTTTTTTTTTTTTTACCATACCATGCGCATTGATCTCTAGACCCTTTGTCTTTTAAAGTTGTTACCTGCTAGGCAATACAAGTTCTTATACGCCTTCTCATCTCCCTAGACGCACGAATTCCCTTTCTTTGTTCTTCCATACCGGCATCGATCAACGCTTTCACGTGGCCCATTTCCTCAAAATTACATCTAGTTTCATGGATATCCCGTTTTGCCATACTGCACCATGATGTCAAATTCCAGTAATGAGGATAGCTCGAAGGTAGAGCCGGATAACGCTCGGCAGTCCGAGGGGTCAGTTAACGAGCAGATAACTACGATAGCACAGGATGCTTCCACCATCGATCCTAGCCAAGATAATGATAGTATCGACATCACAGACGAGGATTCCGCTCTGAAGAACCTCACGGCGGGCGTGCGCGATCAAGACGACCTTGAGAGAGACATTACCTACAAGGCGAATCTTGCCCTGATCGATGCCGAAGATAAGCGAGACGAAAAACGTATAGAGAAAGTACAAGCGAGTATCCAGAAGCTCAATGCTCAGAAGAAGACGCAAGAGGAACAGTTTCGCAAAGCAATCGGTAGACCTCAACTAAAGCAGACCATACGAGAGAAAGTTGCCCAGATAGACGCAGACATTGAAATAGCAAATAAAGATATAGCAGATCTCCGTGCTCGCATTGAAGGACGACATCAGGATAGTGAACATGCCGAACATGTCCAAGGCGGGAACAAGAAGTTACCCAACGAGACCCATCGTGAATTCTTGATTCGTACTGGAAAGATCACGCCATTTGCGAATTTTGGAGGACCGCGACCTCAAGGAGTCGAGGGAGAGTTGGCGGACGCTTTGATTGATGCAGAGGATGAGGCGGCAGCAGAACAGTTGGCGGAGCAAGATAGCTATGAGCCACAATCTCACCAAAATCTACGCGCGCCTGGATTTGAGGAAGCGCCTAATCTAACTACAACAGCGGCGGAAAGCGAGTTCTCGCTCCGCCCACGAAAGAAGCGAAGAGTGAAGAGTGATGCGTCATCAGATGAATTTGCACCGCACGCTTCTTCCGATGCGCTCGATCCCGATTCTATTATTGACAAAGAGTCGGAAGACTCTGAGCTTGAACGACCCCGTAAAAAATCTAAGAAGATAGTAAAGGACGATACTAAGGTAGACCTCAGCAAGATCGATGATGGGAATGAAGCTAGTTACCAGGCTCGGCTTGCAGATTGGGTGGATAGGCGTAGCAGAGCCCGACGCAGGAGACGACAAGAACGAAGAAACGAAGGCCATGATGAACCGGACAGCGGAGATGAGGAGGAGTGGTTCAAACCTTCCCCAGACCATAACGACCATCCCTTCGAAAATGACTTAACGTTGCCAGGTGACATCTACCCGGCCCTATTTGACTATCAGAAGACCGGAGTAAAATGGCTAGCTGAGCTTTATCATCAAAAAGTAGGAGGTATTGTTGGTGATGAGATGGGTCTTGGGAAGACTATCCAACTCATCTCGTTTGTCGCCACTCTACATCATAGTAAGCGGCTTGATAAACCGGTCATCGTTGTGGCGCCTGCAACTGTCTTGAGACAATGGGTAAACGAATTTCATCGCTGGTGGCCTCCTCTCCGCGTGTCAATCCTCCATTCCTCTGGTAGTGGCATGCTCAATATGAGAGCCGAGGGTAGAATAGAGGACGAAGAAGAAATGTGGGATGAAAGAGAAAATAAGAGAGTTAACCAAGCAGCCAAGAAGATCGTTAATCGGGTGGTTAAACACGGCCACGTCCTAGTCACTACCTATGCTGGCCTGCAAACATACGGACAAATCCTAACCCCTATCGAATGGAGCTACGCAGTGTTAGATGAAGGTCATAAGATCAGGAATCCGAACAGCGCGGTCACAGTATATTGCAAAGAGTTGCGAACGCCGAATAGAGTCATCCTTTCTGGTACACCGATGCAAAATAATCTTATGGAATTGTGGTCATTGTTTGATTTCATATTCCCAATGCGATTAGGAACCCTTGTTGACTTCCGCAACCAATTCGAAATCCCTATACGATTAGGAGGTTATGCCAATGCAACAAACCTCCAGATCATGACAGCTCAGAAGTGCGCCGAAATCCTGAAGGACACCATAAGCCCGTTTCTGCTTCAACGATTGAAGGTCGATGTTGCAGCAGATCTCCCGAAGAAGAAGGAACAGGTCCTTTTTTGTAACCTCACAAGGCCGCAGCGCGACGCCTACGAGTTCTTCCTCCAGTCTAAGGAGATGGGTGCTATTCTTGTCGGATCAAGGAACTCACTCTATGGGATTGATGTTCTCCGAAAGATTTGCAACCACCCTGACCTCGTCGACCCTAGATTGAAGACGAAAGAGGGATATGAATGGGGAGCCGCTAAAAAGTCAGGCAAGATGCAAATTGTGGAAGCCCTTCTCCAGATGTGGAAGCGGTTTGGACATAAGACTCTTCTGTTTAGTCAAGGCATTCAAATGCTCGATATCCTTGAGGCTTTCGTTAAGCGTCTTGGCTACATAAAGTACCTGCGGATGGACGGTGGCACGGCCATTAAAGATAGACAGAGCCTCGTTGACCAATTCAACAATAACCCGGAAATAGACCTGTTTCTACTAACGACAAAGGTCGGTGGTTTAGGAGTGAATTTGACTGGTGCAAATCGAGTTATCATCTTTGATCCTGATTGGAATCCTTCCACCGACGTTCAGGCTCGGGAACGAGCATGGCGTCTCGGTCAGAAGAAAGAAGTTACCATCTATCGACTCATGACCGCGGGTACGATCGAGGAGAAGATGTACCATCGTCAGATTTTTAAGCAGTTCTTAAGCAACAAGGTATTAAAGGACCCAAAGCAACGTACTACTTTCCAGCTTCAAGACCTGCATGACCTTTTCACGCTAGGTTCATCTGGAGATAAGGTGACAGAAACAGGAAAACTATTTCAAGGCTCAGAGGTCAAATTCAGTAATACTTCAACCAAAGATGGCCCGAGTCAGAAATCGGTTGAGACAGTCGAGTCGACCCAGATACCAGGCAAACCAGCCAGTGAGGAAGAAGATGACCGCGATCTTCATACTATAGAAGGTGTAGCCGGCCTCGAGGACTACGAGCCCGACCCTGATACAAAGCGGCCCCCGACGGAGGAAGACCGGATTATGGAAGGTCTTTTCGCCCGATCCGGCGTACATTCGGCGCTTGAACATGATAAAATCGTCAATGGTAAGAAACAACTGAGAGCAGATCCAAGACTACTTCAACAAGAGGCAGATCGTGTGGCAGCTCAAGCGGCTGCGTCCCTTCGACGGGCAGGTGAGCAAACGCAGTCAGTGCCGATCGGCACCGTTACTTGGACCGGCGAAGTTGGCGAGGCCGGTAGACCATCTAATATCCGCAGGGGTCGTGGCGGCCCCGGTTCGGCTAGCATCTTAGCTGGGTTGGCCGATAGGCAAGGCCTGAGCTCACCCGCAGGCAGTTCTTCTCGCTCAGGATCAGCGACTCCCACACCAGCCAGAGGTACAAACTTGGGGACTAGAGATTTCGCGAAGATGATACCGGAATTCATCAAGGCCCACGGAGGCAAGGTTCCTACGAAGTTACTAGTCGATCATTTCAATCAGTTCTGCATTACCAAGAAGCAGTCGGGCGACTTCAAGACCGCCCTGGACAGGGTCGCTCATATGGAAAAAAGGGGGTCGACTATGAGGGGCATCTGGGGCCTCAAACCGGGATACTGATTGATCGACGTTGACGTAATTGCCGATAATAAGGATGGGTTTGTTTTACATGAAGGGTTTAAAGGGCAGGTCCTCATGAGTTTGGTTTAGCAAGGCGCTGCGGCACGGTCTATATTCTCTAGCATAGTACGTACGGGTGTTTTCGATGGCCATCTGTATTGCACGCATATACTTTTACAGCTCACCAATAACTGCTTTGAATAAGCGTGAAAAATTTAGTTTAATCGAAATCCTCAAGTCACTTCGCGAAGCATTTAAAAATGTGACAAGATGGATACCCAGGATTCTTGTTGGATCAACGTTTTCTCATTTCTATAGCCGTGCCAAAAGGCATCATGTGACAATAAGCAAAGCTACCCTAAGTATCATGGAGACCAGGCATGTCTTGTTCCTTTCTAGACGCACGCCGTTCTCCTCGTAATTGTCAACGCCACAGAGATGAAGAAGCCCTCGTGCCAACCCTTGATTCCGCCCATCATTGCTGCCTCCGGATCGCCCACCAAAACCAGCAGCAGTAGCCGGTTGATGATGAAAAAAGAGGTGAAGGATATGACGCGATCACAGACGACGACCACGGCGACCGCCCTTTCTGCGGGTGCTGTCGGAGGGGGTGGGGGTGACGTCCTCGATGCGGCCGATCTTCATGCCGGAGCGGGCAAGGGCGCGGAGGGCGGACTGGGCGCCGGGGCCGGGGGTCTTGGTGCCGTTGCCGCCGGTGGCGCGGATCTTGATGTGCAGGGCGTTGATGCCGAGCTCCTTGCAGCGGGCCGCGACGTCCTGGGCGGCCAACATGGCGGCGTAGGGGGACGACTCGTCGCGGTCGGCCTTGACCTTCATGCCGCCCGTCACTCGGGTGATGGTTTCGCGGCCACTGGAATCACCCAGGATGTTAGCCTAATTTTGAACCATTACACGCGAAGATTTTTTTTTTTTCCAAAAAAGTCAAAAATATATGTATGTAGAGGTCACATTGGGTATGTGTGTGTGTAGCGAGAGAAGGGCGTGGAAATCTTCGTTCCTCCTCATTCGCTTATACCACCATCCCCAAACAAAAACCTCGATTTCTCGGGAAGAAATATTGCTTGCTTGCTTAGACGAACCTGAGATCGGTGACGTGGACGAAGGTGTCGTTGAAAGAGGCGAAGATACGGGCAACGCCAAAGACGAGCTCGCCTGTTTTGAGCGCGGGGTTAGCAAAGAGAAGAAAACACGATCACCGCCTCCTTTTTTTCTTCTTCTTTTTTCTTTTTTTTTTTCTTCGTTTTTTCTTCTTTATTTTCCCTCAAGCGGATGGAATGCGTCAAAACTCACCTTCACGGACCTGAGGTCCAAGGGAGATGTTCTCCTGAGCGGGACGGGGAGCCTTCTTGGGGGGCATTGTGAATGATCTTTTTTGATGTCTTAGGGTAGGACTTCAAGGGAGGGGGTGTTGACGGTTGGATGAAGTAAAAGGTTGACCGCGGGGGATTTTTTTTCTTCCTCGATAGAAATGAAATCGATCTTTCACAATAATTGAAGGTGTGTTTATTTGTGGGGTGGGCGAAGAGAAGCGCAGAAAGTTCGGCGGTGGGAGACGGCAGAATGAATTAAAAAGTGGATTAACCCTAACGCCTTTCCATTTTTCGCTTGGGGCCGTGATACTTAGTTACAACGCACACCAATGCAAGCTGGGCAGGCCGGGCAAAGCTCTGACCAACCCCCGCCTATACCCTTTTTGGTCGCACCACTTAGGCAGAGTCCCGCACTAAAACTTTACCAAATTGTCTTTGTGCCTTTTTTTTTTCTCGAAAAATTTCCCGTTCCTTTTTCTCATTCCCAAATCCCCCGAGTCGACAAACCCACGACCAAACGGCCATCGCCCAATTCGACAACAATGGCTGCTTCTACGTATGATATACCTCCCTAAATTTCTTGCTCTTTTCTTGAAAAGAGCGAATCGAAATCCGGTCCTATGGATTTTTGCAGATTGTCGTGGTCTTCTCGGCTGAGTTTGCCGTTGTTTTCCCTAAACGCCTGGAAATGGTGTGAAGAAGGCATCGCATACCAGCTTGATCTTTCCTAGACTTCTCCCTCAGTTTTTCATGCTTGAAACACGGCTTGGATACTGAGAGATGTCGTTCCGGGGTGTTGGAGATGAAGGGCCTAGTCCTTCTCTCTCAAATTCATCTGCCGCTTTCACTATCAGCAGACGGTCAAGAAATTGCTGTCAATCTAGCTGGTATAGAGCGAGCATATCTCTCGAGCTTTAAGTTTGAGGTGTTGTCGGATGAGAGGGAATGCTTTGATCATGGCCGCAGTCCTTAACAAGGAGATTGTGCAGGCTTAAGCATCTCACCGATTAAAAACTTCCCACCGAGTTAGCTACCGCTGAGAATGTCGCGTGCAGTCGGCAATTCTCCAACCGGCGCTCTATTCATACATTTAATGTGTGATTGTGGACTACGTACTAATCTGATTTCATTACAGTACCGTTCCCACCAAGGACCAGGTCCTCGTTCCCGAGACCCTTCTCAAGAAGCGCAAGAGCCAGGAGAAGGCTCGCGCTGAGAAGTCCACCGAGCTTGAGCAGCGCAAGAAAGTCAGTTATTAATTCCTATTGATTATTAAAAAAAATTAGCGACGTGATGCATAAAACCACTTGCAACTAGACAAGGTCGATGCTGTTGCAAAATAACCATCTTTCGGGTCTGATCGACAAACCAATACACGCTTTGTTATATGCTTCTACCTACATGGATAACGAGCTGACAATGCTCTATAGCTCAACAAGGAGAAGCGCGCTGTCATCTTCAAGCGTGCCGAGAAGTACGTCAAGGAGTACCGCGATGCCGAGCGTGAGAAGATCCGTCTCAACCGCCTCGCCAAGCAGGAGGGCAGCTTCTACGTCCCTCCTGAGGGCAAGCTGATCTTCATTGTCCGAATCAAGGGGTATGTTTATTCTAGAATAGCTGAACTTAGATATTCGCTGACAAACGAGCAGTATCAACAAGATCGCCCCTAAGCCCCGCAAGATCCTCCAGCTCCTCCGTCTCCTTCAGATCAACAACGGTGTCTTCGTCCGTGTCACCAAGGCTACCGCTGAGATGATCAAGATCGTCGAGCCGTGGGTTGCCTACGGTTACCCCAACCTCAAGAGCGTCAAGGAGCTCATCTACAAGCGCGGATACGGAAAGATCAACAAGCAGCGCATCCCTATCACCGACAACTCCATCATCGAGGAGAACCTTGGCCAGTACGGCATTGTCTGCATTGAGGATCTCGTCCACGAGATCTACACTGTCGGCCCCAACTTCAAGCAGGCCTCCAACTTCCTATGGCCCTTCAAGCTCAGCAACCCCAACGGTGGCTTCCGAACGCGCAAGTTCAAGCACTTCATCGAGGGTGGTGACCTTGGTAACCGTGAGGACAAGATCAACAACCTCATCCGACAGATGAACTAAATTTACGGGTCAATGGTTAAATGGGTCTGGTATTTAGGGGTTTGCTTTTGAGCATGGTTCACGGCGTTCATAAAAGCTTCGGATGCTATCAATAAGTGAATTGAGATTTTATGATCATGGCAACCCCATACTTTCATCTGTCCCTCTCTGTCTGATTGTGAATAATTGTGTTATTGTGAGGCCTCGCTAGGTCAATGCCATCATGCGTTCTCGGGTCTAATAGTTCTGAATTCATACCAAGTCATCGATATCGAATTGTTGTAGAGTTAATGGCATGGGCTCATAGGAAACACGCTAGAAGTATGAATTAATAGTAGTCCAAGTTGTTCATGATATTGGTATGTTCATTTGTACCATCAGTGCCTTGCGTTATAAGCACCTCGTCATTCGCAAAGGAGTTGGGATTCCAGAATATACAATTAATGTTTAGGTGCCTAATTCTACGTTCGCATCCCGTGGTATTAACCTCGCAATGTATATAGGTTAGGTTAGGTACCAAAGTGGTAGAATATCTAAATACAAAGTACTAGCTTCCAATCAACGCAAGATGCCACCTCGAAATAACTTGCGTGAACCTTGAAACTACTACTAATGGTACCTAAGGTAGCAAATAGGATGGATATACACAAAAGATCCTCCTCGCCAACCCCCAAAAAGTACCTAATGTAAAAATATACTACATTAGGTTGCGTATTAGGTTAGATACGTTAGGTACGTACGTATATACCTGTTAACCGACGAACGTACGTACCTAAGGCAAGGGAAACAGGATGAATGAAAGGTAACCTAAACTTAGGTTAGGTACCTAGGTAAGTAATCTATCTATCTATTACATCTTGATGTCGAAGCTGGTGCCGCAGCCGCAGCTGCTGGTGGCGAGCGGGTTGTCCACGATCTTGAACTGGCTGCCGATCAGCTCCATGGTGTAGTCCACCTTGCTGCCCTTGAGCAGCTCCAGGCTCGGGGCGTCGAGGACGATCTTGGGGGAGCTGGGGATGGGCCGCGGGGTGGCGAAGCGCGCTACCAGGTGGTCCTTGAGTTCCGTGACGGTGGAAGGGGCCGGCTTCGGCTCCGCGGGAGGGGAGTCGTCTTGCGCGAAGGCGAATATGGTGTCGTCCTCGCCGATGCCGGGCTCCAACGGCACGGCGCTGGTCGTCGTCGACGGGGCGACTTCCGCGGCGGTTTCCTCTTCGACGGGATCGGGGGTATCGTGCGATGATGATGTCCCGGCTGAGGCGGGGCTTCCGGCGAGGGAAGGCGGGAGAGTGGTTAGGGACATGAGGTATTGGAACCCGTGGCAGCCGCCGGATTCGACGGAGATGCGCAGGGCTAAGTTGGGGTTCTTGTCTTTGGTCATGATTTGGGAGAGTTTCTATTTTTGGAAAGGGAGAGGAGAAGGGGTTTTTAATTAGCCGATTTGTTTCTCGAGGGGGAGGGGAGGTTGAAGACAGGAAAGAAAGATAAGACTCACGTTGGCTGCGCGGGGCGTGATTTCTAGCATCATGACATTCCCCTCTTCATCTTTCTGCGGGTTATGTACGACCAGGGTCTTGCGCCACGGCGCCGTGGTACTGAAATGCCTTGGAGCGGTGGCGGTCGCATACTTCTCGTGCGTTATGAGGTTTCCGCCATTCCGGGTCCGGGGATTTCGCGCTCGGCTACGGATGTCCCGTGCGGCAAGGTGGAAAGATCGGGTCCGCGGCGGCGGCAGCAGCACTTCGAGGATAGAAGAGTTGCTACTACCGCTTATAGGCGATGATGACGACGACGATGATGCGCATAGTAGGCGCACGAATGATTTTGCGATCGAGGTCGAGGACCCGTGCGTGCAGCGTACAGCAAGCGGAGGCGGCATTTTGGGGGGGAGGGGGGGGGGACTTCGAAATCTGAGAAAGATGCGAGCGTTTCTAAGCAAGACATTTTTTTTTAAGTGGGATGATGTCAAGGGTCGATTTTAATAAAGCTCGGACGAAAAAAATGGAGTAATGGGAACAGCCAATTATGTAATCCCGATTGTAAATGCAGGAACGGTAATTATCTCCTTAGGACCCAAACATGGGTCCAGGATTAGTATACAGTAGCATATTGCTAAGTAGCTAGCCTTAATGTATTAAAATTTAACGTTTAAACACATTTCCACTAAATTAATATAAGACCTTATTTAGTTAATATATTAAATTACATGCTTATAAATAATTAAATAAATAACGCTGTTAAAGTTATTTTATATTAACTTTTTAATAAATATAATTTAAATATTAATATTTTCATTAAAGTTAATTATTATATTAAATATTATAAAACTGTTAGTAAGTACGTACGTATGGTAAAAATAATAAACAAGTAAAACAATAACAATGGGAGTGAGATTGGTGTATTAATGATGTTTAAAGAAGGAAGAATCTATCTGAGGCTAGTTAGCAGTGTAATGTCCTTTTATACAGTAATAGTGGGTACACTGCTCCTTCCTCCAGTATCGGCAATAAGGCACCTTATCCCCGATAAGGTGCTTACGTGTCGATGTCACACAACCACCAAAAACTAGTACATTAAAGCTAGCTATTATATTAAATATTATAAAACTAGTACATTATTTAATCGTAAAGTTAATACATTATTTAATCGTTTATCTTATGCCACGCATTTTATTATTCCCTAATATTATAAAGCATTACATTACCTATATTATAAATCACTTAAACGTAATACTACAATATCGTCAAAACCTACTCACTTACGATTAAAACCCGAATACTTAAAAATGTCTAGAATTAAGTACAAACGTGTTTAAACACGCTATGTTTAAAAAAGATACATACAAGGGGACAATAGCTTAGTAGCGAGATTGCTTTCCTGGTCAAAAAGTTACGCTAGTAGCCGGACCCATGTTTGGGTCCTAAAGGGATAGTCTAATAGTAAGTCGATAGAGTTATTAGTGGAAGTGATTACGGAAGGTTCACTTTGAGTACATGAGAATACGGTTAAGAGACTATAAGTAACTTATGCATTGAGAAGGGATATTATACACTCATTACCTACAAATTTAGGTGACTATCTACCTAGGTACCTCTACTAAACCTTTCTCTTTACTCCTTCAATCACTCCTTCAATCTCTAAGACTACCCATGTTCTGACTTCATCATGGTTGAGGTGTCGAAGTTGAAAGACTCATAATAATTGTACTGTTTATTGATGACAAACGTGAAGACGATACGGATGAACAAGACGTTCTCCAACTTATCCCCGATGGGGATTGGAGATGAGTTAGCAAATTTCAACCCTCATGTGAAATAATAGGTATTGGCACCGATGCCGATGTGTACCCAAGAGAAGAGGGACCCTCCGGATTGAGGTGAAGGATACACATACATCATCAAGCAATATATTGACGCTCATTTTAGTGTCCCAAAATAAGAAAGACCCCTATTCCTCGCGGCGGGACGGGACCCTTAATCAATTATCTCTTAATCAGGTATCCCACCGTGGGATATTGTCAATCTCTACTCCGACGCTGATAGCCCTGAATATAACTCATCCCACGCCCAGCAGTAGAAGATGGATTAGAGTTTCTCGGCGTTTGCTGTCGGTGATTACGTGCTAGTGAGGAACAAGCTCATCAGAAACATCGTTATCAACCGCGCCCAGCTAAGACACCAGGAATGTATATGGTGTTATTGACCCTCTAGCGTCGATCGCTCCCGCCGGAAACAGGTCGTTCCGCGGGAGAAAGCTCGTTGCCTACCTAGGTATGCAGGGACAGATACTTCGACGGGGCGCGGCCTGCGTACCGCGGGCGTGATATGAATTGGGGACTTCTAGCCGCTCGAGTTCGAGTTCGCATATCTCCCTTTTTACCCGCGATCCACTACGACGACGTCCTTTATTTTGCCGGCTATATGGCCTTCCAGGTTCCCAGCAGCATTCTACCTAGATAATCGTCCCCCCCCACGAATAGGACCCGCCTCTTCGAATATATTGCCTGCCGAGCGAAGAAACAACCCTGGATGTTGAATCTCTTTGATTGAATTTCCTACCAGAGGCAGGGTTTAGGGCGGAGCTATTTGGAATTAGGGGTTGAGACGGAGGGACTACAAAAGAGTTCCTACGCCCCGCCGGTTTCGATATCGTGGTAGAGATGCAAGCTCCTCGATAGCATAACATCTCTCTTGCGATTAGCATTTTTACTCTTCACCTTCCTCTAGCCACTAGTCGCACCGGCAAAATGTACTCGCAACTCCTCTCTCTCGCCGCCCTTGCCGCCACCGTCTCGGGTCACGGCCTCATCACGAAGCCCACCCCCCGCGGCCCAGGCGATGCATCCGCCGCGGCGTGCGGGTCCTCCGTCGTCGCCAACATCAAGGGCGACCTGACCTCGCACGTCGAAGGGCTCCCTGAGCTCGCGGCTAAGGATACGGGCTACCACGGCGAGCTCTGCAACCTCTGGTTGTGCCGCGGCCTGCAGTACGCCGACAACGCGGCAAACGTTCAGGCCTATAAGCCCGGCCAGAAGGTCTCCATCGAGGTCCAGCTCACCATCCCGCACGTCGGCTCCGCCAACGTCTCCATCGTTGATACCAAGACCGACACAATCATCGGCAAACCCTTGCTCAGCTGGCCCTCGGGCTACGCCGACGAGCGCCAGTTCTACGCCCACCAGACCCCCGCCAACCAGACCAAGTTTGACGTTACTATCCCCGAGGACCTTGGCTCCAAGTGCGCTACCGCCGGCTCTTGCGTAAGTTTACCTTCCTTTAACAAATTCACCCCGTAGGAAGGACTACGGCGTGGTATAGACAGAATAATCCCTACAGGATAACGGCTAACACGGTGTGTGTGTGTGTGTATGATAATAGGTTATCCAATGGTGGTGGTACGGCAAGGGAGCGAGACAGACCTACGAGAGCTGTATCGACTTTACCGCTTAAGTGCCACCCTGTGTCTACGGCAAAATTAAGCAAAAAAGGGACAAATTGCCCTGAGGAGAGCTAGTTAATATATGGATATATAGATACAGTACCTTAGGTAGATGTGTCCTCGAGTGCCAACCAGGTAGACATGGTGAAGTGGCTTATCAAGATATATTCAATCCGAATTCATTGAACTCTGGATATGCCTAATCAAATTACTACCTACCTGAGATTTCACGTTTACTCCACCACCGTGTCTAGTTGGTACTTGAGGAAAATATAGGTACCTGATAGGTAATCACTTGGAGAAAATAAATATTGAACATCAACGTCCGCTAGAGGTTTATTTCTTATTTACAAGTGCCTTGTGGGTATCAGGTACCTTTCATAGTAGTAGTAATAGTAGTAGTAGTAGTAGTAGTAGTAGTAGTAGTAATACACAACTACAAGCTCGTGCAATCTTCACCTTGGCGACAAAGACGACAGAGGGCCATGTTTCCAATGTTTTATTCTGTTTTATGAGCTACTCGAGGAAATATTTTAGTACTTCAAACAGCAGTACGAAAGCAAAGTTATATAAAGAAAAAAAGCGCGGATACTCCTGAACACATCACGGATCGTCCCAAGATATAAACCCCAAAGCCTTCCCTAATTTTCCCTCGTTACAATTGTATACGAACGTCATGTGAAAAAACATCCTCGATATCAAAAGTCGAGTAAGCCAGCAGCCCCAGGGCATCCTCAAAAAATACCTACAGATTTTCCCACATTCCATCTTATACAATAACCCCCCAGTCCAAGTCCCCTAATTCCGATAATTCATTCACAAGTTAGTATGGTGGGTTAGGTCCACCGATTGAGGAGGGAGGAGGAGGATAATCCGACTCGGGTCGTCCGCCTGCCACGGAGCCCGATCGTCCGTCGCCAAAATGCTTCTTACGCAGAGCAGCAAGACGCTTCTTCTTAGTCATGGTGTTAATATATGTGCCGATGGTGAAAGCGACCACGTTAAAGAAGGGAACCCAGGCGGCTTCAGGTAGGAAAGCCTGTGCGAAAGCAAGACACAGCGGCGAGCTGATCCAGGATACCTTCATAACTTTCATGAAGCTGACGCGTACCGTCGCTCGAACCTGGTGATAGGTTCGGGCGCCGGCAATGAGAGCCATAGCGACAAGGTAGACCACGTTTTGAATTGGAGCAACCTTTAGTTGATGCACGTCAGTTATGCAGTTAATTTAGAGCGGTCTGGGGAACGTACTATAAGGTTGCTGATAAGAATCTGGAGAATCTTGGCACGGAGACTCGTGCGGCCCTTGAAGGTCTTCTGAAGACACCAGATCAGGAAGTGACCTAGGGGTGCGCTGACCAGGGCGCCGTACGCCGCCATCTTTGGCACACGGCCCGTGAAATAGTGTCCGTGCTTGTTGCGGTCTCTAGCTAGCCATGACGCGAGAAGCTCTTGTAGACCAGCGAGGGTGCCGGCTGTGAGCATCTTAGTCCGTAGCGGATTTTTCTCTAGTTGATTGATGTAGGCCTAAGGAAAAGCCGAGGTCAGCTCGGTTGCGACTGGGCGGGTCTCGCAGTTAATTATTAAGAAAAACGACATACCATCAAATAACCCCTCGTGCCGGCGTTTCGTTTACCTCCAGTGATCGCGGTACCGATCGCTTCAGCGATGGGATGTTTGCCGGTCGTGCCAGGTAAAGGACCATCACGAGGGATGTGCGTGAGGGCGCCGGGCACAGTCTCGGTCGCATGGCGGATCGTGTCTTTCTCGATCTTGAGCGACATGATCGCCTAATTTTTTTAATTTTTTTAATCGATAGCAAATGGTCTAAGTTCGAAAAATTCTAAGTAAGAATTCTTGTCAGTAATGAAAAGTGCGGTCGGGGAAAGAATGATGTTCGAAGGTGGGCGGCGGGTACTCTCGACTGTGCTGGTGTCAATTGATTTGTTTACCTTGAGCTGACGGGGAACCTCGGTACGATTATTTCGGATTTCGGACGTGAATTGCAGGCTTTCGCGTAATCTAGTAAAGCAGAAGAATATTCTCGCAAATAGAAGAAACGATAGCTAGCATTCCTCGATGAAGGCAAAGTCACCGGGAGGGGATTGCGGGTCTTTAGAAGCTCATCCGTATCGGTCGGATTTGGAAGATGGACAGTGGACGAGTAATAGTGGTGGCAGATTTAGATTTGGTGGCAGAATGTGAAAGTGGAAGATTGTGGAGGAGGTTGGTGAGGATGAGGTTGGACAAGGTTGGACACAACAGGTCGGGCAATGTCCAGGTCTGGGTCCAAGTCTTGCCAGTCTGGGGCCGCCAGCACCTGCTGAACTATGCTAAACTTATGCTGAACCTTGCCAGGTACCTTCTGCCTTTCGCACTTTCATTCGCCCACTCTTGTCCATATTTCCCTGTTAATGGCTCTCATTTGCTCGTAAGTCGCGACCAGGAGATGACCACACCCCGGTGGGTCCCTTGCTTTTTTAGCAACCTTGAACCAAGGAGGAACCAGGGGGGGGGGGCCTTACTGCACGACAGCTGCGATCCACAAAACCCACAAAATCCGCAAAACACTCGGGCTCGATCTATCTTGACCTTGAACGTGCCCTGATCCTTATTGGTCCGATTAGACGGGTACCTTCGTTCGCCCACGGTCTAGCTACCTAGGTACCTACCTAACCTAGGTAGGCACTGCTTCAATTAAGGATGCACATGTATCTTCCTTTTTTGGGTGCGCAGCAAGAGTAGGAACCACCAAAAAAGTCACTATGACCCGAATTCCCTTTACGTGCACACTTTGGAGGATATCCTCTAATTACCTAGCAAGACAATAACATATGGAGAGCTATCAAGTGCGATTACAGCGCCTATCACGCCACTAATCCACCTCATATAGGTAAGGGGGGGAGGGGAATAACTTAAAAAAAAAAAAAAAAAAGCATGGTATTACATGACGGGTGATACCGTAAAATAGGGTTTAACCACGCGGCACAACCCTCGAGCCAAAAGGAAACTTCGGATCTGACAACATCGTTGGGAATAGCTTCAAGATGTAACCTGTCACTTGATAGTAGTAAGGATATTATATGTCTTTATATCTGGATACTTGATCTAATTTCTAAAGGCAGGACTTAGGTACCTAGGTACGTAAACCTTACCCACATTATCTGGTAGCTACATCGGATTACGCATATAAGTATTGTTATTGTATTGTATTGTACCTGACTAGCAGCCTAGCAGCTACCGTACCTACCTCTATCTGGGCACCTGGGAGGGTCCGTACGCACCCAGTCGAAACTTAGCAATCGGAATAAACATTCGTAATTATTTCATCACTACCAGGTACCTATTAAAGTAGCACCTAAAGTAGTGTGGTTTTCCTCAAGCAACCTTGTCTCCCCCATCCCCGTCATGTGTGTATCCCCAAATTCACATCGCGGGCCTCAAGTCATTAATATTCATTTTCAGTTTTGACTACAAAGTACCTTCATACTGAACTTTTTTTGAAGATCAATTTCCTTTTTTTCTGCTTTCGTCCATTTACTATTGCTTTTCGGAACACAATAACGTATCTCTCCTGTCAATAGCATTTCGTCAGCACTGATAGATAGTGAGGGGAAAAGAATCTTGGCTGTTTTGACCCGCGCTGTTGTTGTAAGCACATTCAACAATTCGTGTGTTTCTTTCGACATCTTTCTTTCGATATATCTACACGGTCCAGTACTCAGACCATGAAGAGGAAATCGCAGGAGCCGAGCCAAGGGGCTACAGAGGCTCGGAAAGCTCAACGGGCTCAGAAGTCCCAGGTATCACCGCGGCAGACAACTTTTTCAACCCCAACTACGCAATATCTACCTCTTTCCCAACGTCTTCGGAGCCGACTCTCTGATAAATGTAGACATATGACCATGACTCGCATTTTCGATCCCACTTTACACTGTACTCGGTGCGGTAAGACGGGCCAGTAGGGATGGCTCTGGATATGCACCCAAGATCGAGAACTTATCATCGAAGACGCCATATTAAAGAGACGCCAGGTAGATTCGCCCTTTATTTCGATATCTATGGCACGTATTATGGCTGACCAGCTTCTTCCAGGTGTTTTTTGACCGCCTTGGCATGGAATTTGTTAGGAAGTTGAAGATTCCGCCTGAAAGTCCTCGAAGTACAGCACAAAAGGGTGGTGAAGTCGGGGAAATGTCAAGGGAAGAGACTGAAACCTACAATGCTGGCCAGCTTCTTACCATCACTTCACAGAGGGACAACGTATGTTTAATTTGCGGTCATGCCAGGACAATCTGTGCTCTGACACATGAAATAGGTTCGTAAGGTTGCGCAGGCAGCATCATGCCCCGGGAACACTCCGCCGGGATCCCTTCATTTGGACCACACAGCAGTGTCACCATCCTGGGTTTCTACTGCGGCTAAAGGATGCCGTTACGTGTGCTGTCAACAATGCCGCCCGCGATACGAAGAAAAATCTTATCTAAGTCTAGATGGTATTGTGAATGGTGATATACCGGCGACTGCAGCAATTGGCTTCGGCTTCCATCGTTATTCGTGTAGGCCAATTATCCACCCAGACAGGGTGAGGAACATTGGCTTGAGGGCTGTACCTTGGGTATAATTTTTCTTCTCTTACTTTCGACTGTATATTGCTAACCTTGGCGTTAGTCATTGGCATACAGTAACGGGTCATCCTCTGAAGGTTCATGTCAAAGCGCGTGGGACCGTTCACGGGAAAGTGTGTCCACTGCTGAGGGTCAAGAAGATCAGATCAATCATGTCGAGCATGCCGAGCACGTTGAACATGTTGAACATGTTGAATATTTCGGGTATGTCGAGCATGTTAAGTTCGTAGTACAAAGGCTAATATTCTTCTATCAGCCGAAATCATTCTCTTCAATCAATCTCCAGAGAACCTGAGGTTTGCCGTATCTCTAAGACGTAGGGCACCACTCCTTCCGGCTATGGAGGAAGAACAGGCATTTACCCAAGAACTAGACCCCGAAGCAATGGAGGAGGACTCTGACTAACCTTCAGAAATGGACGCAGTAACCGAGGCACAGTGGTCTAGGAAGAAATTATCGTTACAGGACTGTCTGATATGATTACTCAGCGATGTTTGGTGGTTTTATGCCTGATGCATCGGATTTGTCCTATTATAAGTAGGATATGGATGGTCTTGCGGCGCAACATTGGTTTCAATACTTAGACAGCAAGTGTACTTAGATTAGGTAGGTACCTAGGTAGGTACCTGTTAGTTGCTAGCGATAACGATGCGTGTATGTTAATTTTTAGTTCCCACGTTCCCACGATCCCACGATCATGATATCCACCTACTTAAGCCCTGGTAACCTGATAGTACGTGCATAGTACATAGTATATGCGACTAACCAAAAAGTGTGCCGTACGTGATAGGTAATCTCATATCTTTTAGCTTTACATTAGGTACTTGCCTAAGCCAGCAGAATCCAAGGGTGGTTTAGGTCCAATGTTAGTTCCTCTGAGACGCTAATGTTTCACAAGCTCTATCAAATCAAAACGATGGATCGATGGTTGGGGTATACCCCTGTATATCCTAACATATCCTAGCATCCAATTGACTTTTTTAATTGGTCTCTCGTCAGCAATGATTCTCGTAAAGCCTATTTGTATCTTAAAAGGGAATAGCAGATCCGCATCTAGACTCAATACGGTACATCGTAATATCCCGGGAAAAGCTCTTTAACCTTGCAAGGCTACGAGAGTAACCTACCTAGGTACCTAAGGTATCATAAAGTCGCATCCGATTTTTCCGATGGACCATGAACAGCTTCCAAAAGTTCATCAAGGCCGGCTGGTGTAAAAGCTCTTTACGTATGGTGTCGTCCTCGTCTTCTACCGAGTCGCGACGGATACCAGCAGCGTGGCTGCGACAGGTTGTGGAGGACAAGTCCGAGGCGCCGAGATTATACGCTTGGCGCCTCGCAAACTTACCTGATGGCGAGCAGAGTTACGCCCGTAATTCGCCCGAAGCAAGCCAGAGCGAGACAGTAATAATAAATAACACCTCGGATGACGAGCGTCGCCGGATATACATCCTGGGCGTCGGCAACATCGGGCGTCTGTACGCGATCTTCCTCGCGAAGAATAACGACGCGCAGCCGCCACCATCACCACCACCACCGATTACTCTGGTTGTCCACCGGAGGGAGCTCCTAGAGCAGTGGAAAGCGCATCCGGGTATCGAGCTGGTGCGCCGCGGCGACGATGGTAAGAGGGAAGTAGTAGAAAGAAACCCCACGTTCCGCGTCGAGTGGTGGACCGACGCCCAGCCGACGCACGGTCCCGTCAGGGAACCGGGCTCGGGAAGTGGCGTCAGGAACCTAATCGTGGCGACCAAGGCCCCAGACGCGATCCCGCAGGTCGATCGCGTGAGGCGCTACCTCGGCGGCGCGTCGACCGTCGCGTTCGCGCAGAACGGCATGTGTAAGCTCTGGCCGCCGCTGGGGGAAGCGTACGTCGCGGCGCGGTTTGGGGGAATTACTACTACGACTACTAGTAGTAATGGAGAAGAAGAAGAAGAAATGCGCCGCGGCCCGCAATGGCTCGCGTGCGTGACGACCCATGGCGTCACGTCGCTCGGACCTTTCCGCAGCGTCCATGCGTCACCTGCGGACGTGCTCGTGGGACCCGTAATGGTGCCGGGGGTCCGTCATAGTGGTCGTGGTAGTGGGGACGGCCGGGATGACAAGGGCAGTAGTGGTATTAGTAGTAGCAGTAGTACTAGCGAGGAAGATAAAGATAGAAATGCTAGTAGTAGTCGTAACTACCTGGTCGAACAGATCGTCAGAGCGCCCAGGTTGAACGGCCGAAAGGTCGCGACGCGCGAGTTGTGGGTGGCGCAGCTGGAGAAGCTGGTGGTTAATTCAGTGATCAATCCTCTGACTGCGGTGCTGCGGTGCAAGAACGGGGAACTCTTCGAAGAGCGAGGGGATGGTTTGAAGGATGTTGTCGAAATGTTGGTGGACGAGGCGAGTCGCACGCTAAGAGCGCTCGTAGCGCATCCGAGTAGCGAAGGGATACTTTCACAGGACGAGGATGAGACGGGTAGTGTGATAGAAGGAACGGGGGCTGCGAAAGGAAGCCTCGCGAAGACACGAGGAGAGCTCCTGGAAAGGTTCTCCCCCGCGCGGCTGCGGACGATGCTCCACAGCGTCGGCGAAAAGGTAGCGGCGAACACGAGCTCGATGCTCCAGGACGTGCGGGCCGGGAAGAAGACCGAGATCGAGGACTTCAACGGCTGGCTCGTGGAGACGGCGCGGTATCTCGGCGACGGGAGCGGACTGCCGGTGAACGAGAAGTTGATCTCGCTTGTTGTAGATGGCGCAGTGCGGACGAGAGATGAGTTGGTTAGGGAGCTTCGAGGTTAGTTAAAGCTACCTAGGTGTGTGCCGAGGTATTATACCTGATACCTATGAAGTTATCTTATTGTTAGTTAAGGTTATAGGTATTCGATGTATTCTTTCTAAAAGGGGGTGTACCACAGGTAATGAACCAGGCACCTAAGGTGTACTTAGGGTGAAGAGGTCTTAGGGCGGAGAAGTACTTTCAGTGCGCTTCATCAACTGCGGAAATCAATCATATTTCAAATCCTGGTTCCGACTTAGTTTCTAGGATTAACTTTTACCTGTTTGCCGTATACATTAGGTAGTATGTTACGTGTTTCAAGAACAGATCGGTTTCCAAGAGCCAGGTAGTCCAATAGTAATAGTGACAAATGACAAGATAGTTTCATTTCCCTTTGTCTATTACATAACTCATATATTACGTCTCAGCCGCATTTTCTCTAAGAAGGTAGCTAGTGATAACAGCAGTCAATGTCACTGTCAGGTATACTCGGTGATAGATGACATATACAGAGTGAGTGTCAGGGCATAGTATGCAGTCTATTGTAGAGGTCTAGTAACGTCTAGCCTTCTAACCTCCCTCGAGGGAGCTAGCTACCCTTTCTATAGACAGCAGAGCCTCATACTAGCCAGGGCCCAGCATATACTCTTGCTACACCCGCATATCCCCATATCCCTGACCATGACTTCCCAGTTTATTTTTATGGCAGTTGGCGATCCACGAACCTAAACTTGGACACTAAAACGAGCCTCTTGTCGCGGTACGGTCCTTATAGGCGAAGATAGCATCGTCAACCCCTCGAGTTGACATCGATCTACCTTTTAATAGTGTAGCGGCTTGACAGCTATCTTCTGAACTATTACACCTTTCTAGCATTACGATTGGTCTTGTCAACACTACCTAATGCAAGTAAGTCTTTGGAAACAGTACGCCCGGCAAAGCGTCATGCAGGTTTAGGAGTTCTTAGGGGAGCAACGGGAGCGTTTCTGCGGTTCTTAGTTCCACCTTGTGAAAATACCTAGCTTTATTGCCAACAAAGCTTCAAACGTAAAAGGGTATACAAGTACCTAGAGGTAAGTAAAATTAAAGCTTCGAATGACATATAGTAGCCTTTTCACACCATATTATACTTCCACCTATCTAACTATTCGCTTTAAACACTTACTCTATTATAGTTTGTATCCGCTCCTCAGCATAGCATTATTACTTCTTTGCTCGTTAGCCCTTGATGAAAGTGGTGCTGGCTTAATATATTGTTCATTTGCGTACATAGATCTATTCTAAGATTGTCTAGTTTTACGGAGGTAAGCGAAGGGCAGTGAGTATAATATGGACTGCAAGCACCCTTCGCCTCAAATATATTGCCTAGAATACTTACCACTACTATTCAATGCTTGCACATAGTATCTTCTACACAAGGATAGGGCTTCGAAATAGTGAAATATTTTCACGCGGTAAAGCAAGGAGTATAGATAAGTAGCCTTAGGAACCAGAGACGGGATGTAATTACCCTTTACCTTAAACATCCCATCTGGGATCCTGACGGATATCGTATCTATTACCCACGCGCTCGAGTGTGGCCTTTCTCGGTGCTATGGGAACTCTTAGGGCTACGTACTGGAAATACCATTGTTCTAGGTAGATATCTGTCAAAGACACACCGCTGAGTCAAAAGTGTATTTCTTAATAGCACAATTGCTATTACAGTCTATCTGACCTGAGTAGTATTACCATTCATAATATCTCATTAAAACCCCAATATTCGGTATTGCTTATTGCTCCTAAAAAACCTAGATAACTTAGGTTAGTACTCTATGTGCTTAACTACTGGATGGTTCTAAGGCTTCTCGAAAATGCCTATACCTACCATGTAGGTTTGGCTCGACAGCTCGTCTCCTAATGAAGTAATCCGGGAAAATTATACTCTTCAGGATCTTAGGTTAAAACCTTTACGAGGGTCTGATACATGTTAGTATATTGTGAAGTGAATCCACACTCAGCTAGTTTATTCATAAAATAGTACTTCCCTACATATTCGTAACGGCTTTTGTCAGTTTGGGGTTTACACCCTTAATGGATGTCGTGTACGGAGTGAGTTTCGGAGCAGTATATTGATAATCTAACATCGTCTGGCCCTCTATTTTCTTATGGAGGAGTTGGTTACCCTTTATGTAGCCAGTGAACTCCTATTTTAACTAGTATATCCTCTGACAGTTCCTCATATGCTTAAACGAGGCTCCCATGGTAAAACAATAAATACCTACGTACATAAAGCTAATACAAGTGTCTAAAGTTTAAATCCACCATTTGAATTCTAATAATTCCTAGTTACAAGCACAAGAGATAGTAAAGTACATGAGGCTTAAACTAGGCTATAACCGTCCTCATCAAGGATTGAGAAGCTAATTGTGAGACCTTGACACTTTCTGTTCGTCAAACGAATAGCATATATGGATCATTCAGATGACTTATTATTTGGTATTGTGACGTTTGTCCTTAACGTTATATGTGGGTTATCAATAAGCGGTACCTACCCGTAGAGAGTTTATTTAATCTGCTTAGAATATGATTATCATTTAAGCAATTTAGTCTATCACTAGTGATGAGTGTTGAATTTCTCATAGCCTTGAATAAGATTCGAATGTCTATAGCTAAACCCAACAATCACTGTATTAAGTCACTACAACTTATCACTATAGGTAAGGTAGCTACTAAGATATAGGGAGGTATGAATAGGTACCTAAGCACATATACCTAATCGACAATACTTGGATGTAACTTATTTATATTAGACTCACGTTACGTTAGGAGGTAGTCACGTAGGGAGGTAAGGTACCTATAAGGAAAGAACCTAAAAGTCCATAAGGTTTAACCATTAGGTAAACGTTAATTACGCTAAAAAGAACTACCTACTTATCTACCTTCCGTCTGCTAAAGTAACACTTTCTTTTCACATCTTCATATCACCTTCGCATCGATCTCGTTTACAAGGTCTATACCACTACAACTCCATATCATTCTTGAACAAGTTAGTCCAAACTTCGCAATAACAAAAAAAATTAACACCCCTATCATTGTTACTCTGTACCTACCTACCTGCTACCTAACCTAACCTAATGTAATCGTCGCATGACGCTAGGTTAGGTACGTCCTCACATACGGCCAAAAGCCCCCAATAGGAGAGAGACCCACAGGATTTGTCGAATTCGGCAGGTTATCCCCGATGCTGTTATGTGATGGAAGTACTCTATTTACTCCGGTGTGGAACTGATGTCCCGGTAGAAGTTGTGGTCCGGCAAGGAGTCCAAACCTGATTCCCATTTGTTTTCTGCTCACGCACCCAGACTTCTACCTCATCAATCAAACCTGTTTGGTAATGTCTGACAATGGGGGTCGACCCGAACCCGGCGTTCACCGCATGGTGTCGCATAAACCCGGAAATGCGTATCTGTCAAGTAGCAGCTGCAGAAGACACCCATTCTCCTACGACTGACAACCTCCAAAGCCGCCAAGAATCTCCTCATTCCTTACAAGCTGTTAAAGAAACAAGGTTTCGTGAATATTTCGTGGAGCTGGGCGAGCTGATCCGCCTGCGGGCCGTTGAACCTGGATAGAGTGTCCTTTGGTGAGGCGCGGAGGTTTCATTAATACGAGATCGATATAGGTTATCGACGACAGGGTCGAGGACTTAACATGCGTATTATATCCCCCATCCCCTGGCACCGTTCTTCCCACCTGCCTAGGACTCTTCGCTACGAATAAGTACAAGTACGAATAGGTACTGAGAAGTCCCTAGGCTAGGCAGGTAGACAGGTAGACAGGTAGACCCTAGGCCTCGTCTTACCTCGCGCACCATCACCCTTTTCGTTCGTTAGGCCTCAAGAGTTAGACAGGGCCTGTCGCTCTTTCAGCCCGACGAGCACTAGCGAACAAGTTTGTCCAAGGGGCTAGCCCTGCCATGGTATCGTACCATTCTTCTCCAACGCCCGAATTCCTCGCTGAGCGAACGCTGTAAAATGCTGCGCCAGCTCTTAGGTTGCCCGCTGACCACCATTGGACGCACACGCGCACAAGCTACATAGTTAGCGATCGCGTTCCGAGGGAAGTCGGCGTGTACACCCGAATTGGGGTTCAAATGCTAAAGAGACTTATGTCTTTACACTGACGCTACTTTAGCTACCTCTTACATAGCAAGTGCTTAGGCCCGGTAAGAGCCTGTGCGCTTCGATCCGCTAAAGCAAGGATCTATGTTAACGCGGTATATTTCCTATTGCCCAGAAGCTTTTTTTAAATTCGGAATTTCTGCTTCTTACGAAATATTCATCTCGATGAGCTAGTTTAACATGCAGTTGAGAACGACAAGGCCCCTATAGGAGTTGAGAAGCGTGCAAATTGAAGTTTCAGATGTCTCCTAATTTCGAAAAACAATGCTCTATGTTACTTGCTATGCTACGTCTGCGTTGTGGGTATTTTGAACTCGGAGATTTCAATCAAGCTAGGTCTACAAGGGCCTCATCGCGATAACCACAGACACTCAGATCTAAGCATTGCAACACGATATTGGTGTCTTGCATATGGCGATGTCAAATGGAAATCTCCGATTGGTTATTTAGATTGGAGCGGATACACCAAACATTGTCATTCAACGTCCTATCTGGCCTCACGAGCACAATTGAATAATTTCTAGACGGACTATTCAATCGAAGATGAAGTTTATCGTGAAGCATCTCCATGACAGGTACCTAAGCTACCTAGACACTCGCTCAGAGCCGCGAGCAGATCACCATCCAATCAAACAATAAAGACGTCTTTATGAGGAGATCCTATTTTCAGCCTCAACTCTTCCCAGACACTTACAGCAACTTCAAGCAAGTAACGGGGAAGTATTTAGACGCGTTATGCGAACACACATAACAATTATCTCATTCCCGTGGCTCGACCCCTTTTCAAGTTGGGGCCATAGCCGCCTATCAAACAACGCTGGCAATTATACGTGCATGGCGCGGCGCATAAAGTGAGCTTAAAGCGGTTGAAAGGCTCGGCCCTTGGATTCGTTGTCGATCATGAAGAATCAGCTCAGCCTTTTCGGTCTTGGAAGTCCGTGATGGGACTAGGTATGACACTGATAGCTAGTACACAGGGGCTAGGCTAACCGTTTAACTACCACGCCGGCTACGCTAGGTAGAAGACCTCCGTGCGCCGCGATTTGACATGACAGATCCGGATCGATCGGAATCTGCTGTGAGCTACCAAATCGGATTCTGTCATATTGGTCCCAAGAGATCCAAGCTTCAACTCTAATCTAACTCGTGAACAGAAACGGTACCGGAAGCGATAAGCCCCATAAGGTCCCCTTAACATTATCTAGTGTATCCCCCCCAGCATGTCCTCCAAAGGTAGGTGTGATAGTTAATTGGCACTGCGGGAATGCGTCGCATGCTGCAGTTTGCATTGCCGAAAGCTGACTGGCTGGTAATCGCTGGCCGGATGGAATAGCAGGCTAGACCGAGCCATCATCCATGTTCACACTGCAGCATGGCTTTCGTGCAGCCAAATTCCCCTAAACGTGCAAATGATGGGCTTCTTACTTCTTATAAGCTGCAGCAACAGGGGCGCTTGCTGAGGACCCCTCACTGTAAGGCCGGCGGCAGTTGAAACAAGATCCCACACCGCTGGAATACATTGCTAAGTACCTAGGTAGCGTATAGTTATCTCTTGTGCGAAGCCTGTGCAGAACCACGTCAGCAGTTGGCAGCAGGGGCGGCACGGTACGCGACGGGGTAAATCAGCCATCCATCGTGGTCACCATGCTTTCAGTTGCTGCAAAGCCTGCAAAGGTCTTGGAGATCCTGCAACGACAATGGCAGCAGCAGCAGGGATCTACTAACCCTGCTGCGTCTACACGTCTTGGAGATAAACACTGACCGAACTGTCGTTGACATATTACACGAATAACGGGCTTCACAGAACTTGCTAAAAGTCATACCATCTCGTCTCTTACTTTATTGTGCATGATACGATCCGACCCGACTCAAATTATAAATCATCAAAGTATGGCATAACGTCTCTTTTCCCGGAATGGATTTCTGGGCATGGCTATTTATCCCAAATGACACTGGTAGATTAATGCTACGGGAATCTTACGGGAATCTTGATGGCGCACCCACATAGATAACTTCTAGGATACCACGTGCGTATCAGAATAAGCGATGAAGCAGAGTACAGCATATGCCACTAGACATGACAGGCGGACGGACGAATAATACGTTGATGTGTCCGCCAACAAAGGAATCTGGGCGGCGCCGTATGCAACAGAGACATAATCTCACCGCAAGACGAGACAGCTGTTACTCGAGTCAACAAACACCCGTAAACTTGGCAACACCTGACTAGCCGTCTGCCGGGATTCTAGATCAGGAGCTCCCGACCGAATCTGGCTGACGGCATCGTCTCAAACTAAGCCTTAGGCTTGGCTGGCATTACAACATCCCAATGGCGGGAGGTTATATTGCCGCGTTCGTTGTACTGCTCCTAGATGGTGGAGTAGCACCACCAGATACAGCTTCCTAAGAAAAAAAAAAAGGCCTCTTGAAGGAGGGGAAAGACGGACTCGAAGTCGAGCTGCATCTCATCGGTAGCGTGTTAGAGCCTTCCGCAGTGCATTCTGTGCAAGTACGTGTAAGTTTCGAATCTACATGAGACCACGCAGGCTACGGTCAGCCAACGGCATGAACGAATTCGAACATCTCGACATCTCGAATCCCCACGGTCTCCGCAATCGTTGCGTGCCAGGGGCAGTCGAAAGCCAGGAAGCTGAACCATTGGATGGGTGGGAGAAAATCAGCTATGCTCGCAGGGGAAACTAGGAATAGTGGATTTGGGGTTATATCGCAGCCGTGTTATATGTGACAATGACAGCGCACACACCACACACCACAGCCAAAGGCACATAGACGCACACAGGGCAATTAACACAACTGCTGCTCAAGACCAATCCGCTGCCTCGGTGGCGAACCTCGGAACCAACCCCCCCTAGTACACACCCACCCAGAAGCAACAAGAGCCGGCGTGATTAGCGTGCAGCCCTCTCGAAGGGTACTGTAGATCGAAGTTCCCAGATCAAGACAACGTGGTACCCAGCGGCCTTTTTTCTTGCACGTTTTTACCCTTCCTAGTTATTTGCTGCTTGCTGGCTTGCTGCTACCGTGCCTCTGGCTCAAGGGTACTGTACACGGTACGCCTATCAGTTTGCCGCAACTAGATTATGCGCGTGAAAGCAAGTCGAGACTTTTTTGCACGCACAACTACGCGTTTATATGCAATACATATGTGGTATGTGTGTGTATATGTGTGTGCATATGTGTGTACACACAACGCCGGACCGCAAGGCGGTGAATCCGGTTTCCGGAGAATCAGACCATCTAAGGGGTCGTGCCCTTTGAGTTTCGAAACTCGAGGCTACTGTATGTTAGGTATGTATTTCTGCGCTGTTCTGTTCTGGGCCGGTGACAAAGCAAGGCAAGCCATACGCCGCCTCGTCTCTCTCTTTTTCTCCGCTCCGCTTTGCTCTGGCTTTACTTCGCTTTTTTATGCACAGTATCAACTTGTCGCCGGGGTACCCACGGAGAATCCGCGTGGCCCTGGAGCACAGCACACAGCACGCGCAGCCTGTGCGAACGTGAGCCTATTGCAAGGCGCGTACATACTGCATATAATGTTATGTACGTATGTAAGTGTTAGGTCTATATCAGCTTGCTTGCTTGCTTGCTTGTAATGTAGGGGGAAGGGGGGGAGGGGGGTGTTGAGGGGGGTGGGTTATCATTTTTGCGGAGTTAGGAGAAGGGGAAGAGAAGAACTTGAACCTGAATTGAGAGTGTGAGAGAGTAGAGCCACAACAACGCTTCATGTTTCACGCCCGAAGAAAAAAACTTTCAGGGAGGGGGGGTGCAGAAAAAAAAAAACATGCCCACAAATAAGTGGCTGGTATTATAGACAGCAATTATGACAACAATTCACATCGCGTGGAACTCCCCTCGTTAACCTTTATCGGGACAGGATTCGACGGACGAGCTCCGCAGTAATCCGTAAGCTCGTCGCGATGTAACACGAGTCGGTACAAATTAACTTATTTTATTACTACTACTATGTATGTTGCGCATGAGCTAGCTATGTTATGTCGAGATTAACACCTGAAAAAAAAAAATGTGATAATGATATGTAGGTACAACCTCAACCTAAAACCTTGGAAACATATGCACGAATTGAGATATGCGGGCCGTTTCAACGATGCCGCCACCGCATATTTAAAACGTTTCAAAACACAGAAAAAAAAAAAACGTGACCTCTCGCAACTCGCAACTGGGAATAACTAATTGTTGCAACGAGTTTGCGACTAATTGGCAACAAAAAAAATCATTATTAGGGTAGCTACCTAGGTAGAAAGTAGATTAATGAGGTAGGTGGTTTAGTTAGTTAGTTTAGTCATGAAATATCGTATACAGATTTGCTTTGGCTTTGGTTTGTTTGTCGGTTTATTTTTTCTTCTTCTCTTTCGCCCAGCATGATTTCCCTAGTTCTTTAAAGTGTCCAGAAAAAAAAAAGTCTCTTCCCAGTCCCACGCCTAGATGCCATCGACTTTCCGCGAGTCTAGGCTCTGATTCGTCCCGCGCTCTCCTCCCGTTCATGCTCCTACGCACTCGAATGGGGCCAAAAAGTCTTTTGGCCGAAACGTTTTACCTAGCATGGCTAGGCGTGTTGCTCGAAAAGTACGGTGAGACACGTCTCTCCCTCCTCATGTCCTGCTGTACTTCCGAGTTTTTTTTGTCCATGGGTATCTTCTCTTAACTCCTCAATCTATTGTCTTCTCTCGGATTCTCGTTTCCCAATCTGCCCGAGCCTCTCTCCAAGTTGCGGTCAACGTAAAAATAAGTTGTAGTGTCTTCTTCCCTATACTCTCATGCAACCCCCTCCCCCCCCTGCCCCGGAAGACTACCATCGTAGTCAGATGGTGGTGATGATCGAAAATGACAAAGTAGAGCAGTCGCGTTCTTCGTCTAGAAACGCATGTGTAGGTTAGTTAATATATTGAGTTATTCTGTAAATCAAATAAGTTCCAAGGTAGCTCCCCCCCAACCCCCAACCCCTTTCCCTATGATCTCTAGATTTTAGTCGTCAATATGTCAAAATTACGAATAAAAGGCATGCCCGTCGTGGTTTGGTATCTCTAGTATTAAGTAATTACCCGCCCCAGGGGCCAGGAAAAGGTAAGGCCCTGGCCTATAACTATTGTTGTACAGCATTCGATTGGTGATAACAGTAAAGATGTGTTTGTAAATATGTATGGTACGTCGTGCGTTTTAGGTCGGTAATCCCGTAAGGCTAATTAGTCGTGGAGCAACGATATAATCCCCCTCTTCGTTGCTTTTGCCGGGTCGACAACATTTTATAGCCAATTTCTGATCACTGTCTCCGATACAAAGAAACGAATTATGTAGGATTCGGTAATGGCGCCGAGATGCGTTCGTCGTGCTGTCACCCTAATCGTAGAGTGTTGTTGATGGCTGTGGGTGTTTCAGATAATCCCCTAGCCCTGAAGTTGTTGCGTATAGATGGTGTCCCCAGCCCCAGGAGCAGAAACTCCTGGCGGAGACGCTGATTGCTATAAGTTTTCCTCCCCAACATCCGCCACCTCTCCAGATAATTGCGCAGCCCGCTCTCGGCAAGCCTGAGGAGTAAATCCGGGGCCAACTTTGTTGGAAACGAAGCGCCACTTCTCGTTTTCGTAGTCTTGGAGCGCTGTTCGAAGCTTTTGATCCTGCAAACCCGTAATTAATATCTGTATTCTGCGAAGCCTGTGTAAATCGTGCGCATTAGTCAAGGCGAACTTACTGTCTCGTCTGTCCATTGGGTTGTTTTTGCTTTTAGCTTCGTGCAATATCGGACTTGAAGAGTACCTGAGGAACGCCCAGGGAAAAAGTCGGCAATCTGCTTCCACGTCAAGCTTTTGTTTTCCTTCAGATCAATAAGTAATGCGTCATCTTCCGGCGTAAATTTAAGCTTCGGCCCCCTTGGCCTCGGTGCCGGCGGTGGCATCCCAGCCTGTCCCACTACGCTCGGAGCGCCACCCCCAGCGGCCCCCATGCTTCCATCGCCTTCGCGCCTCATCATCTTTGAAGGCGGGCCTTGATCCGGTAAGCGGTGGTGATGATGGGTTGGTGCTGAACCGGTAGCCTGCGCATACGCTGCGCCCATAGACTGCTGCATGTTATCAAGCTCGCCCGACTCAAGCTCAGACATCCCACCGGATAAATCTAGGTCGTCCGGACGACTGCGTTTCGTCCCAGCACTGTGCGGTTGGGCGGGCGTCATAGCCGGATATAATGGTGGACCATAGTGTGAAGGCTGATGAGCCATGTGACGAGCAGCCGGATGGCCGCCGAGATGCGCCGGATCCATCAGGATCTGATGGTGATGGGCGGGGTGATGCTGCGACATGGTATGGTGAGAGTGCGACTGGGCTGGCTCATGTAAGCTCCCGTGTCCCGTGTGCTGCATTGGGTTTCCTCTGTGGTGATGCGTGTCGTATGCGTGTTGAGTCTGGCTCTGCTCGCCCGGATGCGACTCTTGTGGGGAGTAATCGACATTGTAGTCCGGCCCTACTCGATAGTTGCCCGCCAGTGTGCCGTCGATGCATGGGTTCCGCCAGAGCGAACCGCTCTGGACGGTCGCCGGAGTCTGTATAGAAAGAATTTGATGGACTGGAGCCCCTCGGGGCTGCTGATGTGCGGAAGGTTGTAAGTTGGAAGTGCGAGTCTCGCGCGTGGGATCGATAATGATGCCCGTCCTGTCGGATTGGGGTTGAATGATTAATAGGCTGAGCACTTACTTGCCCAGCAGCCGAGTACATGTGCTGGTGGAGCGATAGTCGTCGGTGAGCTGGTCAGGTGCGGGATGTTGTAGGATTGTGTGGTGTTAAGGTAGGTAAGATCGTCTTGCAAGCGGCGAATTTCCGTAAGTCAGAGAAATAAAAATCAAATTCGGAGCAGCCCGCGTAGACTCTTTAACAACTCACTGGCACTTAAGCTTGGCCTAGTGTATGGGGATCCGTCCTTTTCTTAGATTCCTTAACTGAGTCTATTATATGGTGACAAAACATCAAAGTGGAAAATGGACAGCAGCGGGCAAGGGATGCATTATATCGTCTGATCTTCTCTCTCGTTTCTACTCCGGCAGGGACGAGCTAGGGAACGACCCGCAAGTACTTTGACAACTTGGAACTACGTCTTTTTTTTTCATCCACAGGTTAAAGCACTTGACCTGTGCGAGACAAGTATCGTTCCTGAACGGGTGTGGAGATTCGGTTACCTTGCCCGGCGATGACGGTAGCATAATTTGGTGATCTTATGCCATGGTCAGCTTGCCGGATATAGAAGATACCCCAGCCGGAGGGTTATGATGCAACTGGGGCAACGATAAACCCACAACGGGTGAGGTACTCGGACACTGACAGGGTGACAAAGTACATACCAGCTGTCTTCCTGTGATCCCGGTCGAGTTCTTCCCCAAATGAGATTGCTACAGGACCAAGTGAAGCCAAAGAGAGGAACGTCTGGAAAACGCATAGAAGCCTACAAGACGAGACGACCGAATAGAGAAATGAAATGCTGAAACGGGCCCTACCACGTAGTCGGGCAGTGTCTGTAGAGCATGACAAGCGAATTATCGAGGTGGGCCGCACCTAAGCTCACGACAGAGAAGTACCCCCCTGTTCAACCTTTCTATTTTCACGCAGGGCAGCCAAGGCAGTGGGCAATCCCCGGAGGGTCAGAATGCAGGTTGACTGGATGCACTGTAGGTACGTAGGTGTATGTACGTGAATTGGGTGGCGCGCCCAAGCTCGGCTGCTAGGGCAGTTAGAAAGGAATGGGTCACTCTCTCCCTCGCCCGCTTGGGAGGGGGATATATGGGACTGGGGTGGGCTATAATAAGAATTAAGAGAGCTTTGATCCGTGACCCGCCATAGGGCGAGTGAAATTGGTAAGGTAGCAAGTAGCCACAGAAAGCGCTTGATAGATTGCCGAGCAAAATAACAAGGGAAAATATGACACTAGAGCCACTAACGGCCTATTCCCAGGGTAGTTTGTAATCTGGCAGTGCAGCAGCAGGCGACCTCGAAGTCGCAACACCCATGTAAACACACAACGGACCTGGTTTCTATATCAGCAGATTGGTCGAACTATGTTGGTATAAGTGTAGGTAGGGATATGTAAGAGGTAGTAGGGGGTAAGGGGTTAGTAGACGAAGATAGAGAAACAACAGCGTCTAACAAAGAGTAGGAGACTTACGCTTCGGTTTCTAGATAGGTACGACGATGCTTGGATCACCAAACGGGAGCGATGGGGCTGGATGGAGATACTTGGCGGGATAGCTACCTTAGGTAGGTTAGGAGGTACTACCTAGGTAGGTGTGGTAGGCAGGGTTGTTGTCGGGACACGGTTCTCTCCCAAGTCCTCTCCTCCCGTCTAAGGTACATGTCAAATCAAATGACAATAAAATCGTCATCGTATCGTTAATCTAGAAAATGATACCTTGCCGAATGCTAACAGACGGACCAGAGATTGGGGTGGTAAGCAGTCCCAATTCTCTGGATCCAGGTCCTATCTAGGGCATCGTAATATTGCGCGATTCAATGCGATGGACGTGGGAGGTCCAATAGGTGGTGGAACCTCGAGGCTCTTTAGGCCGGTCCATCGGCCCATTGCATTGACAACGGTGTAAAGAGCTGAGGGTTCTAGAGAGATAGGAACATTTGCAGATGTGTAGCTCTCGCATGAACGAAACACGTTTCAATAATTAAAGATCAATTATGCAATGCAATCTGACCATCATGTCGGCTTCTAGAAGAATGGAAATTGCTTCTAGGGTAGGTGACCAGGGGTGTTTCAGACGTCTGAGCTGTCCCGTCTAGTACTAGTTTGCATTTGGAGTTGCGACGTTGGACGAGAGCGGATGCATAGGTTAGGTAGAGATGAGAATTTGACAATTGGAAGTTGAATCGTGGCTAAGAGAGACGATGAAGAGCAGAGTAAAAAAAAAAAAAAGACGACGTAGAGAAAGAGCTGCAAGATCGGAAATTACGACGGATCTGTGTGTAGAGACAGGTATAGGTACGGGAAAGTAAAGTTTAACTAAAAACCATGTACATTAGGTACACAATACACAGTACAATCAATACAATCAATACATAAAGTTCGGCTTTAATCCGAGGGTAAGGTATAGAACTATGCTAAACTGGGCTATTATTAGAAATCCCCTACTAAACATACCTACCTCCTACCTACATGTACCCATATCTCCAAGCTAGGTATACCTTGCTTTGCGCACGGAAGGAAAGAACGAAAGACCCTAGTACTATCAACCATTTTGAACCTTCTCTTACCTGTTGGTTTCTCTTGGAGAGTCTCGAACACAAGGAAAGAGGAAAGAAGGAAAGGGCGAAAGAGCATACGGAGATGGAGGCGCCTACCCAGTTTCTGATTTCTAAACAAGACAAGACAAAACTTAGTTTTCCCCCTTAACCCCTGAGAATCAACTCATCTTTTTTTCTCTCTTCTCTTACAACTACCGGATGCATTACACACATACGAAATTCACGGGGACGGAATAGAGCATTATCTCCATATTCGGATAAGACGAAGAGAAAAAAAAAGCATTGGTCCATTTAATTATAATATGCATTATCAAAGTCAATTACGGTCTTCCCGGCCTTTCTTCTAGAAGGTTTCTATTCGAGGAGCCCTGTCAATTTGTCTCGCTTTTTTTCCCCCTGCATCCGAGCGCTTGGGTGGACCGCTGCGGGCCATGGCATGTCCTGCTTTGCATGCACGCAAGGGACAATGCAGCCAATTTAAAGCTATACTATTCTATCTGTTGTGTAGCATCGCGTGGTTGGAGATAGCTTCAAGTTGATGGTAGATTTCACGCAGCTCGCTGATGATTTACGAGTACGGCTTTGACTTTATTTTTATGCGTTACCTCCTTACGACCTCATGATCTTACGACCTTACCACTACTATTATGCGCTTAGTTCGGACGGAGCCATTGTTGGTGAGGAGTTAACCTAACATTATCCATCAATGCTCTATCTTCTGACGCTCGCAAGTTGCTACCGTCAACACCTGTGTCTCCTGATCTGCGCAACCGGGTAGCTGGTCATCAGATGAGAATCCTTTGACGGAATGCTCGTAATTCTGGATGACGACCCTCAATCCGTATCGAATTAAGATTCAATTATTTTTACGGAGGTTGTATTTTTCTGTTGATGAGACGCCTGATGGATACATGTTCTCCGTCTCCGTCTCCTTTATGTTTTGGACCGTTTCAAGCTCCACTTCCACCGTTACCAAGACACCACCCACTTCTCTATACCGCTGGTTCATCAGCCTCACAACCCGGACAACTCGAACTCAAGTCATGGTTGAGAGAAGATTGTATCGGAATGGCCGCAATTGCACGGAGCATCGCTGGATATCTCAACATATCATCTCAACATATCCTAGTGTGATATAGCTATTGCTACGTTCAAATAATTCGACTTTACGTATACGGTATCGTATGCGGATATTAACTAGTCCTTAAGTAAAAGAAAACCTGCTTCTTCACTTGGACAGTGGTAAAAGCTTGTCTATAAAAACCGGGAAACTCCGTTTCTTACTTGGGATCGTGAACCGTCATACAGCGTCAGCGTCAGGTTAGCCTCACTCCAAATGGTTGCTTGCCGGAAAACCATGTCGATAATGCACATCCCAACTGGGGAAACGCTCCTTGACAGGTGCATGTGGGGATCACAGACCTTAACTTGTTGCGCATGGACAGCGGGTACGAGAGTACACGAGCACGCACAGCCTACACATGTATGATGTAGCCCTGGCCAGAAAATCTCCGCAACGTCCAGAGACCCTCGCTCGCCCAGAGATCCGGTTAGATATGGTCCGTACTGTTACATGCGAACAGAACGACGCAGACTTTCCCCAGCCGGCCAGTACATACGAGTTTACAAAGTGGACTCTCTGGAATGACTAGCCCAAGCTAGCAATAGATCAAATGTCTAATAAGATCCGTAAAGGGGATTTAACCTGATCTACACAAGAGCTTAGGTATGTGCGCATGAACGCATAAAGAAGAGCAATTTGCTGTATTATACATAGTACCCTTTTCTCTCCATTTAGCATGCGCATCTCGGCGGCGCCATAACTTCGGCGCTATCAGTTGCCCCAAGCTCCTTGCTTAAACCGGCATCTCTGATCTCAACTCTTCATCTCCATTGCGGCGAGACGAGAATGAATCTCTCCAATCACTTGCTAATCTCCAATTATTCATTCCCGCCCCAAAGCCCGTTCCCCCTTGCAAACTTACCTAACTTACATATTAACCCCCCACCAATTTTCCCCTCCCGCCGATTATCATGGAAGCTAACTAACCCGTCCCATACATTAGAGGCACATAATATGCAGCATATGTAGGTACCTACATAGGCGTGCTCATCCCGCGCTAAGACGACGAGCTAGTTGCTAGGCTCGGAGAACTTGCCTTGCCCTGCCCAGCGCGGAGGATTTATCGGCTCTACATAGTACAATTACGAATTACGGTCTGCTGGGTACTACCAAGGTATCAAATCCAATCTGCCCCATTCTTATCTTTCTGGATATAGCTGGGACCGCCAAGTAGAGCCAGCTCGTAAGATTTTTTAAGTATGCATCGCTATGGGATTGGGCCGCGATCGAGACCACTTGGGGGCCTCTCTGCCTTTTTGCTTTTTCTTTCTCTCTTACTATCTTTTACTCTCCCACTTTCCCTTTTTTCACCGGTGAGTTTTCCGCTGCGCTGCCTTTATCAGCTGTGGAACTTGGATATGCCGGATAGCTGAGCTTTCATGCGAAGTGCCTGCATACGGTAGCAGACGACCACATGCGACCAACCGGTCTAGGGACGGCCTCTATGTAACCAACTTTCCTGCGGCCTACTTTCTAACCCGTTTTTTTTTTTTTTTTTTTTTTTTTTTTTTTTTTTTTGCGCCGCATTAACATTCCCCATCCGGGTTCGGCTCGGGCTAGTACTGTCGCTCATCAAGAAAAAATCTATGATATACTTGAACTAGTGTCTAAAGCTCCGCTGCTCCACGCGCAAATCCCAGATCTATGCTCGAGCGGGCAACCTGTCAAAAAGCCCGGCAGGCTAATCAGCCGTGATCTCCACATCCGCCTCATTTGACAATTGACGGGCGGGCACGAGCTTGGTGCGGTACATGCCTACCTGGACCAAAAAGCCTGAGCCTGGGTAACCTGTATTGGTCGCCCTCGAGGATTTCTGTGGAGGGGGGGGGGCCAAGCTTCCTTTGGACAAGATTATATATATCAATCATCATGCGGAATAATGACAATTGAAAAAGTTAGGTTAGGTTAGATAGGTTAGGTAGGCACACCGCGCACTGTCGGTTCCGAGTCCATGGTTGTGGGGGTATTATATCACATTCTCGTATACATCAAGTACTACATCTAGGTACATATAATAATAAGCAAGATGTAGGAGGTAGGTAGCTGATGTTACAATTAAGGTACGTACCGTCCCGGCATAATACCTTTGAATTAAGCAGATAGAAAATAGCATTAAGAAAACAAATACATCAATGCTCTTGGGGTCAGAGCTGAGCCTTTATCCCTGGAACTTCGTAACTCAATCCATTTTTTTTGTCTTTAAACGCCGATAGAAAAGAAAAACACTGGCAAGCATACCGCCATCATCTCGCCGGTTTGGGAACTGCTATTGCAATGCGTCATTTCGTTTCGCCCCCCCTTTCCTATTATCATCATGCCCTATTCACGAATAGCGATTTTCTTCCTACTCCACGGTCCTCCACAGCCTGCACTGGAAATAGCTAAGGCGGCTTAAGCAAAGTTGTCGCTCCTGTCAACACCCGGGTCCTCCATCTCGGTGAAATCATGGAAGTGCTCGGGGCGGTGCTGATCGTTGTAGAATGGCAGCGGCGTGTCGAGCTTGACGTGCACCGGCTTCTTCTCTAAGCCGATGAAGTTACTGCCCATAAAATTGTAGTTCCACTTGCCGTCCTCCGGCACGAGGAAGTATCCTCTATAACGCGGGCTGAGTAGAAGCTTACGCTTGACTCCCATGGAAGTTGTGAATCCCGCCGGCGAGTCGCTACCGAGATCCTTGTTTTCGGCACCCCACCGGTATCCTGCGGGGGTCAACGCCCAAGCAGATAGGGAGACGGAGCCGGGCGTGAAGGATACGTCAATCGTCACGGTCTTCTCCTTATCCCATTTTTGATGTCGGTCGAGGTTCTGTGCGTGCATGGTAACGTCAACCGCAGACATGTACGGAAGTTCGTTGCCGGCCATCGTGTGGATCACGCCGAGAGGCTCCATATTTGAGAGATACTCGTGCTGTGGCAATTGCTGGGGTGTTTGAGTATAGCGCAGGTTGCCTATCTGAGGAACCATGACAATACAACGGATCTCTTTCACCTGGTCGTTATCTGGCGCGGAAACACCATATAAGTATCCTGCAATCTGTACACGGAGATCGGCAATCGTAATAAATTTCTTCAGGATGTTATTGGGCATGACGTAGGTAATGTCGTCTAGATCGTTGTCGACAGACGAGACGTAAATATTATTGGCTCGCGTTCGTAGGTTAGAAGTGGCAATGGCTCTGGTACGCCATTCAGTCTTAGATGAGAACTTCTCCTGTTCGAATCTGGAAGTGGTCGTGACGATAAGCTCTTCACCGTGGATGTTTTGAGTCTTCGTTGTAACAGCAGTAATTTGTTGCTGTTCCTGCTGCTGCTTCTCGATCTCTGCCGCCTGCTGCCGTTGCATAGACGGTGCAGAGATCTCCATACCCAAGATGATGTCTCGGACTTCGCTACTCGTCAAACTGGAGACATTGACATTGTTCTTCTTTCCGTAATCGTGCAGAATGAGATCTCGTAGCTGCGTTTCAACCTTGATCCAGTCTTCATCTGATAACGTGGGCCAGATGTGGTGCACTTGGGTTATAACGGTCTTATCAGGCCGAAGAATAAGTTTCGTCTTGTCTGGGTTGACGTGGAGTGCACGCAGGATAAGAACTAGACGTGAGAATGCTGTGTATGATGAGATACTCTTGAGCCATTCATCGTAGAGGTTGAATAGCACCATTTGAGGTTCTGTCGCACGGAGAATCATGTCACCCAACTTTTCCACCTTCATGGCCGCTTGGAAGGGTAACTGTAGCTCTGACGCTCGGATGGAAATATTCGGGAAATCTAACAAATGAACTTCGAGAGGATCCAGTAGACCTTTACGTGTGACAATGAGCTCTTTCGGCTGTTCTTCTACCGGCAGCGATCGAATAAGAGCTGCCACTTCTTCTGCTGTCTTCCACTTGGCTAATTGACCGAGACGCTTTTGTCCTGCCCAGACGCTAGTGTGAATGATCTTCAGGAACAATTGTCCAGTTCGGGGGTTGAAAATGAAAATTGCTCCGTTGATTGGCTTGGTAGTCAAGTTACCCTCAAAAGTCTTGTGAATAGTAACTCGGTATACGTTAGTGTCATCAATGAACAATTTTGTCTGGTTGCTGAACAACTCGGAGTAGTTCTGCGAATTGAGGAACTCTTGATTGCTCTCAGACGCATACAGTTGGAGACCCTTCCTGATACGCTCGCGGAGAACATAGAGCGCCGGGTTGGCCTTCATAATTTTAGCCATAGCCTGTTGTACTAGGACCTTCAGACCTGGGAAGTATTGTCCGTAGGCAGAGTAAAGGTTGTAAGCGAGATCGATACCAATCATGAGACCGGTAGCTGAAGGATAGATACTCATACTATCTTGCGTATAATCCAGATATTTCGCACGAGTATAGCGTTCGATGTCGTGAGAATCGTAGTCGCCATATCGAAGCTGGATATCAAGCCAAAACTTATTGGTTGTGGTAGGCTCGATTATGTCCTTAGTGTCGTGTAGCAGAGATGGGCGAGTGACATTCCATTTGTTGCTGGCGAAGAGCAGAATATCGGCACATGAGCTGTTCATCTTGTACGACTTTCGAGGATGGATGGTCTCTTTCTGCACTGTTTCAATTCCAAGGGACTCTAGCTCCTGATCAAATACCTGACAGAAATCCATTACGACGGATTCGTGAATCTTCTGCCACAAGTGGGCACGGAAAATCTGGATGAGAGAGATTTTCAAAGTAGGAATTTTACCGTGTAAGAAGATACCAGTAAGATCGAGTTGCACCTGGAAACCGACATACACGTTTGCTCTGTTGATGGTTGGCGACCACCAAAGCGTAAATCGACGGTTGGGAATCTGGTTCAGACCGGATCTCTGAGCGTTGGTCAACTTCTTAAACTTCATGGATTCTTCGAAACCACTGTTGTGGAGCACAAGATAATCGTGTCGCAAATAGAGTTGATCTTTATCAACACGGAAACCCGCCCACTCGGTAGGTTCTTCTTCAAGAACGATATCTTTGACGGCGAAACTATGAGCTTCGGGTATGAATTGGGTGGCCCTTATTTTGCGTGCGAGGAGGCACGGAATTTCGCTCAGATTTCCAGATATTTCAGCGAATAATTGAGAATATCTTTGCTTGGTAGACACGGCAAAACCTAAAGAGCGTGCAAGGGCGACGGTATCCCAGAATTGAGCAGACTGTCCAATATCATCCTCACTGAAACCAAACACATTATCAGGAGAAATGTACCAGCCGTTTGTATCAAGTAAGCCGGCAAGAACGCCAAGACGAACAGAACGTGAGTTTCTCATAAACAGAGAAGGGACACGTCTTTGGTCAACGCCAAGTTTGTCGAGGGCTAGGAGGAGTGTATTGATGCTTGAAGTATCCTTAGGACTATTGATAATTCGGCTAGCCAACTTTTCTGCTTCCTCTTGGGGCAGGTTTCCATACGCTCGGCGGCCTGTCTGTAAACGAACGACGTGCTGGCGGTTATAGTCCTCGGAGCTGTCTTCCTCCCCAGAGCTAATATCCTCATCCTCGCTAGTTACGTCCAAGAGGTCTAAGTCTGCATCGGCATCTTTATGAAGGTCAAGCTCTGCTGCGAATCTGACTAGGAATTCCTGAAGCAGAGATTCAGGATTTGTCCCCTGTGCGGCTTTGGCACAGTTTTTATCCCCAAGCCAGAGGCCAAGGAAATAGGGGTCAAACGGCACGGCTTCTTCGGGTAATTCGAAACCGGAAGATCTGAAGAGTTTGTATTGGCTCCTGACTCTAGGCTCCAGGGAAGCAAACTCAGCTGCGGTCATCTCTACGGTTTCGTGGCCCTTTGTCGTTGAAGCGGGGGATTTTGGCAATGGCAATGCATGATAACGGCCGTATTTCTTGTGTTCGGAAGATTTGTACACTCGCCTATGCCCTTGAGCATCAGACTCTTCACACTCGCCAGTGAGACCCTTTTTATAAAAGACAAGAATGTGATTTGGTGTAACAACCAGATCCTCCTGGCGGCCTCCAATTTTAATACGGTAGAGGCGATCTTTGCCATTGACTATATTGAAAGCGCGTCGTGGTGTTCCGTCGGGACCTAGAAGTAGATCTCCCTCCTTAACATCCTCGACAGCGATCTGGGTATGATCGTACCGCAACAACTTCGTCCCTTTAGCAAGACAGGCCTTCTCCCAGAACAGGCCCTCCCAAGAGGGGAAACCAGTGGCCTTGAATAGAGTGTGCTCAAGAATCGTTTCGACACCACCAAGGGCCTGGATGACATCCGAACGGTAGGCGTTTAGGTTCCAAAGCTTCCCGTCGTGACGCTGGCTTGTCCACCAGAAAGGATTGCTCTTCATGAGTTGGTAAATCTTGAATTCACTTCTCGTTCGGAAGCCCTTGTCGAAACTAAGCGTACTTCTGTCCTTTTGAAACAAGGTGTTGATACGGGGTAATCCACGGTCCCAGCTGTCTTCCAAATCTTCCAAAGTTAAGCGCCTATTCTGCTGGTTTGCCTCCAATCGCTTTTGGGAGTATTCAGTCCAAACTCTCTGTGAATCGATAAATTCAGCTTCCCAAGGAATGATATATCTGAAAATATTTGGTATGAGAGTCTCCTCGTCATGTGTCATGCCAGCTCTGAAATGACTGACTCCAACATCTGTCTGTTGCGAATATCGCTTGTCACTAGCTGGGATAAGAATATGTGAACCAGATATCATTCCGAGACCACCCAACTCCTTTGGTGTGTAGAAAACAGCAGGGGGAAAACGTGATGGCATCTTTGAATTCAATCCTATCTTTACCCGAGTTTGGATTTTGGTCTCACACTTTACGATAGTATCCAACAGATTAACTGTCGATACAGCAGCCTCACGGTAGTAGGTGAAGAGCGCGATGAGGGCCGTGTTCCACTTATTGGCGATCTTGGTGAAAGTTGTAGACCCAGAAGACATAAGAATCTGACGAATCCTATTATTGAACTTTTGGATATCTTCCTCTGTAACTTGTAAGAAAGCATGCGCCGTCCTCTCTTTGGTTGTGTTATCCACAAGAGACCAGACGCTATCCTTGATAGGGAACTCATCATTCTGATTTCTAATCTTCGGCAGAATGCGAACCTCAAATCCACACATAGAGAAGAGCAAGTTTGGATTATCACGGCTGTAGACACTGGCGAAGGTATCATCCCACTCAATCGTCGTAACAGATCGAGGGAGGCGGTTCTTCAAATCCCAAAAGACGGCTCGGCCAAGGTTGACATCGTGCCTCATCAACCGCATGCGGGAATCTCTCGGCCAGCACTTCTTGCTCTTGTAACCGATAACATTCTCAAAGTTCGGATCTGGTTGCTCGGTGAGAAACCGCTGGATGAGATCTCGCGATTCCTCCGCGGTGAAACGCAAGAAGACCCATATCTTGTCAATATATCTCGTATATAGACGGATAGGGTGCTTGGTCTCTGTCTCTCGGTCGCGGAACTGAAGGAAGTCATTAGGGGCAGACGGGGGCCCAGCAATTTCGCTAGCCCGGTTTAAACCAAGGAGTAAGAGGTCAAGGACGAGTCCATAGTACTGAAATACAAAGCCCGAGAACTGAAGACCACGAATCATGCCGTAACTATTAACGTGATTCATGTCCTTGTAAGTGAGCTGCACGTTGTTCTTCGAGCTGATGTAATCCGCCAGGTTGTGGTCCATGATTAATCGCAGAAGCCTGTTTAGGAGGGTAAGATCTATCTTTTCATAGACCTTAGAAAGCTCTGTCTCGATCATGACGTTGCACTCGCCGTCCGCAGTCTCCCAGACTTTTTCCAGATTATTGATGCCCTGAGCCCACTTGTACACTAATAGGGGCGGGACTTCAGAATCTGATGGCTTGATCCAGGCAGGGAAAAGGTGTCGCTGGTCGGCCTGATACCAGAGATACTGGTCAAGGTAGGCATCGCTAATCTTCTCTATAGGTTCTATATCGTAAACAGGATTTATAGTGCTATAATTGTCGTTCATGTCGATTTGTACTTCCTTGAATGCTCGCTGCGTGAGCAGGAATCGCTTAATTCTTTCCAGAGTGGTGCCTGGGCTATCATAAGCTTGCTCGATCAAAGCCAACTCTTCTCGTTGACTTTGGTTTAGGCGACCTTTCACGGAGTATGCTTCTCGTAGTCGTTCGAGAGCAAGAATTAGTATTTTTGTGTCGTGTTTGTACGACACACTCGGGAAGGGAATTGGCGTAAATTTTCGAGATTCAAGCCAGTGCACCGTAGTTGTATAAATTGCTACAGCTTCTTCGGACGATACGTATGGCCCATCTTTCATGTAATTATGCTGTCGTTCTTGTTCCGCTTTGAGCCAGAGACGCGTCAAACGGCCCACATTCTTCTTAGCAACTGTCTTATCAACAGTCGCACCTCGCCGGATACGCTCACGGTTGTAATGAGCAACGGAAATCCACCAGTCCGCCTTCGACTTGACATACCGTAGGATGATATTTTCAATAGGAGCGGGTAAACCGGGAACCTTCCACGGAATGTTACTCTTCCAGCACCTCCAAGCTTCGGATAAGTGTTGAAGAACAGTGTTGACCTTGTTCTGCTTGATACCCTCCGGCATCATGTCCATTAAGTCGGCCATTACAGAAGCTCGTAGTTCAAGGTCAAAATGCGACTCAACACGTTGCTTGGTCACAGTCTTGGCCACACCTTTACTGTGACGTCCTTCAAATTGACGCGATAGCAAGTTTCCAAGCCACCGCTCAAGAAGGGGGATTATTCCTCGCATGAAGAAAAGCCAGACGCGCCAGGCGGGCGCCCAGAAGCCACATCCAGGGCCCTTACCAACGGGTCCGCTGTTGAACCGGTAGTAAATAAGATGCTTCAGATCTTTACATGATCGGATCTGATGCATTAGCTTGTACTTGTAACGGTACATACCAGTCAACTGGCCAACGTGGTTGAAGGCGTAGAGGATACCATCTGCTAATTGGAAAGCATCAATGTTGCCCAAACGATATTGCACCTGCGCGTCGACTATAAGCTTCGTCAAACGCAATATCTCACGCATCAGGTGGAACGCATTTCCAAAACGTGACTTCTTCCGCTCCTTGGTCGTTAGCGTTTTTACGGGTTTAAGATTAAAATTGTAATCGAGATGAAGATACGTCAGATTCTTCCGATGGATCAGGAGATTCAGCATATTAAATCCTTGCCGACAAACTTGAAGACCAGCTTCAACCCAGTCGATCGTCGTCTGCTGGAAGAACTTGGTCTGCTTCAAGCTCCTCAGGAGGCTTTGGCGATTAAGCGCCTTAGGTTTCTTCTTGTGCAGCTCATTGAGGACGTAAGTCTTAAGGAGCTTCTGATACGATACTCGGACTTTGACGGGTTGCTTCGGAGGGCAGTGCTCAAGGTACCACTGCTTCACAAGCGGAACATCCTGCGCACGAACCATACGGCCGGATCGACGATCGAAGGGGAAGGGAGCCCACCAGAGGGCGATGGCAGATGACGTATCTTCCGTATAAAGATCTTCATCGGCTAAGAAAGGTTCAATGCCGGCCGGTAGTTCGAACGCGTCTTCTTCGGGCTCTTCAAGATTACCGGGACCAAATATCTCGTCTTCGTGGCTTATGGTGATATTCTTCGGGGCAACCGAGCGGGAGGAGATGGGATTAATCATGGGATCAAAATGGAAAGCGGGCAAATTAGGGTCTTCAGACTTAGTGTACACAGTTTGGGGGTGAGAGTACCAGTTAAACTGCACACTTCGGGGAAGGGAGTTATAGAGGTATGGGTAGGCAACCCGGTACTCGGTCCGGATAGGGAAGCGGAAAATAATCCTGTCGATGGCATTGAATTCTCCAAAATCTTCGTCGTTCGGATCGATATCCTTGTATAAGGGCTCGAATCGAGGACCGCCGGGTAGTGCGACATTTAGCGCTTTGGCGGTAAGGAAACTCTTTAGGTCAAAAAGGTAGAAATAGTTCTGGTCAACCATCTCGCTTAGTAGTGGTCGACTGAGTCGGTGAAGTGCTGCCATTTGCGGCAGGGTGAGATACCACCGCTTATAACTCGGCCCATTGACGTGCTCAGTATCGACTAAGGGCCGATGGTCATAGAACCATTCATATACGGCAGCGTCTTCTTCCTCATCAAGCTCCATCTGAATGGGTTCTAACGGTTCCACATCCTCGATATTTTCAGACCACGACAACGGAGGTTCTTCGTCATCAAACGGCGGGAACCTCATCCTCTTGAATAATCTTCGGTCGCTCTTTTCCTTCCTCATAGTCAACCACATAGTGGCCCATTGTGCGTGGAACACAGGCGGGATAACTCGAGGGATTTCGTTCACGAGCGTGAGACACCCATTGACGTGGTATAACACCTTAACTTCCCTTGCCGATTCCCACGGCATAGGCATGTTCTCTAGCAACTTCATAACCGCGTGTGGCATGAATTTCAGAGCACCAAGATAACTTCGCTTATCGCTAGTATACTTCTTTTGGGACACATCTCCGATATCCTTTACGATCTTACGAAGATGCTCGGGGGGCATATCAGCCTTCTGAGTTTCCACAAAGCCTCCCTTACGCTTTTCACCGAAGCGATTTCGCTGGTTTCGAAGCCATTCTTTTTTCTTCTGCGCGAACTTCGCGGTCTGCAGGTCGGTTGGAGGCCGGTATCCAGGGGGAGGAGGAGCTGGAGCTCCGGGCGGTGGAGGAAGAAAATCTGACGGGGGACCCGGAGGAGGAGGAGGAGGAGTAGGAGGAGGCGGCGGAGGTCCCCATCCGGGAGGAGGTGGAGGGGGTTGGAAAGACGACATCTCGAAGTTGATAGATATCGGATATTACGCGACTTGTTCGATGCTGTCGCTATCGCGGCGCGATCTTGTCGCGCAAGGATGCTACGGACGCCAAATACAGCCGGATTCAAACTTTAGCTCCTAGAAATCCCGAAATAGAAAATTATAATTAAGATGGTAGTCGGGCGCGTCGTCTCCTTAATTGACCAACGCGAAAAAATTGTTGTAAAGGTTGAAGTTGATGAGATGATAGTATTGCCTAGGGGCAATTTTTCCTATGACCCAGTTCGGCCAAAGACTTTGGGTGGAGACCAAGATTCCATTGGCAAATGCTGGGGGTGAGAAGTTTGAATGATTACATAAGGGACACTAGCTTTTTGCCAGCAGGTGGTCACGTGGTAAAACTTCAAGTGGCTTGAAAGGTACATCATTGATTGATGTGAAAAGATGTGGCTATGTGGCTAAAACAAAAAAAAACCCACTCAAGAATTCTCATTGGTTCAAGTCAATAAGCGGGCTAAAGATCCATCCCACACATCTCTTCCGTAAAAAACACCAAAATTCCACATCCCTCACAAAAAAAAAGTTGCACAGGAAGAAGTTAAACCATTCCATCAGCAACATCAGTCACAATGGCCGACAACCGAATCACCTACCGCCGTCGCAACCCGTACGTCTACAGATCCCATTGAAATATTCGTCGAAATCGAATAAATTCCCCGCTCCTAGGAACGCGCAGAGCTAATGTGTTTCTTTAAAGGTACAACACCACCTCCAACAAGATCCGTGTCATCAGGACTCCCGGTGGTGAGTTGCGAGCTCTTCACATCAAGAAGCGAGGAACCGCCCCGAAATGCGGTGACTGTGGTGTCAAGCTGCCCGGCGTAAGTAGATTCATTTCTTCAGGTTGTATTTAGAGGAAAGTGGGAAGGGAGACTAGAAGATCTGCACCATCATCGACATTTTGCAACAAGAGCTGCCAACCAATGCTTATATCGCCTGAAACGATTCGGCAATTTAGTGAAGAATTGAATTTGCGCAGCTCTTTTTTCAACTGGAGAAATAGATTCTACCTTGTTCGATGGGCTATCTATGAAAGCAATAATTGAGTTACACGCGAGTCTGGCAAATCGATACTAACTCGTGAATGATAGATTCCCGCTCTCCGACCCCGCGAATACTCTCAGATCTCCCACCCCAAGAAGACCGTCCAGCGAGCGTACGGTGGTTCAAGATGCGGTAACTGCGTGCGAGACAGAATCGTGCGCGCTTTCCTGATTGAGGAGCAGAAGATCGTGAAGAAGGTGCTCAAGGAGCAAAGCGAGGGTTCCAAGAAGAAATAAACTACCGAATGACTCTGGGATGGAATGGTTCGGCCTTCATTGATTTGGTGTTCAGAGGGACAGGGCTGCATGTCATGCGAACGGCTACTGAATAGCCCGTATCTGTTTCTAGGGCTTCTAGGGCTTCTTCTCATGGTCTAGATGATCGGAATGGTATAAACGACATCAGGACTATCACTAGTTCCTATCATTCGTACCTACTTCGCCGTGATACGAATTTGCCGACTTAATGGGCATGGTAGTAATTTTTTTTCTTTCTTGTGTCCCTGTCTTATTGTGAGGGCATCGCTTCAACCGTGAGAATATCTGGATTGGGTTTACTATGCCATTCACTTGTCCCTGTATGGAGAACGTAGGCGCTCTTTCTATGTTGTAGTACTTTCTAACACACGAGACGTCTGATAGCCCTTGTTTCTTATTCGAAACTGGGTATATCATTGAATATAATACGTTTTGAAGTGGTAAACAAGGTATTCTAATTTATCATTTTGAAGTCAGTATACATGTGTAATTGGTACCTAGACCTATAGCTTTATGAACAAGTATATTTTTAGAGTGATGTTATTTCAGTAGTAGTGGTATTTCAGTAGTACTAAAAACTGGCAGAAAAATTAAAGGTTCCTGGTGGTTGTGTGACATCGGCGTATGGCACCTTATCGGGGATAAGGTGCCTTATCGCCGATACTGGAGGGAGAAACAGTATATCTACTATTATTATATAAAAAGATATTACACTATTAATTAGCCTCAAATAGATTCTTCCTTCCTTAAATATTATTAATATACTAGTTTTACTCTTATTATTATTTAATTTATTTATTTATTACTTTATATTATATATATATATTTATTAATATTAATTAATATTATTAAAAATTTAATAATATAAATTAATAAAGTTAAAAGAATTATTATTATAATAACATACGTAATATTAATATATTTTCTTTTATTTATAAATATATTTTAAATTTATAGCGAATTATCGTTTTACTTTATTATTAAACCTTTTTAAATTTTTTGTTATTTATTATAATTTAAATTTATTATTAATATCATTAAATAAATTAATATTTATTATTTATTATAAATATCTTATAATATCTTAACTAAAAATATTAATATAAATATAAACTCATATTATAATAATAAATTTAATTAAAATAAAAAATATAAATAAATTATAAGCTTTAATAAATTATATATTTAAATAAATAACCCTTATTTAATATTTTAACTATATAACTATTAAATAAGAATTAATTAATTTTCAAACAGTTACCTTTAAATAGAAAATAACTTAAACATTTTTTGTACTAATAAATTTAAAAATTATTAATATAAATATATTACACGCTTATACCTTTAAAGAAATAATAAATAAATATTAAAACTAATTCCGAAGATTTATAATAACAGATTTCATAAATATATTAAAACTTTTATAATTAATATTTTAAATTATATTAATATAATAAAGTATTTATATAAAATAATATAATATTAATTATATTAAAATATTTATTAACTTTATATTATTATATAAATTATTAATATAAAATTTAAATAAATTAAAAACAATTAAGTAAAAATAGCTTAATATATTAATATAAAAGATATTAATATATAATATTAATTAAAAATTAATTTACTTAAATATATAAATATTTATATATATATATATTACATTATAATAATAATAATTTACAATTTATAACCTTTAAATATTAATATATATAAAATAAGTCCTAATATAATTTATTACTTTAATTAATTAATTACTTTTTTATATATAATATTTATTATTAACCCCATAAATAATAAAATAACCCCTTTTTATCCCTAATAACCTATCATCAATTTTCCATATTTTACCACTTATTTAAATATAAAGGCCTATAACTTAACCTCTTTAATATTAAACTCCCGGCCCCCCTCTTGCCCCCCCGCCCCCCCTTGCCTATCAAAGGATAACTACGCCTTCTCAAATTATTATTAATAATATTTACTTTAATGATCTTATATATATAATTTAATAAAGGTATAAATAAGGGTATAACCTTATATATAATAATAATCTAATACAAGGAGCATTAATCAGCCCGCCAGTCCCGGGAAATGTTCTTAAACCTTCTAAACTGCCACCAGGTGGTCCATACATAACACCGGCGGCTCTTTAAGGCACCGGATAAAGAAAAGGAAATTAGCTTATTAAAAATTACATTTCTTCCTCTTAAACAGTTCCATTATTTATACAATTAAATAATTAATAAGTATAAACTTTTATATTAATTAATAATTAATAAAGAAATACTTATTATAATATTTTCTTAATAAAAATCTTTAATAAAATATATTCCTTAATAATTATTAATTATTTTAAAAAAGTATAAAATAATAAAAATAATTATATGGAAAAAACATATAATATTTTTAAAAATAAATTCCGTTTCTTTTTAAACGTTTATTATATAACTAAAATATAATAAATTTAATTTTATATTATATTTTTTATTATTTTATTAAGGAAAATAACTATTTATTTTCTTTATAATATATTTTAATTTTAATATTTTATAAATATATATTTAATAATAGAATAATATTTTAATATAAAATAAAATAAAATCTAATATCATTATAATTAAATTTTTATTACTTTTTTTAATATTAAAATAAAAAAGTAAAATAAAAGGAAAATTAATATAAAAGTACTTTAAATTTTATTTAATAAATTATTATTATATTAAAAAACGTTAAGCCCTAATTTTAAAAAAGAATAATAATTTATTATAATTATATATTAAATTTATTAAATTATACCTTAATTATAATATACTTTTTTTAAATCATTAATATATTTTAAAAATTTAGCAAATAAATTCCAAATATCCATTAAAACATATAAAATAATAAAAAAAATAAAGCAGTTTATAATAAATAAAAATAATAATAGTAATAATAATAACTATATTTATTATATTAATTACAAATATTATTATAATAATAAAAAAAATAAATATAATATAAAATAATCTTTAAAAACTTAGAAATAATAATATTAAATATATAAAAAAAATAGATATTAATTTACCAAATATTTAAAATATAAATAAAAAAAAGCTAAAGATAAATAAAAAGTTAAATAAGGCCCCTCCAAAAAGAATTATACAACGTTCTTAGCAAATTACGAAAAAATTAGAGACTTAGATTTAAAATTTAATTATAAAAAAAACGAAATAACCCATTTAATAATAAATCCGGACAAGGATAATAACTTATATATAATAACCGCATATTTATTTAACTAAGCGTTTTACTATTGTCTTACTGTTAATCCCCCCTCGGATAATCCAAAATCTAATATTATTTTTATATTAAACTAATATATAAAAAATATTTTCTAAAGAATTATGTTAAATATAAGGGTAATTTAAATATTTATAATTAAAAAAGAATAATATCTAATTCTTATTAAAAAATATTTAAATAAATAATTAAAGATGAATAATATTTATATTAAAAAGGCTAATATTTAATTTAATAATAAATTATTTATTAAATCATTTAACATAATTATTATAAATATTTTATTTAATAAAATAAATTTTTATATTATGGAATTAAATATTCTATTTTTATTATTATTAAAGGATATAAATTAATTAAGAATATATTTTAATAATATTATTAATTAATTTATATATAAAAATAATATAATAATTAATGTTAAAAAAAATAGGGATATTTATAATTCTAATTGGAAAATATTATTTATTTTATAAAAATAAAATTATAATATTTATATATGCATTTTAATTATTTATTAATTAATAAATTATATAATTTATTGGATAAAGTTAAATATAATGTTAATATAAATAGCTTTAAAGAAATTAATAAATTCTATTATTATTATTAAATTAAAAAAAAAGTTTCTTAATAATTTAAATTTATTTTAAAAAATTCAAATATTAAATTTAATTATAAAATAATTATTAATATAATATATTTAAATAGGTAATTAATTTTATATATTATTAACATAATTATTAATTTTTAAGTAACGTAATTCTTAAAGAATATTATTATTAAAAAAATATAGGAAATGTTAAAAGAATATTAAATTGACACTTATTTTAAATTACTTAATATTATTTTTTACAATACGGGCACAAATTTTAATAACCTCAAATTCCGTAATAAAGCACGGGTAATTAAGATTATTTATTATTAAGTACTAATAAAAGCCTATTAATTTATTAGAAAAGTTAAAAGATATTATAGCCCTATTTACAAAGCATATAAAATTATTACTAATAAACTTAAGGATTCTAATTTAAAAATATTATATCTTTAAATAATTATAAAGGTAATTAATAATATTATTAATTTAGATAGCCTTATCCTAACCCTGCTTATTTTCGGCACTTATCCTAAGATTAATATAAATTTATCACTTATTACCATATAGATTTAAAGGATATAAATAATTTAGAAAGTAATAACGGAAATTAAAAGGATTAAGTTATAATGTTTTGTATAAAATGCCTTAAATACCTGTAATAACCTTAATATTAAAGCAACTTTCTTTATATCCTTATTTATTAAAAGCAAAATATTAATTTATAAAGAAAAGGGTAATTAAAGGGAATTATATAAAATTATTATAATTATTAATAAAAATGTTATAATTATTTTAAATATATTAAATAGCATATTCACATTTTAAAATTTATATATTAAATTATATATTTAACTTAAGGAAAACCTAATCTTATTAAAGGAAATTGAAATTAAATTATTTAATTTTACTTTTAATTTTAATAATTATTAAATTATTTTAAAAGAGGATCTAATATATGCTAATAATTTATCATATATTATTACTTTATATATTAATATTAAAAAATGTAATAACCTTATTCTAACATTATAATTTCGAACAAATAATAAAATAATTATATTAAAGAAATCATATAAAGTATTAAATATAAAAGAATTAAATGCCCTTTTTAATAAAGGTATATTATAATTTAAAATATATGATATAATAATATATTAAAAAGTAATAATATTTAAATTACAAATGGTTTAAGAAATTAAAGGTAAAAACACCTTTATACCATATGAAAAATCACATCTAATAATTTAAGAATATAATAATTTTAATAAAAAGTTTATAATAATATATGTATTTATTATTTAAAAAACTAATTAATAATTAATATTAATATTAATTCCTATATTTTAACATTAAAAGATAAAAATTATAATAAAAGATATTATTATAACTTATATTTAATTAAAAACGTTAATATAAAAAACAATTTTTATATATTTATTAATAAAATTAAAAAATAAATACCCTAAAAAAATATTATTACATATTATTAAACTACTATACAATCTCGCAAAATTAAACATCTATTAATTCAAAATTTATTTATATTATTATTAATAAAAATTATATATAAAATCATTAATATTTAATCTTTATTTATTAATAATAAATATAAACCCT